ATAAAGTTAGTTTTTAACTTCACAACAGGTAGAATGCATCTGCTGTATTACTGATCTCATTTTGTTTCCAAGCACTTTATTTAGACTTGCATAACTTTCCCAGTTTGAAATGTGCTGATAAGAATGCATTCTGACCATCTTTACTCACGTCCCTTACTGGCTGGGACCCAAGAAAGTAATCCCATGTGGCACAGAATGGTTTATTGTATATACAGGGTGAAATGCTGCTAGAGATGAAGTGTGGTTGGAATTTGTGCTGGGAATGTGCTTAAACACACATCCCTTGGAATTCCCCATGGCTTTCTTTGAATTCTTTTTGTCTGCTGACTTAAGCTGACAAATGGCGCTTGAGTCCCTTCCCATCTCTCTCTTAGCTACAGGCCTTTAACAGCTGCATCACATCCAGAGATTCAATAGGTGCAGATATGTCATTTCTCTCATATGAAATTGAAATGATGGGGGAAACTACATCTGTTGAATCTGTGCCTGTCAGGCAGCTGTTAAATGGCTGTTTCAATAAAATGATAGTGAAGTTATTAACAAATGAGAAATTAGTTCAGTTGATTTTTTCTTTCTGGACTTATCCAGTCCGCACTTCCCGTCTTTCAGCAAATGTGGACGGGGTAGAGTACTGAAATCTATATTTCTGCAAGCTTTACGATGTGGTTTGTCTTGGTCAGCAGTGGGTGAAGATGCACAGACAAATGTACATTTTGGGAAACAATGCATAGAAAAGGCATACATTTGAGAAACATGAGTACAAAGCTGAATTTCAGAAATGTGTGCTTTAAAAATATTTGTTAGAATGCATACATTAGGGAGAGTGAGCACAAAAGCATGAATGATTGTATGCTTGTGTTTAACAACCACAAGCATATGTGGAAAGCTATGAAATGTGCTTGACCTTAAAATTTGACATTCTCTGCAAAGACCAAGATTGACACCCACTCCTGTTGACGAATAGCACTGGTGCTACCAGTTTCTGACTGTGTAGATAACATTGTTTCAAGGCGTTCTAGGAGCAACTAGTGAAGACCAAGTGCATGCTTTGTACAGTGCTTGTCTGTGATCTTCCAGAGGATTTAGGATGCTGGAAACAAAAGGTGTTGGCAACATTTTTTAAGAAAATGATTTTCCCGTTCTGGATCTTGAATAGTTTCTGATGGTGAATGTTGAGAGCCATTGTACTAATTCATTCCTTGCTGGGACAACTTAGAGTGTGTGCACACATGGACATGCTCGAGAAATGAGAGTTCAGTTAACACACTCATGTTGGTAGTTGTCTGAGAAGTAAGAACAAGAATACAGTTCTACTTGACTAGTAAATACAGAGATACAGATTTCCCATAGCTTGATTGCAGAATGAAAAAGCAATACTGAAACATCCTTACATTTTGAAATTCAGCTTAACTATGGGGCTTCAACTCCAAGTCTTCTGTTAAACGGGGGAGGGGCTTGCAGTCCCTGCTTTAGCAATATGTAATATATTAACTACATGGGGGTGGGATGGGGGAACAAAGAACCATATTTGATGATAATGGCATCACATTTTAATATCCAATGCATAACAAAGTAAATGGCTAGCTAGTTCGTTGACTGGAAAAAGACTGGACTCTAAAGAAAAAGTGCTCTTAGGGACGATGATCTCTAAAATGCGAGTCTGCTGATGGAAGAAGGCTGCAAGATGTCTCTTCCCTGTCTTTCAGATGTGGTCATCTGCAACAGTGTTCTCGGTTTTGCTTCAGTGAGATCCCTTAAGTTGACAGACAAATTGCCACCTAACCCACCCTCCCCCAAAAAAGCTTAGTGTAGATTTGATTGCTTTGCATCTTAGTTCCCGAATATGCATAATAAACAGAAGATGTGCTGTCCAATTTTATCTAAGGTCCAAGAGGGAATATGCTGAAGCTGGTTCATTTGTGTGCAAGTTCCTTTTGCACCACAAAAGAAGCTTTGGACTGGCCCATACAGCATTCTGCTATGACTGGGGGCTGCCAGCCTCCAAAATAAACAGCAGTTACCATGAATTAAACCCACTGATTTTCTGTGGTGCACATTCCTGCTTGAGAAACTGGGAGGCAGGGAGAGAAGATGTACCCTGCAATAAGCTTTGGACAACCCGAAGCCATGCAACCATGCCTCCAGAAAGTATCCTTGGCAAGAAGGCACTGAACCCATTATGCCCAGGGCTTCATTGGAGTGCTGAACATCACCAAGCATGGTGACCCCATACGAGTAATCACCAAAAGACGTGGGAAAGACTAGAGGAAGGGATGTGTCTATGCAAGAGTGTTTGCTATAGAATGGTCTATACAAATTTTAAATAGACAAAATAAAATAGAACTTTGGGCCACTCCAGACCATAGAACCCTTTTGGAAAGGACAGTGGGCCTTGGAACTGGAACTCTATGACAAGAACTGAGAACTAGTAACCAGCTTCAGCATAGTAATGAGCCAGGAATACCCAGAACATTTCTTCATATTGCAAGAAAAAAAATCAGCAAAACTTTAGCCAAAGCAGCCATGCAGAGACACTTCATTTTCTTGGATAGGGCATGACTATGGCTTTGTTTCCATCCAGTCTGCATCCCTGACAGTGCACACCTTTTCTGCATCAGATATGATTTGGATTAGTCAGCGGATGCAGCGAAATCATCGCCTTTGAAAGTAGATTATAATCTGAACTGGGACCCTTACAGAGGTTGGGAAGGTCTTTTAGTCCTTTGCTTCCTGCTGTGGTTCTGATCCAGTTCAGTCTCCGCCCCACCCTTCACCTCATACCAGCACCTGCAAACTAAACAGAGGAAGGTGCTGCCATTGACTTTTGGAGCTTTTCCCCCATTGTAGCCTCCCCTCCCCTGGGTCCTGATAAGGATTAGCGCAAGTGCATGCACACACCCATGTGCCATTTCCTTTTAAAAAGCCAGTCATTTCATTGCTATGAGGAAAACCCAGTTGGGGGCATTTTCAGATCACTGGCGCAGGGACAAGGTTCTTCAGAGTGTGGGTTGTTATTTAAAGTACAGGCTCTAGAAGAAAACTTCGAGGGTGGGGTGAATATCAAGGGCTCCTCCTGATTCAGTTCTGAAAAAAATGTGCTCTGACTTCCGGAAACTGAGAAAATGCTGCTATAGAGCAAAGTACTTTACAACTTTCCAAGTTTCAGTTTTCTGGACCTTTTTCAACTTTAAATGCTTATTCATAGCGAATCTTGCTTCCCATTACATCATTGTACTCCATCAGACTCACTTGAGGATTTCACAAATAACTTCTGCTGGACTGAAACCAGAAAAAGTGTGATGTTCCGTGACATTCTGTGGTTTTATTGCTGAGCCATACATCAGCTCTGAAATGTAACCCCGTCACTCCCATTCTCCAAGTGAAATTGGTGAAAAATCAAATAAAAAGGGGTGTATGTTTACGCTAAGGTGAATAACACTGAGACTGAATTGACATATGGAAAAGTGTTTGTGATACTTTAAAAATAAAACTGCTAAATGGTGTGGAATTAGGAAGAATTTTCAGACTGCTCTGGGTCACATTTCAGCACAGTCTTTGCAGAGTAATTGTCTGTCCATCCATCCATCCATCCATCCATTATCTGATTTCTAACCTACCCCATTAGCCACATGGCTCCCTGAATGGGTTACAGCAATAAAATCATATAAAACTATAACATTACAGTTTACAATTACAAACTACAATAAAACATTAAAAACACACCCAGCTTAATAGAACTGGTACTTTCATAAAAGGCACACCCCATTCTTAAAATACCATTAAAAACAGGTTAACCATTAAAATACTGGCACAGTAAAAACGTCTTTGCTTGGCACTGACAAGCGTATAAAGAAGGCGCCTGGTGAACCTCTCTGGGGAATTCATTCCAGAGTCAGAGTGCCATTCCTGAAAAGGCCCTTCTTGTTTCTAATGCCCTTATTTCCTGAGGAGGGGACACCCTCAGAAGGTCCTTAAATGCAGATCTCAGGTGCCGAGTATGATCATATGGGAAGAGGCTCTACTGCATCTCTTACTATTGGTGAGGTGTGCCACCTCAGTAATGATGTTAGCATGTTGTTTTCCCTAGTCAGACACACAATTCTTGTGGCTTGATTACCAAGAATGATCATAGATCCCAGGATTCATATGACTTATGACAGATGGATGGATGCCAGTTTTCTAAATGATGGTGGAATTGCTAGGCTGCATTTTTAAGCATGAGTATTCTACTCATGTTGAGTAGAATGATGAGTATTTTACTCTTGAAATTTCAGAGGTAGGCTTGGTGTGGAACGGTGGGGCAAAATCTCTGGTCCTTCCTTTCCTACCTTGCTTGTAGTGCTGCTGTTCCTCCCTCTTTGTTCCCCCACCAGGCTTTTTGGATATGTGGCTTGATATATCTAGGGGAAGATTGTCTCGTTCAAGATGGTGGTGCCCTGGAAAAAGATTAACTAGGCCCACTGCGCTGTTTTTGCTTCCTTGGCCCCATACCAGTGGCAAGGGGTATCAGGTGGGAGGTTGAGAGGAGGTAAATTTCCCTCAGGTGCACTAATCACAGCTGTGCTGGGGCCACTAGGAAAACTAGGCATGTGGGGCGTGCATCCTGCCCTTCCGCTGCTCCGTTCAATGTCTGAACACTCTGATGGCCAGGAAGAGGGAGCCCACAGGCTGTGGAACTGGCATAGCCATGCAGCTTTTAGCATTCTGTCTTTTCAATACAGTTGTGAAGAAAAGCTGTGTCTGCATTCATTCAGCGTGCCAATTCAAATGTTAACATCCTACAAAGCCCATCATCTCCCCCACCTTTAAAGAAAAAAGAATTATCCTTGATTATTTGCTTTCCATTTTTCATTCTGAGTGCAGAACTTCGATTTCCTTAATATGACGCTGTTACGCCTGGCGTGGAATAAGTATGGCCCAGTAGCAGGAGTTATGGATGACCCAATGTATGCTGTTGTACTTCAGTTTCCTAAGGAGCTGTGTTCCTTCTTTCTCTACAGCCATGGCAGCCATCCGGAAAAAGCTTGTGATTGTGGGAGATGGTGCCTGCGGGAAGACGTGCCTGCTGATTGTGTTCAGCAAAGACCAGTTTCCAGAGGTCTATGTCCCAACCGTCTTTGAAAACTACATTGCTGACATTGAAGTAGATGGAAAACAGGTATTTAGTCTTTCTCACTCTCCATCCCATTTCTGAGCTAATATATTCCTTTATCCCCAAAGGTTACAAATGACTTCATCATGGCCTTGACACTGACTCTTTAGAAATGTTGTCACCCACCTCTGTTGCCCATTGCTCAAATCTGGTCTTTTTCCTTAACTCCAGTTGATCAAATGTATGAGCTTTTCCTTGAAGGGAGGAGGGGAGGGGAGGGGGGATGCAGCTGAATGACTTGGCCTTGTCACCTCGTAAACTTTCTCCTGCAGAGGCATGTCCTGATTCCTTTAAACATATATGATGCACCTACTTCTAAGTGGATATGCAGAGACTTAGAGGCACATTAGCATAGTGGTAGCGCACCTGCTTTATATGCAAGAAGTCCCCAGTTCAATTCTCAGCATTTCCAGGTAGGGCTAGGGAAAGAATCTTCTCTGAAAGCCTGGACAGCCATTGCTCCCAGTCAGTGCCAGCAATACTGGGCTAGCGGAACTCTATAATGCAGCTTCCAATGGTGGAACTCTATAATGCATGTGCCTATGGAAAGACATGATTCTTACTATAAATTGGTAACAATTGAATATTGGTAGGAGGCAAGTTTTGGAATTTCCAGCCCTGCTTATCACTGCAATATAGTACCCAAAAGATTTTCCAGAATGCAACCTGGCGCCTGAATGGAAGAAATTTCCCCACTCCCATATTATTCACCAATGGAACAAACACATCATACAAAAATGGGGCAACTGGTATGGATGCAGTTAAAATACACATGGTTGCCCTACACGTCTAGTCAATCCAAAGTCTTTTCCCATTTGTTGCAAAACATTGCACAGCTTATCTGTTCATAGTCCAAATTGAAGACTATGAAAAATCTACAAGCGGGAAATTTAAGCCAGGTCAGTGTTTTAAAGATGCTAACTTTTTAAAAGAAAACAATACATCAGTTCATGTGTTGTTCTGGTTGCCTTTGGAGCAAGCTGCTCACAAGCTGCATCCCGCTTTCCTGAGAACATAACAATGCCTGCAGTTAAACAATTCCAAAGCAGGTTATGGATTTCATATTCTTATTTTCTCTCTGTGGCGGCACCTCTTGTAACTTGCCATGCTGCATTGCTCAGAAGAGATGTTACTGTCTTTGGACATGGCCTCTCTTTGACAGTTTTATGATCCTGTAATAGACTTTGGCAGTGCCCTTGAGGATAACCCAGCAAAGCAGCTCCATAAAGCAAACTGCATAATGTCAATAATCAACTACTGGGCTTGGATGCTTAATTAGGACAAATGTTGCCTTAGAGTTGCCAATAAGTTGGGGTTCACAGTGTGTTTGAGAGAAAATGGGTTATTCTCCTGTTTGCTTCAGTCTCTGCTTTCATCTGTAGAAGATGTGGTTATGTAACCTTTTCACTGTCTCTAGGTGGAGCTGGCTCTCTGGGACACAGCTGGGCAGGAAGACTATGACAGGCTGCGACCCCTTTCTTATCCAGATACAGATGTTATCCTCATGTGCTTTTCCATTGACAGTCCAGACAGTTTGGGTAAGCTTATGACACTCTAGACGTTTGGGTCATGAATGACACTGACCACATGACACTGTTCATTCACCTTGGTGACCTACCATTAAAGGAAGGGTGAACTCTTAAATTTTATTTTTATTGTGTACTTTGAAATCACAATGAGAACAGCAACAAGAGAGGAAAGAAAGCAAAAATAAAATGCTGTGGTTTTCTTACATGAAGTTTAAGTAATCTGTTACAATGAACGCATGTATGCCATACATCCCTATATATTTTTCATGAGGAAGACATACTGCTGTTATTAAAGGTAAATATACATAGACTTCAACAAATGAGGAATTACAATTTAATGCCACAGTACATGTTTTGCAAGTTCAGTTAAAATCTTCTTTTCTTTAAAATCTCTATCAAGTGGATGGTTTGGCTGCTTGCAAACCTTTGTTCTTACTGGGAAAAGGCAGGGGACTGGTGCTTTGGAATATGTCATAGTGAGAAAAGGGCATCAGTTCTAACTATGCATTAGTTTCTAGGGCCTTTTGGCAGGAAAGGTACAATATGGCCTGATCTTGGAAGATAGCTAGCATTCCAGAGGCAAAGAGTTACTGGCTATGCAATGGCCTATACCAGGGGTTGGCAACCCATGGCTCCAGAGCCACATGTGGCTCTTGAATCCCTCTGCTGTGGCTTCGGAGCCCAAAATAAGCCTCACAGCCGCTGATCTGCAACCGAGGCTCCGAGTTACAAAATACCAATAGGTGATGATGAGGCATCCACTCAGGAACGCTGTGCTAGCAGGTTAAGTAAATTGCAACATTGCAGGGAAAGAGTGGAACAAGCTTCCTGCAGGCTCTCATGTTACACAAAATGCTGCTGAAAAGATTCTCTTTGTCCAAATGTAATCTCCTTCCTCTGAATGATAAAAGCTGCACTTGGGACCTGTCACAGTTCATAGCACTTGACTGTTTATCTGTTAATCAGTCACTAAACACACCTATATCTGTGACTTCCCCTGGTTGGCCAACCATGGATAAATTGAAGAAAAAAAAAGTTTCTGAAGAAAACCAAATGTGTAATGATACGTGGGTAGAGTCATTTGCTTTTACTGCTGACGAACTTATGGGGTTTGCTGTTTAATGCATGTAGCCCTTTAGCACTGACTTTGACTCTTCAGGAAGCTGTTCTCCTATTCAAAATATATGAAAGGAGTCCTACTAGTTTATAATGTAAGATTAAAAATAACAGTTTTGAGTGACTGAACAAGAGCTGCAGCTAAATCATAATGAAGATATACATAACATTAAGGTAAAAAACAATATATGCGGTGTTGTCTTCATTTTAGATGTCAAAAGGGTTTTGCGGCTCCCGGTGTTTTCTTTTGTGTGGGAAATGGGTCCAAATGGCTCTTTGAGTGTTGAAGGTTGCTGACCCCTGGCCTATACACATGGACACATGCCGTAAAAAATGCAGGGGTTGGCAGAAATTCCAATTTAGGGCTTTCAAGGCCCGAGTCCGAGAGAGGAGTCTTTTCTATTGAGTTTGACCATAGATCAAAAACCAGCTTGCCAGCTGGAGAGTGATTGGTTCCTCTTGCTCAGGCAAGGCAAAATAGCTACTTGGAGCTTATGTAACTTGGTTGGTACTTGGGCGTATGCTTGTTCTTTGCCCTGCTTAATCATTCTTTCAGTACAAATCATAAGCAGTTGGCAGCAAAGACTCAACAGCTCCTTTCAGAAGGAAGGGGGTGTATGAATGATGGCAGTATTGGTCATAGCTGGACTCCGAGGATGCAGGATGTGTGCTGCTTTGATATTTTCTGCACAGTTCTTCCTTTGTGACATTATGTCTCTGAATTTGTCCTTGCACATGTCCATAGGGATCCTGGATGCTGCCAGTTAGCTCTGGTATTTGGTCAGGCAGCTTCCCATGCTCTTCTGAATCACGTTTCTTTTTCTTCTACTGGTCTAGGGCATACAGTGTTCACTTACAGCTGCTGTGTGTGGTAGATAAAGCAGGCTCTCAGCTGTGTGCTCGTGAACCCTCTGGAAATAGGCCTCTCATTGTCGCCAGACTTGCTTTTGGCAGCAAGCTGGATGTTTTCTTCTGTTGACCTGGGATGTCCTTTAGAGTCCTCAGCAACTTCATTTTAATTGTCTGGAGAATCTGTGGCTCTTTTCCTTAGCATATATAAGGGATATATTGGGTAGCATATAAATCAAATAAATAAATGTGCAGTCACTTAGGTCTGCATTTTAAGATGTTCCTTCCATATGCTTGACTCTTCCAGAGAACATACCAGAGAAGTGGACCCCTGAAGTGAAGCACTTCTGTCCCAATGTGCCCATCATCCTTGTGGGAAACAAGAAGGACTTGCGGAATGATGAGCACACCCGCAGGGAACTGGCCAAGATGAAACAGGTCGGCACCAGCGACTGCTTCTCTCCTTGCCTTTGCTTAAGTTGAATGTTGAGACATGGAATCTTTACTCGCGTAGGAAATGTTGTGCCATAACTTAATGTTTCTGGAGAACTTGTATATCAATGGCATGGTCACCTGCCACTCCAGAATAATTGCATGCTGCTGCTGGGTCGTATGCCTGGCCTGGGGAGAATCCATGACAGGGAAGCAGTTTCCAGTTCGTTTGCTTGGTGAAGGTAATGTGCAGGCCTCCTCTCAGACTGGGAACATAAATCTCTCCTATCCTTTTTAAATGGTGAGTCTTCCAATATCCCTTCAAATGGGTGAGATCTTATTTTTGGGAAATGTAAGAGTTATATACACAAATCTTCATCAAAATGTTTTTCTGTATTTTGAAACTCTGAATGAGAAGGCATTGTGTTGAACAAGAGCACTTGTGAAATGCAAATATGCAAAGTATGTTTGTTTTCTAAAAGTTCTTAAAAACTATGGTTGCAATTGAATTCAGCAGGACTTGGTCTCCTCAGAAGTAAGTAACTTGGGTTTAACTTGTTGGAACTGTATATATGTATATACATATGTTTGCTTGATGCAGTGACAGTTCTGTCCTGGGTTATTTGATGGAGCCTACACATTCTCTGTGTTTTCCAGACAAGATATTTAGGGCCTCTGTATCCTCTTGGGAGACCTGTTTCCCCTAAAAGAATGTGCAAAGTATCAGTTCAACACTTATTAACCCTAAGCTGTATTGTATTATGTCCTAATTTATCATCCCATATTACATGTGAAACTAAAGGTGCAATCCTATGCAATTCTAGAAATTGTGGGGCTTTTTTCTGCCTAAACTGCCATAGGATCATGTCCTTTGAAAACGTAAACATGTGATTTTTTTTAAAATGGTGCTTGTTCTTGCAGTGGATTAGCACTAGAACACTTCTTGGTTCCTGTTGCCAGTATCTAGTTATTGGAATATATTATCCCACTATCTGTCATTATGATAGCTTCTTTCATTAAGTCATTAAGCTAAAAAACCCCAAAACCCCTCATTCTTTTTGTGTTACTTCTTACAAAGGAGCCAGTGAAGCCAGAGGAAGGAAGAGACATGGCCAACAGGATCAATGCTTTTGGCTACCTCGAGTGCTCAGCCAAGACGAAAGACGGAGTGCGGGAAGTGTTTGAAATGGCCACTCGAGCTGCCTTGCAAGTCAGGAAGAACAAAAAGCGCAAAGGCTGCCCTCTCCTGTGAAAGGAGAGCATCTGCAAAGGTTGTGACTGTACTGTCTGAAGTAACTCTCTTTCCACACTCCCCATGGATACAAGTGTGGGGTAGCGGTGGGGAGGAATAATGTTAGCTCTGCTAGAGGAAGAATTTAACAGACTAGCTGTGTCCTTCACTCCTCTGCACACTACGGGGTGGCTGGGACACAGTGTAGGTATCTCAAGGTCTTTCTTTGTGCCTAGGCTCTCTTCACCCATTCACCTTGTGCTTGAGAGCCAGAGATAACACTTGAATCCATTTTGTAAAGATCTTCATTTTTATATAGGGCAGACAGTGCATCTGAACTAATTCTGTATTGCTCTTCCTATTTTATATAGTCCTTCTACTGCTTGTACAAATTCACCAGTGCTTATTCTGTCTTTCTGTTCTTGCAGACTAGGGAAGCTAGATTTCTGAATAGTACAACTTGTGAATGTGTGAAGTTGAACATACCCACCAACCTCTTTCCTCAAACTTGCTGAAACAAGTGGTCAGCTCTTGCCAAAATGTCTACCTGTATTCCTCTGAGGAACTGTGTTCTGCCATGGTCAGAATTGCTCACTACTGTTCTTTTATTCTGGGGACAGAGTTTTGCCTTGTGTTTTGGCAATATTATATTACTTCTCTTTCTTCATTAAATTAACTCAGACATAACATGATTCAGTTTTGTTTGTCATGAGCATTGAATGGCTTTTCACCTGAACATCAGACATACAAATCTATGTTGTTTCTGAACTTCATTTAAGCTCTTCTGAAGGAGCTCAGTTCATCGTTTTTTTTCTACCCTTTCCCTCAACTATTCATAAAATGTGACAACTCAGTTCATGCTCCTCCTTTTTGAGCATCAGGATCTTTATTCTGAGTCTGGCACTTATGAATGGAGCATATCACTTTATCCTGCAGATGGGGTACCATTTTGGATGCTCTGCTGTATTAAAACTCTGGATAGGCAGGTAAATTGGTATACCTCTAGTCTAGCTTGTTTTCAGAGCTGCTAAATGTCTGCTACTTGAATTAGAGACTGACTGCTTAGCAATCCATGTCTGCTACTTACCTTGAAAAAAGGCAAAGGATAGATGTAATGAATAGGAGTAATTTTCCATGTGTACTGACTTAAAAAAAATCATTCTCACCTCTGCAGTCTCACTGAAGAGGTATAGTCTGTTGTGATAATATGGGATCCTACTACCTCATTGCAACTTCATTCTGTTGCATGTGTAGATTCACCATGCTGCATTTGTTTCAGAATGAATGATTCTGTGCTTCACACATAGCAAACGACTGGCAAATGGCACACCACTCTAGGGATCCCAGAGTGGTCCAGATCCTGGCAAACCCCGCATCCACTGCATCCCTCCATCCTAACCTGGCCAGGTATACTTTTAACAAAGCTGAGATTCATTAGAGTAGCTGAGATTCATCAGAACCATAAATTTAAATGTGTTTGTTGGAGAGGCTTTTTGACTTGGCACTCCAACAAGCCAACCAACATGCCAACAAACAAAAAGATTAGGAGGGGAAAACTAAAGTGTATTTAAATACCTATGAGCCCAGGAATGGCAGCTCTAACTGCTATCGTATCATCTCAGGAAACGCCTTCATCAGCAAGCCTTCTTTGTTAATTGCAACCAAATAACCTTCCCCAACTTAGTGCCCCGCAAGCTTGTTGCACTTCCACTCCTATCATTACCAAGCAGCATGACGGAATGATGGCAATACAGATCTGGAGGGCACCAGCATGGGGATCCAATCCACTGTCTATGTTGTACTACCTTGAAGTACAACGGTTTGTTACCAGAGAGAACAACAACAGCATGCAGCTTTTAAAAACTCAGATTCACCCTTGTTCACACAGATATAATTCACACAGGAGGTGTTGGACTTTATTTAATCTAAATAAAAGGATACCCTGAGTCATCAGGACAGTTAGAGTCTTTTATATCCACTGAGACAACATTTAGTGTTTGATGAGTGTGACTCACAGTGTTGTCTCTTTTGCTGTAGCACTGTTAGTTTTCCAAACTCACTGCTATGGAAATGTATTAACTGCCTTTTGAAAATGGGAAACGTTGGCCTGCAACTCCCATCAGTTCCAGCCAACATAGCCAATGGTAAAGGATGATGAGATTGTTGCAATCCAATGTTCTTCCCAGCACTGTTTGCTCATCATAGGAGGCTTTGGTCCTAATTCTGCAACCTTATGAACAAGGAGGCTCATAAGATGCCCTCCTGGCACAGATTTGTATATGCCATGCTCCACACACTGTTTCTTTTTGTGTCTATTGTGCCTCCTAAGGACATCTCTGCCTTCTAAGGACACCCCTATTTGTAAAAAGGATATATGAACATGAGAGAGAGAAGAACATTGGGGTTTAGGGTAGGGAGAAGTCGAGAAGGATTTGCTGGAGATGTGACAGATGATCAGGGCCCCACCCCTTTATTTCAGCAAGTGCCCATGGATAGCCGGATGGTGAGGCAGATGAGCCTCCAAAGAGTCGGGACCTCAGTCCTAGCAGGCTGCTTTTAAAAGCACCTCTGCTTATAAAGCTTTACACATAGACACTTTGAGCAGAGCCTTTTCTTCAGTGGCCTCCCCCTTCTAAAATGCTCTGCCAAGTACTACCTGTCAGTCCTTGCCACTTGCTTTACACAACTGATGAAAACACGTTTATTTAAGACAAGCTTTTGACTTAATCTCTCCCTTTGGTTTATCTTTGTTTAACACTGTGTCTCTGTGTTACTGGTTTTCAGGAAGAAAATACCCTGGTTCTTTATAATTCTTTAGCCTGGATGTTAACACTGATTTCTCTTAGCTGCTGTTTAATTTAAATGTTTTAAATACTCTTTGGCAGCCTTCCTAATGGCCATGCTGGCAAGGGATTTGGAGAGTCATGGTATAGCAGAAGCTGTGCTTTGGAAGGAGCCCTGAATCCAGTTTTAGGAAGTGGTGGGATGTCAGCATTGAAAACAAATCTAATGCCAGTTAATTTATTGGATAGCCGTATGTTTTAATTTTATAGCTTGGTGGTGTATGGTTTGTCAAGACAGAGAAATAACGTGTCTCTCCATTGAGATTTAGTGGCTGGAATTATAATTTCCCTTGCAAAACCCCATGACTTTTGTGTGATCTAAACACAAAGAAGCTGTGTGATGAATAACCTTCCTGCAGAAACACAAGACTGGAAATACTCTATCACAGAAAAACAACCTTGAGGACACCTGTATCTCATGCAAAGATGTTACAGCTTGCTTTCATAGGTTGGGAGATGTGCTGTTCTTACCTACAGATGTAGCTGATGCAGAAAAGCACATGCACTTCTCAGCTATAGTCACCCTGTCTCTGCTGGGGCAAGAATAGCCTTTATTGCTGCTATGTCATTTATTACTCTGTTGAGGAGCTGTGAATGGTACAAATAGCAAGTTATTTCCTGAGCTCTTGGAGATCTGCCTGTTAAGGGTGTGAGAGCCAGTGTGGTGTAGTGGTTAAGAGTGCAGGACTGGGACACAGGCAATCTGAGTTCTAATCCCTGCTCAGCCATGGAGCCAACTGGGTGACTTTGGGCCAATCGCAGACTCCCAGTCCAGCCTACCTCACATGGTTGTTGGGATAATATTGGAAGCAGGAGAAAAATGATGTAAGTTGTTTTGAGAGAAGAGAAGAGAAGAGAAGAGAAGAGAAGAGAAGAGAAGAGAAGAGAAGAGAAGAGAAGGTGGGATATAAATTTAATAAATAGATTGTTAAAAAGAAGGCAGCAGGTACTGTGCACAGATAGGAGTAGCAAGATTTGGCTCCCTTTGACATAAATAAACAGGTAAGATTGTTGATCTCTTCTGCAATTTCTGTCACTGCTGTAGCATAAATACCAACAATGAATTTGCTACTTGGGACAGTGTAGCTTCTTTTTAGAGGTGCAGCTCACAGAAAACCTGCTTGGGGAAGGGAGAGGAAAGGTAGGAGCTATCTTTAGGGAATCAGGTATTCTGCTGCTTCATTTTATTGCTGTAGGGACTGCCTGTCCAGATGCATTTCCTTCTCTTGGGAACGCAAACTCTCCTTAGTCAGTGGGGGGTTTTATTTTGTATAAACTGCTAAATGTTTGCATGGAACAAGTGTGCACCCTAGCAAACCAGTAGCTTTGTTAAAAGTTTAAACTGCTTTCAACAGAGAAATCAGAGAGTATGACTGAAGGAGACCTTCCCTCCACCCTGGGGTTTCTCTCCAGCACCCAATGCTGTAATGTTCTACCTGTCTGTCTGTAGAAATGAGTAACTCCATAGTAGTCTCCAGATGGGACTACAAACTTTCATCCAGATGGTAGACCTTTCCGTAGATTCTGCACAGCTTTCAGATTCACCAAGGAAGCTTTTGGCAGGCTGTAACTCAGTGACTGAGTCCATGCTTTGTGTTCAGAAGGCTTCAGGTTCAACCCTGTTGGAAAACTACCAACTTAGAATTCCTGGAGAGCTGCTGCTGCCATTCAGTGTCAGCAATGCAAGACCAGATGGACCAATGGTCCAAATCTGTACGTGGCAGCTTCCTATGTCCCCAAGTGCTGTATGTGCTCAAGAGGCAAGAGAAGTGGACACGGGAGATGGGTGTGTGAAAGACAGAATGCTGCTGCCACCATTGCTCATATGCATGATCATTCCTAATTGTGTACTCTTCGAAAATGACTCCTGCATAAGCATGCAATAAAAGATTTCAAGGAGCCACCCATTAGGCACTCTGTGGGCAGAACAAGGACTGGCAATGAGTGCCCTCGAAATGTAGTGCTCCAAGGGGTGAAACCTAACCCACCCAAATAGCTGCCTGGAGGAGGTTTTTTCCAAACTTTCAAGCAGTGATTGCGGTCTTTTTTGCGCACAAGTGGGCTCCTCACATGCCTGTTTATACCCTAATACTACTTTGAGTATGGCAGAGGTGACGGACACTTGCCAACTCTTTTCAAGGGGCTTGTAGACAACAAAGAAGCAGGAACAACTGCTTGAGTGGCAGTGGTGGGAAACTCGGTGTGAAGTTTAAGCTTTAAAGTCCACAGAGAAGTCTCTCTGGTGGCAATTTAAGCAAAGTAGTTTTGTATCTGCTGCCACTGCATCCACTTATGCTCCTTACCTGGCACGAGTCTGTTGCTCATATCTTTTGTTCTTGGAAAAGTATAATCTTAGACCCATAAAAGTGCTAGGATGACACTAACAAAAGGTGCAGAATAAAAGCTATACTCAAGGAGGCTGTTATGGCCGGGTTGCTCAGCAACATGGGGAAAAATCTCCCCACTTGTCTTAGGAACCCTTGAACAACAGAGGTTGGGGCAGGCAAATTTTGGGGGCAATGGGCACATCTGACACTATGAGAAATTGTCCTGGGCAGCACTACAAAATGGTTGCCATGAGAATGGCAAAGGACAAGTAACCTGTTCAAAAGACTGATTAGCAGGCAGAGGTGGGATCTCACTCCCAACTCCTTGGAACCCACAGCTTTCAGCTTATTCCACCGTGCTTCCAGATACCTGTAATAAAATCTGCTTTTATTTATTTAAGGGAGAGTTGGGCAGTAGAAGCTGGAGGCCCCAGTGTCAGTGGAGCAGCGCGTCCATGTTGGACCTCAGTCTGAATTTTGAAAGGACCTATCCATAGTGCCACCCCATCACAATTAAGTGTAGCACCATGAATAGCTCCTTAAAAGTCCAGACTACAGCCTGGTGTGCATACACGGCTTCATTGCCATTGGAGCCACCAGCATCCACTGGGGGTGGGGGGCCTTGGAAGTTGCCAGGAAAGTTGCCCAGACACACATAGGCAACTTCAGACTCCATGTAGCCTAACCCAATCATAAATGAAGTGCAAACTCATCAAAGCAGGCTGCACAACCAAACCAGTTCTTCCATTTTATCTACATTAATTTTCTTCTGACCCATCATGTCCTTTGCAGGGAACAAATTCTGATACCTCTCTAGGATCAGATGTAAATGAAAGCTATAGGTATCACCTCTGTGTTGGTAACTCTGCAGCCTGGACCTGTGCATGACTTTACTTAGTGGCTTCCCATAGATGTCAAATAGCATGGGGTGGGGGACAGTATAGAACCATGTGGAACTCATTGGTTCTCAAGGAGAACTGTAACCTCAAAGAAGCACTTCCTGGGTTCTACAAGATAGGAATGAACAGAGTCAACCTAGCCCAGTCCCCATGAGGTTATCCAGAAAGATTCCAAGATTCATTAAGCATAAATGAAGACCCCTTCCCTTTCAGAACCCGCTGTGCAATATACATCTTTTTAGCTTATCATTAAAAAATGTTGACACATTTATTAGGCTTTAAAAGTTAGCTGGATTTGGAAAAGCAGTATCAAAACATAATCATCAGTCTAGATCAGGACCTTGGCAAAACTGGCTTTGGCAGGGAGACAGGACTTGTCCAAAGCATGTAATCCAAATGTCTGATTCAAGTTATGTTTACTTTGACCCTTAGGTTAATGTGCACCTGATTCCCCCTTCCCTTTTCCTCTTTAATGTTGCAACATAGTGTGAATTGAAAGGGACAAAGCAGTGGTATATCATGCAGTCACATGTTACAGATGGTAATTAATTCTTGTAAAGTTTATTTAACTCCGTACAAAATACATTTGCTAATAAAATCTGACTGTTTTGAAAACAGGTCAGTTCTTGATAAACTTTGAGGCTATCAGAAAATAGAAATCTAATTGTAATTTTCTGAAACATCAAACATGGCCTCTCCTTAGCACAGGTTCAAACATGTACACAAACACACACGGGGGGAGGGTGACTCATAAGGTGCTAGAGAAAGATAAGCCACCAAACTCAGTGCTATTCCCCAAGTTTTAAGCTGGCACTTTCTCATTTCTGCTTCCTTTATCATCTAGTCCTTCCAATTTTTTAAAATGGGAGAAATGCAGACAAGTCTTGTTTAGAAAGTAAATTTAAACTGAATATACTTAAGAGGCACTTATGTACGTATCCTATTGCACTACTAAGGTTTTCTAACCACATAAATTTTCTGTGCCTAATGGGGAGCATTGACTCCATTTCCTGAGAAACAGCAGGCAAACAGCCTGGGCATTTTTTGTCTAGTTGGACTATCATCTACTTTTCAGCAGGTAAACAGCAGAAACAGAACAGCCAATTCAAGAACACAGGGGGTCTCAGTGGTCATGTCTCCACTCTGGCTCCGCTTGCTGCTGGATATGACTCTCTCCTAAGTTATTGCCTACAGAGAAGAACAGATGAAGATGTGGGTGGAGGAACAGAAAGAATTCCATGCAGTAATTGTCTTTGCTCCCCCCTCAGCCTTTATGAAATACTTAAAGATTTATACCAGTCAATTCAGTAAGAATTCTTCATATAACATTGTTCTGTAAACTCAGTTGCTTAAGATATATTAAGTTACTCTGAAATTAAAATCCATGGTTAAAAGGATGCATACATCTGTTTATAAATAAGAAAATAATCAGACCATAAAATGTCTGAACAAAATGTTTTCATATTGGATGAAAATTAATTTTCAGTCATTCTGTCAGATGCATGTAAAGAAAATTTCCAAGATCCAAAATCATTCATACCATTTGTTCTTGGCCTTTGCCTTTGGTCAAATGGAGGCTGTAAAAATACTTGAATAAGTAAATAAATTCTCCTTTTAATTTGGGGAAGTGGGAGAACGGATTCTTCACCCCACCACACCCATTGCACTGGACACACTTCCCCAATCTCCAAGAGATGGCAGAGGATGGAATGTTGTCTTCAGCTCATTGTACCCTTTTACCTTTTGGTTGTATGTTTAAACTGAGGGAATTGAGTTCATTCATCCCCTTCGTTCTCATCCTCCACATAAGGATATCCTCGGTAGCCACCATTGTTTCGGCAGTATGTGAGAAACCTGAGGACACAAGCCCAGTATTAGGACTACCAGCCAAACCCAAAGTCGCCAGAATTAAGGAGTGGACTTTTGGAGGATGTCAAGAGTAAAGAACATGATACAGTTGTGCTAAATCAAAGTGCACTCTGATCATACCAGGACACTTTGTCACAGATGGGATTTATGCCCACACTATTTCAGGCCAGATTGAGGGTCCCAATTGTCCAAGTCCTAATCCTCAATACCCATTGGTTGAGAGAAAGCATTCCCACTGTTTTTTCACTTCGGTGAGACCTGTGCTTAAACATTGCAAGAGGAAGAACCACACCTGAGTGCATGCTTTGCATAAAGTCCCAAATCCAGTTCCTGATATCTCAGGTCAAAACAATCTCAAGAAACTGGGTCAAAAAATACTACACTTTCAAGTCTTAGCACGCTGAAGCCAATGCTGGGCTAGATGGACTGTCCGGTTCAAAATTAAGCAGCTACTGATTCATAAGGAAGTAGTCCAGCCTTCCCACAGGTAGGATATGCGTGCAGAAACAGCCTCCTAGCCATGTTCTTCAGAAACTGCTCTACACACACTTGCTGTCTCTGATACTGAAAGCAGCATATGGCAATCAGAACTAGTAGCCATTGATAGTCTTATCTTCCATGAATTTGTCCAGTCCCCTTTTAAATCCATCCAAATTGGTGGCCATTGCTACATCTCATGGAAGCAAATTCTGGGTGAAAAACTACCTCCTTTTATTTCTCCTGTAACTCCCACTAATCAGTTTCATAAGATGACTACTATGGAAAGAGGAGAAAAATGTCTCCTCATGCTGGCTGAGAATGAGGGAGTTCCAATCCAACACATCTAGAGGATGAAAAATTGTGAAAGATGTCTAGTCTAACACTGTGGGCCAGCAACAGAGTAAGATGCCTGTGGTGGTGGTGGTGGTTCATTACATTTCTATATTCCCCACAGCTGAAGCTCACTGGGCAGCTCACAACATTAAGTTACCCACACAGATTTCAACCAGGCCTGACTCTGCTTTGCGTCTAAGATTCAGCTGGATCAAGCAATTCAGGCTGAATGAAAGCTATATTGAAGGATAAGGAGTCCAGTCCATGCATACACAAACACTGCCCTCTCCACACATGAGCCTCCAGAGTCAAGATCAAAGGACCCTTGATCAGAAAGCAAGCGTGATAAGAGGTATCCCAATCAGCTGTTGACAAATACTCTTGGCTGAGTTTTACAAGTTATACACTGCATACTGCAGAGATACTGGATAGGACTTCGGTCTGATCCAGCAGGAGTCTTCTTACGTTCTTAAGAACAAATGAATAAGTTTACTACATAATATGACCTGTTGGAAAATTCCATCTGAACCCCAAATTTATTACTATAGACTATCAGCTCATGCTTCCCAATATCTGGAAAAGATTTGGTATCCTCTTGCCCTGGGTTGCCTCTCTAGAGATATGCAACACTGGTTAGGTTGCCATGACATAACAACAAACCAGGACTGCTTTGTTCAGAGTGGCTTGTTTGTAGGCAACAAAGCATCCTGACAACCCATGTAATAGGGCGTTTTCTAAAGGTTGCTGCGTTGTCCAAAGCCAGTTGACTGACCAGGAAATGGCAAGTGAGCCACTTGGCAAGAACAGCTAAAACCCCTTTCCTCTTCTTGCTGAGCAAACTGGGCTACTACAAGTGACATCTATTCATTGATGCCCAAGTGGCACCACTGACTGGGTCTCCCTATTCCACTTGAGATTACTTTTCAGTCACCACCACATCCTTTTCTTTTTTTGTTTTCATGAGCTTTTCAAAATCTCTGCCAGTAACAGTCACTCACAACTCCTCTGAAGTGACCAAGTGGCAGACTGGAGCAGCTGTCATTTCTTCAGTTCATTTTCAGCTATGAAATCCGGTATTTCCCTGTCAGAAAACCTTGCTTAACCATGTGGGAAAAAACCTCTTTCTTTTGACAACGTTCAAAATTCTTTGCTCTTGTACTGTGGAGTGCACTTTTCAAAGCATCCAGAGTTTGAGGAAAGGGTGGGCAAGTCAGAAAACTGGGCACTGAAAATTGTCAACTCATACATCAGAGCTAGAGAATCTTGGTGTGCACTCCCTTTCACAAGCAAAGATATTTTCATGGCTTCAGTTTTTGCTTGACAGCTCATTATCTGACAGCTGCCAAATGAGAAACAAAGCAAAGAAACAACCCATTTGCAGTATTGTTTGGTCAATGTTCATGGCTAGTACCTACCACATACACAGACAGCAGATAGTTCCTGAGCAGACAAGACTTTTCATTTTGGTTAACCACAACTTCAGCCCACTTAAAGACCACTTAAAAATGAAAATATATGTTCATATTATTGGTACCTGAAAAAGAGTTTTTCAAAAGGTGGCAAACCAGTGGCAGGTACTCCAATATGCAGTTGGGCACTTTAGAGGGGCTGTCACTGACAGACATTGTGAAAGGGGAAAGAAAAGGAAAAAGCTGTAGTGACAACTGAAAAGGGATCACGAACAGACTGGGGACAGCAGACAAGGCTGCTTCAGTGGCCAAATCTCCTGGGATACCTCCTGAGGGACCAGTATGGTAAGAGTGGAGACACCCACAGACACCCTACATGCTTCCAAACACAAGTCGATGTGCTGTTTTTGACCAATAAAGCCCTAGGTGGCTTGGGACCTCAATACCTGCTGAAATGCCTCTTCCAACCTCAATCTACCTAGACACTGTGATCTTCATTTGGAGCCTTCCTTTGACTGCCACCTCAAAGGGAGGCCCAGAAGGGGACAATGAGGAGCACCTTTGAGTGACGGCTCCCCAATTGTGGACTGGTTTCCCCGCTGAGGCCTGCCTTGTTGCCAGCATTGTCATCTTTTGGGTGTCATGTTAAAACTGTCCTTTATTCTCAAATATTTATGCTGTTTTTAATGGAAATGTTTTAGAGGTTAATTTTTATATTGGCATGTTTAGCTGTTTTAAATTTGCACATTGAGATTTTATATTGTGCTTTATTGCATTTGTATTCTTATTGTATCTTCTGTATCTGCTTAATTATTGTGAACTGCCCAGGGAGCTTTGGGTGATATAGAAATGAAAGAATAAAAATTGTCTATTTGGTGTATTGTGTTCGACAATCAATCTGCACTATGCAGTTTATTCCCAGGATAAATTGTTGTCATGAGAATTCACCCACTGTATAACCATCGATGAATTGAGCACTGCTACCCTGTTAACGCACAACAAAGCAATGAGCACCTTTCAATCAGAAGAGAAAGACTGCAAGGCGAATGGCTAGGATTCAATTCACTGCTGTTGCCCACTGGGGCCTGATACCAGGACGGTCACAAATGCATGGGTGTCAGTGGCTCAGAAATGGTCTTTGCAACTCCCATGCGAAGTACTAAAATAACAAATTCTTTTTGAGCTGGAAGAAAACAAAGGGAAGCTCTGACCTTGTTTATTCAGATGTGCTCTGGGTTGACTGCAGATAGATGAAGAAGTCGCTGACTGAGACGACTTGAAGGAACATTGAAAAAGGAAGGGATTTAGGGTACTGTAGGGTAACACTTACTCGCCCCAAAAGACGTCCTTGCTGAGTGTAATTGGATTGCCTATGATGATCAAGAGTGCCTTAGCTCTGGTGACAGCCACGTTGAAACGCTGAAAAAGGAGGAAGAGTAAGAAATACAAGTGCAATACCCTTGCCTGATGAAAAAAGAGTGCTGACATTCATACAGAGCCTGTGGTGCAGTCGTGAGAGTGTTGGACTATGGACCCAACCTAGGTTTTAGTCCACACGTGGCAAAAAAGATCACTGGATGACTTTGGGCCAGTCTCAGCCCAGCCTGCCCCACAGGGTTGCTGATCTGAGATAAGATGTAAAGCATCTTGGATGTAAGCCACCTTAGATTCCTCACAGGAGGAAAAATGGTGGGATATGAATGAGCAAAAATGGAAAATTAGCTCCACCATTGCCACTTGGAGAGGACAAATACTCTTGTTAAAGCTGGAGTTAGACACCACGGAGCCTAAATCCCCAACTCTTCATGGAAGCCGCTGCTTGTTCAAAAGCAGCCTTCATCTAGCACACAACCATGGCAGAACAGCAGGTGGAAAGAAGACAGGGACCAAGTCCCAGAACTGGAACCAAGTTAAGGATCTAAAGGATGGTTACCCACATGGTGGTATGGAAGAGACTCAGCCTGAGTGTGTAGTGCAGTGCACTAAGACCTGTGTTGTCTGAAGCTACAGCCCATGTGTGTTTTCTGGTCAGTCAATGGTGGGACAAGAAAAAAAGCATGTCTGGTGAAAGCAAAGGCCAAGCAGCCTGCTTGGCATGTCAAATAAAACTGTTGTCTGGCACACTGAAGTGACTAAAGCAACGTTACAGAAATGTATTTGTTCAACAGTTCATGCATTTCTTGTCATGGCTATACACATCACTGCCAATGGTGCTCCATTAATGTGTGGATTCCTTAGCAGAGATAATCTCATACCCAAGCCTTCCCTGTAACCATCTCTATTCTGCCAATTCCTACAACAGTTAGCAGTTTTGGCAGGGTTGACAGAACTGGAAGACAAAAATCGTCTTGCCTCCTCTGGGACACTTCCCGTATTTCCAGGCTTTCATTGACCTGAAGATATGGGAAGGTGCCATTCAGACACACACCATGACCAGAGTGACCCACAGATTGTGGTACAGCCTTTCTTGTAGCCCCTGGAAGGGATGAATGAACTGCAGTGTATATATTTAGGACATGCTTGGGATGCCAAAATGAAATGAGTCAGTCCAGTGTGCTTTAAGGATTAGAGGGTAACATGCATGGATTTATACCTTGGGGTTTTTGAGGAAGCCAATTGAGAAGTTGTTATCCATATCAAAGTAATCACTGTTGCTTCGCACTGTTGAAATGAGTATTACAAGCCGCTCCTGACCCTGGAATTCCTCTACCGTGCCGATCTATAATGAAAGAGAATATACCTAGGTAGCAGAGAGTGGGATTGGGGATTTTCTACTCTCAAACTCCAGGGAGTGGATTCTAAATTGGGCCTCGGCCCAATTCGAGGTGCTTGTAGTGACATATAAAGTCCTACGTAAATGGCTTGGGGCCTGGCTATCTAAAGGACTGTCTGCACCTATTTATACCTACCGGCCCCCTAAGATCAGCTCAGGAGGCCTTTCTACAAGAACCACCCCTCAGGGAGATGAGAGGGGTGGCAACTAGGTGAAGGACCTTTTCTGCTGCTGCTCCCCAACTCTGGAACCCCCTCCCTAGGGAAATTTGCCTGGCGCCATCTCTATTTACCTTTCAGTGCCAGGCAAAAACATACCTTTTTAGGAATTTTTTAAACATTTGGCCTGTATGCTGTGGCCTTTAAAATTGTTTTTATAGATGTTTAATTCATTATGTTTTAATTGGTTTTTAATGTCTTTTTACTCAGTTAGTATGTTTTATGCATTGTAAGCTGCCTAGGAAGGCCTTGGCAATTATAGGCAGCCTATAAATTTAAGTAAATAAATAAGTAAGTAAATAAAGTAAATCTCTTAGCAGTGAATCTTTTTGTCTTTCTAGAAGAGGAAAGAGTGCAAAGGACAACTTCCATTTTGGTGTTGTAGCTGGAAGAATGGGCTCAAATTTATTGAAGTGCTTGTTTGATTAATACAGCACTGTGTGAAAGAAAAAGAAAATACCAGGTGATACAAGATCTGCTTGTGAGGCTGTAGGTAGAACTTAGTTGATCACTACTCTAACAGAGGAATGCTATATTAGATGGCTTTGGGGCCCATCCTTTTAAAAAGTACCACACGTGGTGTGGACACTTATCACAATTGTATCACCCATGTTACAGGGCAGGAAAATCAGGTCTCACTTTTAGATCCTTGATATCGTTCTGATTCTTCAGTTCCATTTTTACAGCTTGCCTTATCTTCTGCACCTAGAGGAGTTAAGAAGGAAAACCAGTGATTCGTTCATCCTGTCTTAATATTAAATTCAGTTCCTAGCTAGCGCGGATTCCTTGTGTCTTCTGGCTAATCCCAACAACAGATGGGTGAATTCCTTTGGGTCACAAAAATCTTTCCTGCCAGAAATGGCCTGGATGGCTTTGGGAATGTCTTTCATTCTCCACTGATGGGGTGGGAGGAATGGCTATAATGTTTCTGACAGAAAGATGAGAGAGAAAGGAAGGATATGCCTCAAAGAACTTGGTAACAGGAAGGTCCTAAGACCACAGTCAGAACGTACAATATATGCAGTTGCCATTTGGTCAGTATTAACTCAAGGTAGTCAAACAAAAAATTGATGTAGCATTTCAAACCCCCATCACTAAAATGTAATGATAACATAATTTGAAGCCCAAAGAATTTAAGTAACATCCAGTTCCTGAGAGTCAGTGTGCCACAGTGTTTTGAGTGCTGGACTGGGACATGAGAAATCAAGATTCTAGTCCCATTCAGCCATGAAATTCACTGGGTGATTTTGTGTCAGTCACTGACTCTCAGCTAGACCTACCTCACAGGATTAATGTGAGGATAAAATGGAGAGGAGGGAAGGATTACATGCACCACTTTGGATTCCTTATGAGGACAATAGCAGGGATGTTTACCAAGAATACTGTATTATTTTGTAAGAATTCAATTTTGAGTGACACAATTCACACATAATGAGCAACCAAGGGATAAGTAACCCACACATTGTTGGACATGAGTGGAACATATGTATCTTTATGGCAATTATGGAGTATAACCTGTGACACCCATGGTTATTTAATGTTTTTTGGCAAGTCACAAGTCATATATTAGCTGAAAATGTGTGTGGCAATCTCAGTTGCTACTTTTGTCATCTGTACATGGTTCATTGCTTCTCTGCTTGATCATAGGCACTGGTAGAATTGAAGAAAGCTCTAGCCATATCATGCTGACTACATGCCAATCATGTGAAGAATCTCCGAATTCACAGAACTTCTAGAAGAGGATCTTACTGAGACAGCTAGAACCATCAGAAGGCCTCACCTGCTTCCTGTATGGTGTGATGATACCAATGTCTTTGGGTGAAGTGCGAGACTGGCCTTTCTTGCCTTGCTCTTCTGGGAGCAGCTCCTTGAGGTAGTCGATCAGTATGGTAATCTCAGCAGTGTTGAAAAATGAAGGGCTCCTCTCTTCCCTCAAGTCTTCTCCACAAACTCCATGAAATATGATGGGGAAGTCCTACAAGAAGAACACCGGAGAAACACAACCTCAAGTTGTTCACCTGTGGATGCCTATGTGGATATGGCCAAATAACTTGATGCTCACCTGCTTGACCAATTCTTTCCAAGTGCAATAAGAATGGCTGATGCAATGATCGGCACACACCTGCAGCTCCCCATCATAGAACTTCTCATTGGGGAACTTGAGGATGGCAGCATGGGACCTAGCACACAAAGCAATAGGAACTGCCAAAGACTGGCTGCAGAGTAAAGACATGGCTTCCTTCCCCTTCTAGCTTAGGCTCGAGTCCCTACATTCACATTCTTGCTATACCACAGGCTAGATCATGTATGTTTTTTGTAGCCCAAAACCATCATTAATAGAATATACTAAAAGGGTCGTTCCTTGCAACTTCTGTCCCCACTTCCAAAGTTGGGGAAGTGCTGCCTGCTTCACAAAGGTGCTGCAGTTAGATTGAGTGGGTATGGAAAACATTTTTGTATATTAAAAATGCTGTGATTGCATGTCAGGTCGGTTTTCTGGCATTTCATCCACAAGCAAACCAAGAAGGATTTTTGCCTTTTCATTAAAATGAAATATGGCAGTCCTTCAGCATAAGCAGAATCAAGCATTTGGGGAACCTCCAACACTGAGTTCTGCTGTAACCCTTAGAAATCTGGCCCACTCTATGGACTACACTTATCAACTTAAACTGGAAAGAGAAAACCCTGAATTTTGCTCATCAAGTCAGAGACATGAGGAGAACTGTGGCACACTGAAACTTCCCTTGTATCAAATCAGCAAAACCAGTCAGGAACACTGGATCTCTTATGCTCCACCTGCTGGCATTTCAAGGCAGTGCAGACGTACCTGTAGTTGCGCAGCAGCTTGGTGATGAACGTTGAGTTGTAGCTCCCATCCTTCTTTTGGTATAGTGAGTTCTGCTGCATAAGCCGCTCCAGCAGGGAAAGCCCTACGAGAGAGTGCTTGCAAGTGAATGCAAGGCATTAGGGCTGTGTGTCATCTTACCAGTCCCTTTCTTAGAGCAGCACTAAGGTACAACTGAAGTGTGAGTCCTAAAGTACGGCTACGGCCAAGGGCAAAAAGCAATGCATGTAGCCCTGAGCAGTAAGCTGTTTGGGTTAAGCAGGTTCACATAAACTGAGCTGATTTAATGGCACCACCAAAAATTGTAAGCACATTTGTGTATATACTTAAAAGAATCCTAAATCATACGGGGTGCATCTTCATCGAAATAATTTACAACATTGGTTGCATCCTCAACTGCGTCATTGACACACTATGAATTAAAATGAGTTTCATGGGCTGGAAGACAAGACCCTCCACATAATTGTTTTAAAGGAATGTTGACCTGCAAATTCAACAACAGTCTTCCTCAAGTTGGTACCTTTCAAATGTTTTAGACCGCTTGTCATGCTGGCTGGGGCTGATGGGAGCTGAAATCCAAACATCTGATTGACACTAGATTGGGAAAGACTGATCACTGGAGGGCTTTGGCACAATGTTTACCTGCTTTACATCTCCTTTACTATGGACAGATATAACTAATCTGCTGTTACACAAAATACTAGGAAAACAGACTTGCCTGAAAAAACACTCAAAACCTACATCATGGTAATACTTTTATTAGGCTGACTCAAAGGTCACAAGATACTGTGCAAGCTTCTGCATTCTCCTTAAATGTTTATCTGGCAAGAATCCCTGCAGGCAGAGGGAAAAGTGGCCAATGTTCAACCAACATGATCTACATTTGGCTGTGATCTCAAAGAATTTGGGAAGACACTGCTGGCATTTAAACTGGACTCTACCAGGTACCATGATTGTTTCAGGCACATGGCATCTCCCCAAGACTTGGTGGGAAGAACAGCTACAGCTGATCCTGTTTGTGAAAATAATTCTTCATTAAAGTCTGCTTTTCACTTACCCAAGCCATGCTCAATAGCCAGAGGAGATCTCAGGACTGGACCCAGTTGCTTGGGATCTCCTGCCAAAACTAGCTGTCCTCCTTTAGCATTAGTCTTTGGATCCATCATGGTAAGGATTCCTAGAATGAAAAGATGGAGCTCAAGCCATTGCTCAGTCTGCTCCACAGGTGGGGTAGAGGTTGCAGAGTCTCATTGTCTGTTCCCTAAGGTTTCAAAGCTATAGTCAGAGCCCTAGAATTGAGAGCATCTTGAAATGTGCACTGAGAAAGACAACCTAAGATCCTTCCATGAAAGCAAAAAAGATAAGTATGCAAGATAAGCTAAGTGCTGTTTAAAGATGTTGAAGGACATTTTCCAAACAAACAGTTTAATTCAGAGTCTTTAAGTCCCTTGAGGGCAGAACACTATCTTTCTGTGCCACTCAACAGCCAAAGTTCTCTGGGTTGTGCAGAAAAATTAATATAACACGCTAAAAACTTTAACATACAAAAACTTAAAACATCATGAAACCGCTAAATACAAAAAACAATAATAAAAACAAAACAAAAATAACCAGGACCTGGTTTTTTAAAAAGCTGAACATCAAAAAGAACCACCATACACTACTTAAATATTTGGGAATAGAGGAAAGTTTCAACCTTCCACTCAAAAGATTACAGTGTTAGCAGAAGCATCCCAGCACTGAGAAAGCCCTCCTTGTTACCATTCTCTGAACTTCCCTTGAAGGAGACACATGGAGGAGGGCCTCTGGTGCTGCTTGGCATGTGGGGAGCCGCTCCATCAATTGCTGTGATCATGTAGGACATGACAGTGCATACAGTGCAAATAGCCATCCAGTGTGGGAGCCAAATATCCAGTGAATCAGTCTTGAAACATTAACATTTTAAAAAAAAGTTTCCCACAGAAACATTTGGCCTTTTCAGGATAGAAGAAGATGCGGATGGAGCTACAAAAGGGCCACAGCTCACCTGCAATAGCAATCAGGCTTTCAGTTTCACAAGCTTGGCCACTTTCATCGATGAAGACATGGGAAAAATGTCCTGGAGGAAAATCTGCTGTCACCAATCTAGCCAGGAAAAACACAGAATAAAGCATTTGCAGGGATATTCAGCTTTCCAACTGGAGCACAACATTGCTAAGCAGTCCCCTTAGAAACACTGAGTAGAAAAATTTCCTTTTTCTTGACTGTTGCAAGAGGTCCCTGTGTCAACAGCAGTAAGACACAAGGCGGCACCCAACTTATTACTTCCCCATCTCTCCTATCCTTAATTTAATTTTTAGCCCATTCTTCCTCGCAGGAGCTTGGAGCAACAAGCATTCCCACTGTGCCCCCTTCCCATTTTTATTATCACAAACAACCCTTTTGAGAAGGATTAAACTGGGGTGGGGGGGTATGTGAAGCAGGAAGTTGAACCTGGATCTCCTTAGCATCTTGTCCTGTCGAATATGAATCCCAGCTTTTTGCTTTTTATGCTTGTGTTTTTTATGTGTCAAGATCCCCAAATTCATATGAAATTGATGACATACCTGCAGAACTGCTTTACTGTAACTAAGATGTACTGTTATTGTGTGTTGCTTATACCACCTTTGTTCCTTTTCATAGGACTACAATCATGCATCAGCACTATGGCAGAATGAAGTAATTCCCTGACTTGGGAGAATTTTAAGAATTAACAACAGGGACCACAGTACTCTTTTTTCCCCTTCTCCCTCCCAATCTTTTTTCCCTTTGCATTGTATTTTTAGATTGTTAGCCTGGAGGCAGAGACTGCCTCCTCATTCAGTGTTGTACGCTGCTGTGGATGCATTTCCTGGCTGAAAAGAGGGGTAAAAATGCTGTAAACAAATAAAATGTAGTAACAAAAGTGCTGGCCTTGGCACAATCAATTTCAAAGTGAAACAGAGCCCTCTGCAAATAGAGAAGAGGATTTTTTTAGTCCTTCTGGGATGTTAAAGTCTCAGGTGAGCAGAGGATGTGCTGAGTCACCCCAGTTAATCCCTTCTCCAGCATCTGTGCACACAGCAAGGACACCTGAAGGGAGGAGCCTTCATGAATGTGAACCTGCACCTCCAGGCTTCCAGGCAAGCCAGAATTCTGTGCTTTCACAGTGAGGAGTTCAGTCCAAGTCTTGTCACCGCAACGATGTGGCTGCTACCATTTCTGTGCTGGCCTGATTTCCATTCACTTTAAACTGTATATAAGCAGCAGCCATTAAAATTCCATGAACCCTCTACTTTCATACAGTATAGCAGTTATGTGGAGTCCTGACCATATTAAGGGTGGGCTCAGGTAGCACTCATGCCACAGTAATACTCCCTTAACTCTTACTTAAGTCACCTGGAGAGCAACAGAGCATGCTCAAGGAGAAGACTTATGCTTAGAAATCATGATGAACTGCATCCACTGGCTGCAGAAGTATTCCCTCTCACATATATCTCATGAAGGGGTCTTTCCCCTCCTCTGACTGCTGAGAGAGGACACAAGCGTATATTCCTGTTATTAAAAATACTGTGACAAAAAGGTTTTTCCATTTTAATGTTTTAAATATATTCTAAATTCTATGCCCACTATACAGAAAGACATTATCTGTATCCTCTGTTAGTTTTGCTTGGTACTTGGTCCTTCCTACCTTCCTGCTGGCACCAGAGTAGTAATGATCACCCGGTAGTTTTTCAGTGTCTCCTTTCCAGGAAAGACAACACAATTCTGTATCTTGTCCCAGTTACAGAGAGGCTAAAGGCAAAAGAAACCATTAGGATAGCTGAACATTGCGGCTTCATTAACCTTCGTAAACTCCTTGGTCCAATGTTTGAAGATGGGAGATTGGTGGTGAGCTTGCCTACTAGACTATTGCCCTGAAAGGTCTTAAAATCCACCAGGGCAGATACACACCTTGATATCATCAGGGATTGTGTAGTATTCCCTACTCTTGGCATTGAACCTGTAGATGTTTCTCTTCTCCACATGTTTCATGAGCAGTTGGCAGAGCAGGTCACAGGCACTATTGGAGGGGGCACAGGCAAGCACATGGGAATCCTCAATGCAACATAGTACCTGAAAAGGGTAGAATCATCAGAGTATTTATGATCAGACAAAAAAGCCACACTTTCAAGATTATAGCAATGGCAGCATCAGAAGGTTCAAAAGCTACCTTGAAAATGACTCAGACTTGCAGGACGCTAACTGGAGAAGATGCAAAATTCAAGTCCAAGTCCTTGCAAGATTCTTGGATTGGGTTCAAGTATTCAGTCCCATCTTGAAAAGACCTTAAGGAAGACTACCTCACTGCCCTGAGCTATGGAACAATCATGGCTAATCTGACCATAATGAGGAAGAATTTTCCTTACCTGTTTGATGGCCTCCACCATGGTGACTGTCTTGCCAGTGCCTGGTGGTCCAAATATAAGGTATGGGGCTGGTCTGGAGGTGCCTGCCACCACCTGATAGATAGCTCTCTTTTGCTGCTCATTTTCCTCAAGCTTGCGATCATGTAGACTAGATAGTGGGAATAGAGAAAGTGAACACAAAGCAGTGGTAGCGATAGACAGGGCTGCCTCCACGCACATGCTCATCTGAAACTTAGCTCTTAACACATCACGATTAAACTATCTCCAAGCTAGAAGGGGACTTCTGGCCACTTCCAGCCTCTCTCTGCCTGCCTGCCTGCCTGCCTGCCTGCCTTTCCTCCCAGTCTTTACAACTTACTTGAGGCACTGCCCGGCAGACAGAAGGGATTTCTCATAAGACAGAGATGGGAAGAGGAGATGTTGCAGTTTCTTCTTTCGGGCAAGAAAAACAGCACGATGTTGGCTCCGTAGTGGTAGGCGATTGAAGGTAAATGTCACATCGAACTTCATATTCTTGATAAACTTAGATAGCAGTCTGGGAAAAGGACAGGGAGCTTAAGAGTATATACACAAGCACTGGCCATTGATGACCTCCATCACTGCACTGGCCATTGATGTTTCAGGAATTACTCCTGCTGGTTACTAATTTCCACCACTCTTTCTACTTCCAATGTGCTTGAGAATGTTACCATGCTGTCTTCTATCCTACTTGCACTCTCCTCCTAAGGTATGCCCCTTTCTCATATCAGGCCACATCCAATAGTCTAGCTATCCTACCAGTTCATCCTTGCTTCTGCCCTGCACCCACTTCCTTTTCAACTTTTTGCCTGAAGCTTCAGGAAAATCTGTCCTTGCTTTCTTCTTCAGCCATGCCTCAAAAGATCAGATGCAAAAACTGCTCCTCCTCATCCTCATTTGCTTCATTTACTTCCCAAACAACCTACAGTTCTCTGAAGAATAGCTCCCCCCCCCCCCACTAGAACTCTTTAGCCTTTTTGGCCACATGCTTCTCTGAGTGCTTGAGCTCAGTATGTCCAGGCAGTGAACATCTGTATTACCTAGGCATTATTAATAATGTGTGTCCCAAAGCATGTTCTTTTAAGGCAGGATGGTTTGAAATTACATTTGTTGAACCTCACAGGAAATAGGAAGCTTTTTATATTGAGTTGGATCACTGTTCTGTCTAACACAGCATTGTTGGTGCTGATTGGCAGCAGCACTCTGGGGTTTCAGCCAAGAGCTTTTTTCAGGACTAACTGGGGATTGCTGAAGAGTGGACCTGGACCCTTCTGCATGCAATATGGGTGCTCTACTACTGAGCCGCAGTTCCTTCCCCGCTGCCCTCCCACAATAAACACAAGTAGCCATGGCTGCTTAAGGAGCTGGTGATCCATTTCTAGGTAGGTCTAAGCCAAGTCTCAAGTTGGAGGACTCACTTTTTAGGGAAGCCCAGCTTGACGTTCTCTAACTCCACTTCATGGACATAGCCCTGGTACCGGATAACTGGGTCCTGCATGCGCTCCTCAGTCAATGTCACAAAAAGATGATCACCTTTCAGTACTGATGGGCGGTTCTCTGCCACACCAGGAACCTGGAGTAAAGGAGAGGACAGTCTGAGATGTAACTACCATCCCATCTTCATGACCCTAGTAATAACTCATGCTGGTAGTGGAGTAGCTAGAGTAACTAAAGATTTTGGATGGGGGAAGTGTGCAATAGCAACATGTCCATGCATGCACAGACATGTGCATGTGCTCTTCCACCTTTGCTGGTCCAACTGTTTTAATTATGAACTCTCTTAATTTGTGTTCATTTTAAAATACCTGAAGCCACTGTTGCTGAAAGGCAGAGCATAGAAGTTGCAGCATCAAAACAACGCTGTAGAAAACCTTAGGCAGAGAGAGTGACTTGCCAAGGCCATTCAATAAACTTTCTAGATGATCAGAGATTTGAAACTTGTTGCTTTCTTACATCCAAAACAAATTTCTGAACCACTAAACTACAATCCCTAAGTTACATATTGATCACCTTCAGGACAAGGAGATTTCTATCATTGCTTGCCATCAATGGAACATTATCCATATCATATCGGTGGATGTCCACCTCCATTTGGATCTCTTCCAGGTGAAGAAGCAGATGAAATTTCTGAGGATAGTTGTCAAACTGCAGGGGGGATTTCAGTCTGCGCCTGTGGAAATGCAAGACAACATCTTATCAAATTTAAGTTCATTCAGCAGAGGTTAGTCTAAACCTATTTATTTCATAAGAAATGGGACAGCCTATTAGTGCTCCTAAGGAATAGTCATTTAGGACATCAAGAAACTTAGCTTCTCTGTCAGAACTGGAACATGCATTTATCTAGTCAATGCAGGAAGATGAAGCCCTCCTTGAAGTTACAGTACTGCCTCTGTGGGAAGCCCCCCTGATTTCATTACCCATCTGGAGGTACCCTACACCCTGGGCATTCTGGTCTGGGAGATGATTTCAAAGTCCTATGGCTAAACCAGCTTTGGAGACAGGAATTTTCACCCATATTGCTTCTTTGGAAGAGTCTTCACATTTTAAAAATATCAATTTTGCTGGACTCTATGCCCTCCTTAACATAGAAGGAATCTCCTCTGGTTATGCCCTCCTCATGTCCAGAGATGACCGTATCCCATTGGTTATCTGCTCCACCAGGTTTCCATAATGTGCACTATATCTAGCTTCTCCTTTATCACCAGATACCCCGGCTACCCCATTTTGCCCTAGGGCTTCTAGTATTTGCAAAGAAACACTTAAGCACAGTGCTCCCCTCTTGTTCTGGCACATTGTCCTCTCCAACTGCTTATTGTGGCTTACCATAACCTCCCGTCCTACACTTGAGTAATCTGAAACATCCTCCCCTTCATCCACTAGGGATGATTTGACCCAAACCAGATGCTTCCCAGCTCCTATCAGTTTCCTCCAAACTTGGTAATAATATCACAAGTGAGATGCATTTGGAAAAGGGTACATTTTTAAATCTTCTATGCTCAGACAAATAGGGTACAAACTTTTTGTATCCTGCAAATATTATCTACGTAGCCCATTCCAAGCAACAGCTCTTATATGTTGAGTTATGGAGTACATGAGGTAAGTCACAAAAATATATAAAAACATGGCTAACAACTTTTGATAAGGGCAGAAATAAGGGGCAACTTGGTGAAAAGCAAAGAGAATGGTAACTTCCTATTTCACAGGTACTTACAAGAGTCGGTCAACTTGCTTACGGGTGCTGTTATTGAGTGTAAGATCTTCATTCAGGTACTTCAGAGAATTCTTCAGAGGTGCTGGGTAGTTGTATTTTCCCAGAGGTATTTCTGGCTGAATATAATTCTTCCAAGAGCTAAAGAGGGAGAATAAGTACAAAGCATGATTGTTCATTATAAAGATAAGTATATCGAGACAATCTCCAAGTATAATAATGCAGTTACTATCCAAATACATTTAGTACCAATAGAATTTTAGGTGTTGTGTGGCTCCCTGTAATCATCTTCTAATTTTGCCTAAAAGCTCAACATGGCCAACTGAAGTAGCCAGAATAGAACATTGCAAGGTGGTTCTGGGATACATTCAAACCCCCCACTGCAGACATAGGTCCCATGAATAGTCAGGTGGCTTATTCACACATGCATTTTTACCTCTTCGAGATCACATCATCAAATGGCAGGCTGAATGTACAAAACACAACCAAAGTTCAAATACCATAGGCAAAGCCTTTGGATCAACACAAGAGCATGCCAGTGATCAGACAGGTAGTGTATTTGTCATTGCCTACCCCCAAAATCACCCTTTTGTCCCTCCTTCTGGAGGGAAGAACCAGGGTACTGACATGAACCATGTCTTTCTTACAAAATGGCACTTCTGACTGAGATATGATCAACAGATATTCATTGACAAACATCTCAAATATTATACAATCCTTTCTGTGACTGCAATTCACATGTATGAGTCACTGAATGAATAATGACTGAGGCACATGAGTCAGTTCCTAAGCCAGTCCTGGTATGGCTGAAAAATGAAGGACTAACCTCAAGGAAGAGTTAGGCGAGTGGCTGAGATTAGGAATGGAAAATGATAAAACTCTATAGTTATGGACTACAATAAGCCATTGTTCTAACTTGATTCCAAGACCAATTCTAGCTTGCAGCTCAAAGTTATTACTTTCCATTAATTTAATACTGATGGCGTGCAAGGTTCTGTACAGAACTTTGTCATGGATCACTTCGATATGTGAAACCCAAGATGTATGATTTATCAGTTTACATAAGATGGACAAAATATTGAATATGGAAAAGCTTGGAGATAGTGATTTTAAGAAGTGAAGAAGAGTTAGATCAGAAGTCCCCAGCAGAGTGTATGAAGACAATTAAAAAACCTCAAAAATGGTTTGAGTTTAATATTTGTACAACAGGTGCCCCTAAGTATGACTGCATATGAAATGCTTTAACTTTCCATCAACTATACATAGGTGTCAACAAAAGTGGATCAAATATCCAAATAATAATTCCTTTGAAGCTGGGCTTTTTATGTCACCCGTTCAAATATTAAAATGCTGTAAACATCCTCAATCCATTACATTACTGGAGGTGGATGTTCATACTTCTAATTTTGTAACATCAGTCTTTTAGATGTAAAAGCAGATAATTTATGCTGATCATTTGTAAATTTTAATGGATCTGGGAAATAATTTAAAAGTATGTGTCCATCAGTAAGTATTAAAGACTATTCTCCAGTACAAAATGATCTGTGTAATAACCTCCTTCTCAAAAGAAACAACTACTAGACAATGCCAAAACACATTTTAAAATAAGCACTAGCTCTATTGTACCACCAGCAATTAGCAAATCAGAGATTTCTTTATTGAAGGGATGTTATTATGTCCAACATGCACAAAACAAAAGGTTTTAATGAATATTACCCAGCCTAAGCTCCATAGATATGGCAGGTAGATGGCAAAACAGCAATCCACTGATTAGGCATGTTGTGGTGGTATCCACAGCGTTTCCCAAATTCCCAAAAAGCTTGGGGACCCCTGAATGAGATGGCGGGGGGAAAATTAACAAAACAGTGGCATGGCTGCTTAAGAAATTCTGAAAAGGATGGGATTTCTGAAGGTTACGGAGAAAAAGTGGTTGAGAGTGGGGAAGAATAATTAAACCAAAAGAGGACATGAGACTAATTGTGAAGCTCTACATACATGTTTGTTCGGACGCCTTTCTCTGTGATAACAAACTGAGGTCTACGCAGTTTGGCTTGGTAGGGCTGATAAGGTGCTGAAGGTCCCAGCTGTTCTGCTAATTTGCTATTGACGACCACAGATACAAAACGTGCAATAACAAAGGACCCAGTCTGCTCACTGGTGAACTCAAACGTCACAGTAACAGGAAAGTAGCCATAATACGTTGACTCACAGCGCATCATCATCTTATATGTCATTCCTGAGGACAAGAAAGTCTCTTTAGATTACAATTTATTCTCAACTGAAAAACAACATATACTGTCCTTCAGAATATTTTTAAATAGTTCACCGACTGCTTCACATTAAAATATGCAAAATAAATAGAAGCTGTGCATAATTTGGGGTAGTATGATATTTACCTGATATAATATGCAAACAGTTGTTTCTCTCTAAAATTATTTATTTATTTATTTATTTATTAAAACATTTCTATGCTGCCCCTTGCCGAAGCCTCGGGGCGGCTTATAACACAATAAAATACAAAAAAAAATACAAAAAATACAAAAAAATAATATGCGGGTGTAGCTGTATTATACCACAAAACTTGGCACATTTTATGACATCTGTAAGTAATGGTTGGAAACAATCCACAATGACAGAATTTTAACTCTGTAATGGTGGGAGAGACAATCCTTTCTTCCACACTTCAAAACAGTGACAGTTTTAGCAGATGTTTGCTTTCACTACTGTAAACGAGCACTTACAACTCTGTCCCTACCACATCAAGTACAGTATGGGATTTTTTACTAGAAGGAACCCCTGATGTACTTTAAAAAAAAATCTCTTAGCACTTTGTGCAAGAGAAATCCCTGTCAATTCTGGAAAGAAAATTGAAGCTGAAGAATTGACCAGTAGTGAGAAGTTTGCATTTTGCCCTATCCAAGTCTAAAGTTTCCATATTACCCTATCGAACCTCTACCAAGCAGTATGTTTCAACAAATTTATCAGGCAAATTAATAGTTACATATAAGCAACTGTAACTTAATTTCAAGTTTGGTTGTGTTTAGATTTTGGTTTGGTGACATTCACGACAAAAATAAAAGGAAAGAGAATGAAAGTTGCAACAAATACCATTAAATACATGCATAAATAGATGTATTACCTGGAGGTAGCTGTCTGGGCAAGGATTCAGAAGGCACCATGGTCACTTCACGCCGTTTACGCTTTTTGCACTTGCACAGTGTAACTTCATTTGTCCCACAATTCTTTATCTCAATGCTGATCTCCTTCATCGTATTTGGAGATATTTGCACTCGAATTCTACCATTACCCTGGTCACAAGGAGAAACAATGTCCACTCCGTGCTTCTCGGAGACAAATTCAGCTCTGGTGAACAGAGATTGTGGTGTTACTTTTTGTGCAATATTCCATCTTGTACATATATTTGCAGGACTGGGCCCAAATGCTATTGAGATGCCTTACCCAACATAGTACTCTTCAAACATTTGGACTCTAAGCCCCATCAATCCCAGCCAATGATTAGGCATGATGGCACCAAGCTGGGGAAGCTACTCTGTGATAATACCTATAGTTTTGATCTAAAGCTTTTCAAAGGACATCAATGATATACAAACAGGATTGTCAAGAAAGAAATAGCAGAGACTTTTCAGATCAGTCTGTCAGGAACACAGTTACTGACAGTCTAATCTCAGTTATCCATGCTCTGGTAATTTCCATGTTAGTCAAGGTTAACATAGGTACTAGTGTTACATGTGCAGCTTTGAAGATTGTTCAGAGAGTGCAGAATGCAGCTGCTAGTGTGCAAACTGAGACAGGATGTTATGACATTACACCTGTGCTATGCCCACTGCACTACTTCTTCGTCTGTTTCTGTGACCAATTCAAAATGGCAGTGTTGGCCTTGAAAAACTTTATTCATTTATTAAAAGCTTTTGTATCCCATCCGCTACTACAGCACATCTTGGGATGGCAGCATTATTGCTGTAGGAACAGGGTACTGAAAGGACTACCTGAGCTTCTGTACTTGGTCTTCTGCAGGTACCTGCTGTGATTGAAGTAAGTGGCTACTAGAGTAAGGATCTTCTTGGTGCTAGCATTTTAGCTGTGGAACACTATCCTTAGAGTGGTTTGCTTGGTGTCTATCTCATTGACTCTTGGTACCAGGCAGAGACCTTTTTATTTTCCTGAGAATTTTACATACAATTTTAATCTTACTGTTTCCTTTTGCTTTTACAATTATGAGGCTTTAAGCATTTACACACAAAAGTAATGGTCTGCTTTTCTTTTCACTTTTTTTGTGAAATACATTGGAAATGCAATTTAAGGTGAGTGCAAAGATTTTTCTTTATTTAACATATTTATCATAAATACCCAGCTTCCCCATGTGCATTACTGCCACTCCCCACCCCGCCCTGAAAAAAAATTGCCGGAGAATCAACTATAGCTGGATTATGATCAAGTGGCTTAATATCTCCTCCTAACTAGCTGTAAGCCAATAAAACGGAAAGTGAAACTGTCTGGGTTTCATTTTACAATGATGAAACAGAAGAATTAGAGCAAAGCTCGTAAAATATGTAATGAAAGGTGAGGAATCCACAGAAGAGATAAAAAAAGAACCACACGGCAAGTCCCAGAGAATTTGACGAAGCTGGATCTTTATGATGAAAGAGGGATCTCAAAGATTCTGTGCGAATGAATCACGTATCACAGGAATGGATAAAGTTCTCTTTGGAACATAGTGCCAGTAAGTTGGTCCATGAGATTATAGTTTTCCAACTCATTACCACTTCCCTTCCTTACCTGGCTTTAGCATGTGATCTGCAGGAATATGGGCCAGCACCAGGGCCTTGATCCTGGGCATGTTTATCTCTAGCTTCATTCCTTGGTTTCCAGTACTGATCAGTAAGCTGTACCATTTTCTTCCCCTGTTGATGGGAACAAAGAAGCAACAAGGTGGTGGTTTCCAACTTTAGAACAAATCTCTCCAGGGGGGCCCATTATTGAGGCTTATTTTCACTAGAAACTGCATATACATATTAGATGTGAACTTTGGCAGGATTGCCTCTGCTCTCTGACTGGAAAAAAAAGGCATTTCCAACAAAATTAACTGTGCCATGAAACTACCTGCATACAATAAGTTGATTTGCATGAATTTTATGACTTTACACAATTCTTCTGCTTCTGACAGTCTCTTCCCATTGCAAGATTTTAAACTGGGTAATTAAGCATTGCTTGTGAACAACTGGGAACCATACACAAGTCCCTGCCTACCCACTTCAGTGCTGCCTCTGCTGTTTCAAATCTAGAAATTCATTTCCTGGCTAAAAATAATATCTGAGATTCTTGAGAAAGTTTGGATCCTGATTGGCCATTCTATGAATAATCCATGCTTGAGCAGTACAACCACTAAATTTCAGAATACATACCTGAACTGCCACACATACCAGAATGCAAAACAAGTAACAAGGAAATTATACCTTAATATTATGACCAAGAAAGGAGAAAGATTCTCTGAGGGAAAAGTTACTTGGCCAGACAATCTCTACTCTGGATAAGAGAACCTGCCAAATTACCAGGTAATTTCACCACTGTGTCCTGCTCAGCTCCATCTGCACCAACTGACTGTTGCTTCCAGGGCCTCAGGCGAAGACTCTTATATGATGAACCTGAAAGGTGCCAACTGAGGATGCCACTAAAAATAGCTGCATGGATTTTGTGTTCTCTGTGTCAGTGATGCTTCTGAGACATTCTTTTCACAGGCCACAGATAACAATCTGCCAATTGTATGGCCTTGATTCTACCTTTTACTTTTCTTGAACATGAATGCCAGCAGACAATCATGAGAAAAAGACGTGATGGTAGTTTCTTTTTCCTGGGCTGTGCACGCACTACACAGACTGCCTGCATACCTTTGCGAAGCACAATTGAACTGCATGGTCTTTTGTAGCGTTCGGAATTGGATTTGAAGCCATTCCTCACCATATGTGGTGCCTGATGACATGGCAAACCACACCTCACAAGAGTAAATAGGCAACTTGTTTTGCACATATTCAGCATGCACAATGACGGGGGGGGGGGGGAGTTGGGGAGGGTACTGCTGTTTTCCTCAATAATCATTCAAACCCACATGAAATGTCAGAAATTCTCCAACTGATTTACATATTTTTGATATGGTGCAGGCAAATGGAACCATTTTATTGCAACCAAAGCATCTGCTAATGGATCAATGAATAAAACATGTAACATACTGTTGTTATTCTTTAAGTCAGTAAAGGAAGATTTACATTAAACATCTGTGTATCACAAAAAGATATTGAGAGGATCCATTTTCCTTTTCTTCCATGGCCAGCCTGAAAGAATTTCTCTTTAATCTCCCTGAAATTCATGGCAGCCCATCAATGCCAGGACAGCTCAGTTCAGTGGTCAAGAAGGGAGCCAAGAAGCAACAACAAACCCATTTCTTACCTTTGCAAACTGTACGCTTTTGTTATTTACTGTAGCACTGTTGTAATTCATTAATCCTAAGAGCACAGAGGAGAATTTAGGTCTTCTTGGGATATCTCCACCTGGGCTATGACAAACAGAAGCAAGATTATTATTCAGCAACAGATACTAAAAAGAGTGGAATCATTCTGGTGAATTAATGTCCAGCTGAATACTGTAACCTCATTACCTACTTCCTCCCTTCCTGTACTTAGGAAGTCAGAACCTTCCTCCACTTCATCCACTAGAGATGATTTGATGCGTCCCAGCATGTCAGCTCCCCACATCCTGCCTGCCCCACCACATAGATACCTTTTCTTCTTCCTGAACCTCAAATCTGAAACAATTGGGACTGCAAATATCTGTGACTTTGCATGTCAGCTCCCCACATCCTGCCTGCCCCACCACATAGATACCTTTTCTTCTCGAACTTCAAATCTGAAACAATTGGGATTGCAAATATCTGTGACTTTACCAGGTCTCTTAATGGTGGAAGGCAGAATATATTGCCCACATTGTTGAGATCTGTGAACCTGGTTCTTTCATATAACTATTACCAAGAAGAAAGCAGCTCTACTTGGACACACTGGTGTCTGTTCTGCAGAACACTAGCAGGCTAGTCACAATCCAGCTTAGACCCTTTTGCTCCTTTGTACATTTTTTCTGGTTTTCGTTTTCACATATGGTGATCAGCATCCGACTCACTCATTAACTTCCCCACCAAAATTCTCTGGCCAAATTTCCTGTACTCCCATATTCTTAACAGCACAAAAACTTCATCGTCAGGTCCCAACCCTTTTTTGCAGCCCTACTAGTTGGTGTGGGATCACCAAGTTTGCTATTAGAAGGATATGATTCCATAGATTCTCCCCCTTGCAGTATTGTGCATATTGCTACTCCCTGCCCCACACAAAATACAACGAATATAACTGACTTCATGAAGACGTATTCAGTTCTAAAATCGCTCATAAGATAACCTCCAATGGGCCAAACTTTTCCCCATTGCATACAGCTCTTCTATACATTCTTGAACACATCATCACAGGGTGGACATTCCCCTCAGAGACATAATTAAAAAGAAAGCAGAAGTGTTACCTTTCCTTCTTTCCCATTTCCTCAAGTCTGCTTGTTACCCTGGGCTTCTTGCTTTAATGGAACACTATTTAAACCCCAATACATCCTTTGTAAGTGTAATAGGAGAGGGGGTTCTTGTTTTGGTATTTATTTGAATGTTGTTCATTTTAGCTGTTTATGGAAAGCTCTGCTTTCAGCTGAAAAAACTCCTGTAATGGCTTTCGTTAGATCAATAAAAATGAGAAAGTCTCTGCACTAGTAATGTACTTGTGACCTAAGAAATGGGAGAGGCAAACAGAGCACACCGTGCATATTTAAGAGTATTTTGAGATAATTGGCGGGTTATTGCTTTGTTTTCTCAAACTTGCTAATTTACATCACAATCCGAAATCCTTCTATTTGGAAGTAAGTTGTACTGAATTAAGTGGAGCTTGCTCACAAGATACAGGATTGCAGTCTTCAGTCACAAGTGTTTTTGGTCAGAGCACTTGGCAGACAAATGGCTGTGAGCCATGCTGAATCCATGAAATACAGTGTGGTAGAAAGTCTGAAGAGAGGCACAATGAGTGGGTCAACCTGTGTAGCTGTTTTCTGCTGGAACCATGCTAGACCAAGTGTGTTGACGCCAGCCCAACAATTACTGTCCTTACATTACGTTTCCCTATCAAGCTACCCTGGCTTCTTTAAAGGGAAAGACAGAAAATAAGTACCAGCAGCATCAAAAGGTTTCAGAGCCAGATCTTAACCCAGAACATAGTTCTCCAATACTGGCTTTTCTCCACCGCCATCCTACTCCAATTCTCGTATTTTTCGTGACAGAGAGAATTTACCTGCTGTGTTAGTATCTACACTTGATCTCCCCCAGACTTTATTGTTGTAAGCCGCCCCGAGGCTTCGGCGAATGGGACGGCATAAAAATGTTTTAATAAATAAATAAATGAATGAATAAAGCGCCTCCCTCCCGCGCACACGCAAACACATCCACATCCACATTAAGGTCCAGATCCGGATTGGGACCTCGGTACCTATGCATCATTGCTTTCTTAACAGTGCGTCCAAGATTATTGATTACTAAAAAAAAAAAAAACCTCGGTGTTTTCGCTCCTTTTTTCTTGGCTAGCTAACAGAAAGAAGTCTCTCTCAGTGCTCTCTTTTTCCCACTACTCCCGTCCACTCACCCGGACCGGAACTCCTGGTTGTAGATGTTCGCCAAGGCCTCTCTGTTGGTCTCTGCTTCCTTGCCAGTGTCTTGTAGAAACTGCACAAATTGCTCTCCAGCCTCCTTTATCTGCTTTATAGTGCGTTTCCGCACGCTTCTTCTCTGCAACCACAGCTTCTGGCCAGGACACGTAATCAGCTTCCAAGGCTGCACTCTGAGTGGGAGTGATGAAACGAAACTTAAAACGAATGCACAGGCAGGCCTGGCTAGGGGTGGAGACGCACCTCATACCCCCTCATCACGTCTCCTGCCGATGCAAGAAGGCATCTGGGAATTTCTGTAGATTTCCCGTAGGTAAATTTCACCCCCAGGAAAAAGGAAGTGAAAAAGAAAACGGAGTGGAGCGAGCGGAGTGGGGGAGAGAATTTAATTCTATAACCTGTTTTCAGTGGCAGCTTAGATAGCTCCGAATGAGCAATGTAAGTCCAAAGGAAACATGTAAAAAATGCATTTCTGATTTTGAAATCGGAAGCTGAGTTACGGTTTTTATCCAGCAAGCTGAGTCAAGGTTTTTATTGGTTTATGCAGGTACTCCTTGAATTGGAAAACTTTTGTTCCTGTCTCACAGTGGACTAGCAGCAGTAACTAGGCAAGTACTCCCACACAATTTCTGATCCACGTTTTGCTCAAACAAATGACTTTCCATTCTGACAGAAGCTTTCCATTCTGACAGAAGCTTTCCATTTATACCGATAGTCTTTGCTCCCCACTGCAGGAAGGTCACACAACATTGCCTGTTCACTTACTTACTTACTTACTTATTTAATTTATTAAAACATTTTTATGCCGCTCCATTCGCCGAAGCCTCGGGGCGGCTTACAACAATAAATTAAAATACTTATAATCTTAAAAATATAAACATTAAATTTAAAATACAAAAATACAATATAAAATTGTATGATGCATGATGCATATGTATGCATGCAATTGTATGATGCATGATATGTGAACTGTCTTTGTTTCTCCACCAGCCCAGCTTGTGGGTTTTTCCTGCTAAAGCTTCTTTGCATCTCTGCAAACACTGAGGCTTCTCGAGGTTTGTTAAAATCCTTTTGGCTACATAAGATTTCACTCTAGGATAATGAGTTCATTTTTTAAGATACAGGATTGTGTGCCCACGGATGGCTAGTGGCAAGTTCTTAGGAACAGTCAGGAGCTAAATTCTCTTTAGGCTAGCTTATGTTTCCGGAATGACGACTCTGGATCCAGCCTACAGTAAATAAATGCGTAATATAACAGTTGATGTTAAACTTACCTAGAAAGGCTTACGTAGCACCTGTACTATGGTTTTTTCAGCTCCAGGCAAAATCCTCTTCTTTTTTCTTTTCCTCAGAGTTTAGCCTTTCATTTTCTGCTGTTTTTAAACTTGTTATTTTAAATGTTTTGCATTGGAGCTATTTTGGCATTTATTTTTACTCCAGTTTTATACTGTAGTTTTGAAGTTTTAAACTTTTATGTTGTATTTTATGGTTTTAAGTGTGATCTGCCCAGAGAGATCTACTAGGCAGGCCAGAAATGTAATAATACCATAATTAGATTCTTAAGGAGCTAACAATATATTCTTCAAACCAGTTTGAAGACAAATTTGGGAAATTCTGTACATGTGTAAGTTCAGTGATATTTCCTGAGTGATATTTTAATAAGATGTTTTCCACTTTTTTTGATATTCCAATTTTTGGAATAATCAAATTAATCCAAAATTCTTTTCAGTCTGAAGGAACTATAGTAAAAGCAGAGAACAGCATATGTAAAAGGAGAAACACTGCAGTTTAATAGCTCTTTCAACAATCCCTTGAAGTCATATGTAAGAAAGTATTTGTCCTCAAGACCATCATTGCAATAAAAATGTATACAAGTTTTCAAGCTACGCACAATACTTGGAAAAAGACTTCTAGTGACCTTGACAATACATTCAGTTTATCTGAACTTTTCACCATTCAATTAAACAAAGAAGAAGGTCATCCTATTATCTGGGTTAAAGATACATTATTTGGTACTGAATAGCTGCATTCTTCAGAATTAGATTCTCTCTTGTTTTTTAGACCAGTTGTGATACTTAGTAGGCCAGTTAGAACATCTCTTTTGTTTTTTAAATATACAAAAGCCTTGTTATTAACTGCTACAGTAAATAACACACTTGAGTATTTAAGCTGTTTTCAGGATGTAGGCCTTTGGGCATATCTGAATGCCAGATAAATCAGAGCCATATTGTTGCCCATTTTATCACCAGGGAGCTGAGACTAACCACAGACTCAACAAGCCCAAATAAAAGTCTGGAGACAGGACACAGTATTGGCAAGCTTTATTCAGGTGTACAATGAACAAAGTGGAGGTATGGAGTATTGTAATACTCCATACCTCAAACTCAAATCATCTTTCCTTGAGCAAGCATTTCTATGTCTTTATATACCTTTGGCTGAGACAGTGCTACTAACCAGGGGCCACAAGCTGTAATTTCCTGAATGGACATAGTCAAACTGTCTAGCTGTGAGGCAAAGCAATCTGCAATTGCCACACTTCCTGGAGTAGTTAAGAGTTCATCTACAGTTCATCATTCCTGGGGCTCTTCTGTTTGAGAGGCCACAGTTAGACGAAGAGTATGGTGTCAGGAATGGGAGATCTGGGTTCTAGTCCCTGCTCAAACATGAAGCTCACTGAGTGAGTTGGGCCGGTTATTATGATAATAAAATGGAGAGGAGGGGAGGTTTATATGTCCTTTATATGACTTAAGGAAAAAGGCAAAAAATTAAGTATAATAAAGAAAATACATGCATACATATTCTTCAGGGACACTTGCATGAACAAATTACAATGACATCTTAATATTTTGTAGGAATTCACGCACAATGCATAACTATGAGTTAATTAACCCATAAATTGCTGGGAATGAGCATGCTGCCTCCAGTATGGTCCTTACTTTTGCTTGCAGTTTAACAACCTACTGGTGCTCTGTTCTGAACCTGGACCCAATCTGTTTAAAGGTCAAACAATCCAGAGTTCACTGATGTTTTACAGAATAGGTGACTGAACTGAAAATCAAGAGCATGCTATCCATTTTCATTTTCAAAGGTTTTTTGCAAGGTCGAGGTGGTCATGAGATATGTTGAAGTCCCAGCTCTGGCACTGGATATGCACTGAGAGCTGGAACTCTATCTGAAATGCCGTTCAGAGCTGGGACTCCATCATCTCCTGCTCTCAGTCTTATCCACTAAGCAACAACCCTGTGAGATAGGTTGGACTGACAGTCTGTGACTGGCCCAAAGTCACTCAATTAGTTCCATAGCAGCACATGGACTAGAACCTAGGTCACCTGAGTCCCAGACCTGTGCTCTTAACCTCTACACCATGCTGGATCTCCAGTGTGCTTTCTATATGGGCTGCGGCTATGAAGGCCAGTTAATGCTTCTGTCCATGGGTGAACTGAGTTCAGAAAATGGATGGCACCTTTAACCTTCTAACTAAACCTGATTGCTATTTGGTCTGTTGCTAGGAGGTGATATCCTCACAAACAACCTGAGCCTTCAAGTGCTTTTGGTGGGGAGAGGGGGGGACGCCTTTCATTTCTTGTCTCAACTCTACGTAATTGCCAAAGCTGTGACCAGCTCCTCAGCTACCAGTGTGTAAAACAGTCGGAATGATCTAAGCAAGGTGGGGTGGAGGAAATATGAAGCAACATATCTGGAACAAAGGAAAAAGACCAGGCTTTCCCCCTCTGCATTGCTTCATTTTTTAATATCTCTTGGAATCTTTTCTTCTTCTTCTTCTCTTGGTTTGTGCCTTTTCCGGGCAGAGAGTGCTGGTTATGGTGTGTGGTGAGGAGTTTGCCTTCTGTGTGTTTTTTTAATGATTAGTCATAGCCACCACAGCAGCCATTATGAGCTTCCCCATGGCAGTTATTTTGTGAGAGCATCTATGCCATGGCCCCAACATTTCAAAGATGTTGATGAGCCCAAAATAGCCCTTGACTGGGCATTTTTCATTCCTAATGTCTAACCATATCCAATCCACTGAACATCCTTATCCATAGAAATCTACCTTTATCTATGCAAAACCAAACAACTAGTGCTACTAACAGTGATCCATTAAAATACTGTTTTTCATATTCTACTTCTGGCTGTTTGTTGCTGTGAAAGCCACATAATAGTTGCAAGAGTTTTGTGATTTTATATATATTTGATAAATTCCAATTGAGACTTGTTCAAAACTGTCAATGATAGCTTGATGGGAAATTGAACAACTTACCACATATACAGAAATATGTTTGTACTACTCATCTCAGCAATGAAATTGGGAACTTGGGCAATTATATTTTATTGCTTTCTCTAACATAGGCATAAAAATACCTCATAAATTTGTATTATAAATTTGTGGAGGCTATCAAGTTACCTGTTATTGTTGATCACCCACTTTAACAGGTTGTATCTGACTTCCTTAAATTTTTTATTAAGAGCTTCTGCTAAGAAATATTTTCTTCATCAAGTTTACCTCTGATAGTATTGTATCTTGAAAAGTTAAAATGCCACCAGGGACCAAAAGTATAATTCTACTTCATACTAGTTAATTTTCCTCTCTTTATATTTGTATTATCACAACAACCGGCTTACTGAGAAGCAGCATACCTTTTCTTATCAGATCCTGGGAATAAAATTTGGATCACTGGCTATCACTCATGGACTTTGGTCAATTTAGTAAGTTTTTTTCATCTTGGCAACTGACTCTTAGTATCACAAACTCTTACAGGTATAAAATCTTTGGAAAAGCCAATGGCTATATTCAAATATAGAAGTTAGAATGCTAGGTTATTAGATTACAATGTACCTGAGCTGCATGCCACTGCATACAGCCTATTCACACATGCTTTGTTCCACTAGCAAATGAACCAAATAGACATGGGATGGATTAATGTTGTATGTGCACCCAAGCTTGTAACTGTCAGGCTAGAGTGCATTTGTTTGAATTTCCTGAGCATCTTCTTCTGTGTCCTGGATGTTCCGCCAAAACCAAAACACAAACACTATCTATTTGGAGCTTTCTTTCATAAATAATTGCTTTTTGAGGATGGTATGTTTGGGCTTAATTGTGGGAATTGAGAATGCAAGGAATGAAAGGACACAGAGGTTCTGATAAAGACAGGGATTCATAGTGAGTAACATTCAGAGCAGCATAGATAATAATGTTTTGCTTTCCAAAGAAGCTGCAATCCCCCTGCAGAATTGCTTCACTCCTTCATGCACAAAAACAGGCAAGCAAACATTCTCTGGAATTAAAATGAAGGACAAAGGTAATAAAATGAATATCCCTTCAACTGTTGGGAGACTGCCAGACAAACTGTAGACAAGTTGGAGGAGTATGTGCTAATTAACCAGACAATCCTAACAGTCTTTGGGCATTTCATTCATAAGAAGCCGGTTCATTTGGAATGCAAATGACCCAGCACAGCCATATACTTCCAGTAACACAACCTGTGGCAGAACAGAGTGTGCCTACTTATGTGTTGCTGAATTGTTAAAGCTAGAATGTTTAAGCTAAAGAAAAAAAGGTTTAAACGAAAAAAAAAGCTAAGGAAGTTAAAATGTCTGCTTAAGTGCTGAGATCTTGTGAAGTTGTGCTTTGCCTATTTCCCTATGGAGAATAATTTCCTAAGTAGGGTTCTCTCTTTTAGGCTAAAACTATTATTATATCCCATTACTGGAAACATAGATGTGAAATCAACCCAAGGTCTGACTAGCAATGGATATTTTTTATTTATTTATTTTTTGATTTATATCCTGCCTTTTTCCTGCAAAGGGCTCAAGACAGCTTACATCTCCTCCTCCATCTTATCCCCACAACAACAACCCTGTGAGGTAGGTTGGGCTGAGGGTCTGTGACTGGCCCAAAGTCACCCAGTTGGCTCCATGGCTGAGCGGGGACTGGAACCCAGATCGTCCGAGTCCCTGTCCCATACTCTTAACCAATACACCACACTGGCTCTCAGATATTGTAAGAGAATTCTCCTAACATTTAGTAGCCATGAAATTCTAGCTCTAATCATGAAAAGGAAAGTCTAACTAGTTTGAAAAGGTGTGCTCTCATTTCAAAGATAGTTATTAAACCTCTACTCACCTCAGAAAAGAAGAATATGAGGAGCAAAATCCTTCCACCTAAACTCAACATTTTCTCAAGTGTTAAAGAAGGCTGAATTCAGTGTAGGCTATCATTAACGCTACCCAAAGCGGGCATGCAAACTATAGAGAAACAACCCAAGAAACGAAACTGTCCCTGTACCGAGTAAGGGAACTCACGAGATCTGTGTTTCAGATTCATTTGACAGATCAACATCAGAAGAACAACTGTTAAGCTCCTTCACCAAACTGCCTAATAAGGAACAATCCAATAAGATCACTGAATTAGCTAAGTTACAATCCGGGTTGATTCAAAGACAACAGCACAATCAAGAAAATATACTAGAATCACCTGTTAATCAAATACCCCAACCATCAATTGTTTCACCTGTATGTATAACTAAAAGGATGGCCACCCCAAGAATTTTAAATCCACCACCCCTGGAGTATGAGAGTGCGAGTCATAACTAAGACTGTGAGAATGCAAGGTCCTGGTTAAGCTACTAGGTTTTACACTGTCCCCAGATTTTTTTGATAATAAGACAGTATAGAAAAAAATTACATCAATTAAAAAACCCTAAAAGATACTGGGATAAAAGTATTACCTTGAAATACAGCAGGGTGGCATTCCAAGCAGCATAGTATGTGATTAATGAATTATATTGAATGTTTTAACTTCATCTTGTTGCAACTGTGAACCTAAAACACTTAATAGTTACAAATGCTTTTCTTTACCAGCTGTTTTCTCTAAGAAAGGTGGTAGGGGCTGGAGTGGAAAGTAACATAAACAGTTGCAGCCACTGTTTATGTTACTTTCCTGAAAACTCATCTCATGCTGGTCACTGTCTATGTACCACCCTGTTATCACAGGTAATGTCTAAAGGGGTATTTCAGAACTATACTGGATCTCTTAAACTGTAATGTCCTGACACAGTATTATATTACTGCTGATTTCAGTGCTCACATGGAAATTGATGTGAGCTTGTGTAACCATTAGATCAGATTTTGGAGCCAGATGTTTGCCCAGAATGTGGTTTCTCTCAATTCCAAGGATATTAAGATATAATTATCCAGGGTTCTGTTTAGCCGTATTTGTAAGGAGAGATTTGATCATTTTAAATGGTACAGCAGATGCTGATTGACCTGGAGAATATACTCATTTTACTAGTTTTGGAGGTAGTGAGGCACCATCTCTCAATTTGCATATTCTGAGTCTGAGGTTGGTTTTAATATGGAAAGTGATCATCTTCCTTTAATGATGCTACTAGCATGACCGCAACATAAATCTTACCTGAAAATCCAACACTAAAGCAGATCTAGGTGTAACTACAGGCAGAATTAAATGGACACCAGCTGTTAATTTAGCCATAACTCCTCTCCTACATATGGAGGACCTAATAGCCACTTGCGTTCTGATTCTACTACTTCTGGAGCTATAAATCTATTTAATACTCTGATTGCACTATCACTTGAGACTTAATAGGAAAAATAAGAGTCAAGGAGAACTCAAACATCTTATAGTTGGTTTGACAATGAATGTAAACAGCCCAAAAGACAGCTGGCAGGTATTATGGTTGAGGTCTTTTGACTAATATATTTCCCTTAGGCAAAAGTATAAACTTCTGATAAAAGGGAGGAAAAACAAGCTGAGAAACAAGCATGGAGAATTTTAATAAAGGCTTCTCATGACAGGGGTACCTACCTTTTTTTGGTGTGTAATGGCAAGCTTGCTAGGAAATGGTTGCAGAGCCCCTGTATGCACTATTGGACCTAATAATAGATGGAATATTATTGCTCATTCTATCAGGGGCACATTAAAGACACCACCCAGATAATGGGAACTCTAGGAAATTTAGTGGCCAGCAGCAACACCACCTGAAGTTAAGAACCTTATTCTTCAGCTAAAAAGTAACAAAGCACCAGGCATTGATTTTTTACCATCAAAAATTCTGAAATCCAATATTGATTGGATGGCCCATCCCCTGATGATTTTATTCACTTTTATCAATTCAACAGGGAAACTGCCAGAAAATTGGGATACTGCAGTAGTTGTCCCCATTTTTAAAAGACCCACATCAGAACCAGTATATTATCACCCAATTAGTTTGCAATGTTTAGTAAATTACATGCAAGACATCATTATAACAACCTGGATAACTGATGAAAATGTCCGGGCAGACAAGCAAGCAGGATTCAGACTAGTTAGGATCCATGGTAAATTATTGCTTTGTTCTAGCTCATTTATTGATAAACTCTAGGAGACCAGGTGGTACGTTGTAAGAAGCTTTTATTGATCTAAGGACTGCATTTGACTCAATTTCTCATTCTAGACTCTGGAACAATGTGATCTCCTAACTGTAGACAAAATACTTATCTTCTTGATTATATGTTTATACCACAACACCTGGCTGAAGGTATGATGCTCCACAGATGGACAACACACTGGACCTATGCTTGTCACAAAGGGAGTCAAACAAGGCTGCATCCTGGCTCCTGCATTGTTTTGTTTTATATAATATTGTTAAGAATCTAAGATCATCAGCATCCCCTATTGGCTACAAAATCTATCTCCATTCTTTATGTAGATAATGCTGTACACCTATCCCAAACTAAAGTGGGCTTAAGATGTTGATGTCCACGAGGAACATCATGGCTGTTAATTACCACAAATCTAAAGTCAAGATGTTCTCTAAGTCACAAGGACCACAAATAACCAGTCAATTAAACAAGTCTTTAAATACCTTGATTTTTTTCAATCAAAAGAGTCTTGGTTAGCTCATCAGAGATACGTGGTGGAAAAGGCATCTCAGTTCTAAAATTCTGATATGCTTTTTCTACACAAGAGAAGGCAACTGCATGCCATCAGCACTTGAAATATTTAGTGCTAAATCTCTAGCACAGATATGTTAATCTCAGATTTGGGTGGATGAGTATACTACAGACACGGAAGGGGTTTAATATAAGATCCTGAGACAAGTATTTATTGTTCCAAGTTGTGTTCCAAATGCTTTGCTGTGTCTGGAAGCTAACCTCCCTTCCATCAATTTATCACTGTGGTTTAAGTGAGGAATTCTGGCTTGTTGTTTGTGTGCATGGTCAAATAAACAGTGCTTTACAACTGCATCAAAAGAAATTGCCAATACCACAAAATGCTTGGGTGCCATTTTTATTGACCACTTGGACATGTCCATTCATACATCTGATACAAATATCATCAAATTGCCACAAAGCATTAAAGCACAATAAATCTGGTGTTCATTAAACATTTACAGCTTTTCACTTTTGTAATTTCTTCTGCATCTAAACAGTGCTGTGGCAGCAATCAGACAAGTATTAAAAAAAAGGAGGATGCATCCTGTAAAAATGCAGATTTCTATATTAACCGTGCTTTCAGGAAAAGAGATAAACAGTTCACTTGAAGAAAATGTGGCTCAAGTCTTTGGATTTAAAAAACAAATGCAACTCCCCCCACCCAAAAAAAAAAAAAAAGACCACCAAAAAAAATATTTCCAGAAGTTCTGGCCTTTGTGGGATTTCTGGGAGGAGTATTGTAAACACTTTGCAAACATGAAAAGCAAAGCCTAAGAGATATTGCTATGTGGTGATTGGCAGATGTGGGGGTAGACTTGAATAAATTGTTTCAGGTGCAGTGCAACAGCACAGAGCTGCCAGCAGTCCTATTAAACTTAATATAAAACCTGGAGTGCTGGCAAGAGTTCCGGAATAGTATTCCTAGTATTACCAGCCTGCATTTCCTTGCTAAGAAGTTTTCCAACCAATACAAGGATAGCACTGATCCTAAAGTGGCCAAATAAGGAACGCCTGCTAGGAAATGCATCATGACTTTTATATAGGAAGTGTAAATGGCAGGGACACACAAAACAAGACAATGCTATGTTTGACAGTCCTCCAGAAGGCTAGAAAACCTGTTAACTTTGAAAGCCCTAGAGAATGCCAACATGTTAGACAGCCTAGGACCATGTTTTCTTTGCATGCTAACATTTCCTACAGTACCTCTGTTCTAGCCTTAGGCATTCTGCATTTCTTTGCCAATCTTGTAGCTGAGAATTTTGTTCCAGTCAATCTTGGTACGGGTGACAGGCAGTTGGCGGCGTAAGGCTTTGAACGTGGTATCTGACATAGTCTGATAATTTTCACTGATTGCTGTCTATAAAGAAACAGACTTAGAGGTTATATTTTATAAAGGCGGAATCACATGCACACCATCGGCATATTGGGTAGCCCCTAATATGCTTTAATATTTAGTATCCGCTGTACCCTCAGTCAATTTAGTTAAAGCATAGTAAAAGTATGGCCTTCCCATACCCGTCTCAATGCATGTTTTTAGGAGTCAGTAGACAGTACACAACTGGAAGGAACATTGGGCTCCCATTCCAAATATAGTAAAAAAGAGGTGCAAATAGCAACAACAGAAGATCAATGTGTTTAAAACAGGCATGCTACAATTATGGAGAAAGCAGGGAGAGATTGTGTTTGGAATTTAAGATCAGAAGAAGCAATACATATGAAAGAAACAAAACACATCACTTTCAATAGCCAATTCCCTGATGTCCTTTTCCTCAGATACTCTCCCCTCCTCCTGACTCATACAAGCTATTGGAGCCTGGCCTGAAGTAAAGGTAGCTTGGGTGACAGCTGGAAATCTATGCTGTGGCTTAACTGACCCCTCTTCCTTCCCATCACATTTTGCTGGCCAAAAACTGCAAGTAAAAATGCCACGTACTGATCTGGATGGGGCTTCTACATTCTGTTCTGTACTGTGACAGAATGTTAAGGTAAATCTGTTTGTTGTTTTCTCAAATGTTGCTGTGCTATATCCTCCTCCTCTTCTATATGCAAAAAGTTTGAAGGCACTAGATACAGGAATCCTGCTGAATTTAAGTTGGATGACGGACTAATTGTGGGCCTTATGTAAGCAACTTTAAATATTATGGAAGAAATGTCGAATATAGTTCAAGAATATTAGTTATATATGATACTTTGTTTTTAAATTGGATTTCTAACTAATTTATGATAGTCTTGTTATACAGATTCAGCGTTTTGTTTTATAATGTAAACCTCCTTGGGAAGATTACAGTCTTTCTTGAAAGGTAACTAAAATTGCATTACTCCCTGGAAAAGACAATCATGCTAGGCAAAGTCAAAGGCAGAAAAAGAAAAAGAAAAGTAAGACCAAATATGAGATGGACTGACTCCATAAAGGAAGCCACAGCCTTGAACTTACAAGAGTTGAGCTAGGCTGTCATGGATAGGAGGGTTTTTCTTTATAGGGTTGCCATAAGTTGGAGATGACTTGATAACACAGAATAACAATATTTGATACATTTAAAAATTGCTCTTACCTGATACTCATTCTCTGCATTTTCAATTATTTTAATAAATTCCTTGGCTGTCTGAACATCATTCTAGGGAGATGAAATAGCAACAATTGGTCTTTCACCACATGGTAATCATTAAAAAATTAAATTAGCTTCTATACAAAGTTCACTTTTACAGTATAGGTAAAAACACATTTCCAAAGCTGGATTTTACATGTGCACCAGAATTCCCAATGTCCGAATGGCATTCAGAAGGATATAAACAGCTGCAGAAATGATATGGTTGTTAAAGAGGTCCTGATTACTTAATAGATTTGTATTTGTGTGACCACAACTATGAACATCATTAAACCACCTGTTATGAAGCAGTTGCCTCTCAAGTTTTAGGTACCTATGTGTGTCTTTATGGTGAAAAGTCTAAGTCCAATAACCACACATTAAGACATCAGACAGAAACAATTAAATCAATAGAATCCTTTATATGCTTTGTGTGTGAAGACTCTTAAATGTAATCAAAAGGCAAGGAGTGAAAAAGAACCTCTGAAGCATAGAATGATTCTCAAGTTATTACTTCACTGGCTGGAGCATTAAGATTGCAACCATTTTGGAATCCATTTTTCTAACATCCACGGACTTCATGCTCAGTCCAATCTTGAAAGGAAGCTGAGGCAAGTGGAAGTCCATGACTGCTCAAAGACCCCTGGTTACACAACTTGGCAACCTTCTCCATCAGGTGCAGCCACTCAAACAGTAGCTGTTTGCTTGCAGTGTGTGGGGCTCAATTTCTGCTGAGTGCCCCATGAATGCTGGGAACACTCACCAATAACTCAGACTGAGTTGGGGGGGTGAGCACCCCCACACAGATTCTTTGAACATCCCTATGGAGCATGCCTTTCTGTGCATCTCTTGCAAGCAAAATGATAGCTACGGTCAAAAGGCCATTCCTGTAAAAGCTACCACCCTGAACCAGGTTTGAAGGCAGAATTACTTAAAATAAAAGTAACAAAATGATACACTATGCAAAAGTGCTCCACTTACCGAAACTGCTACAGAATCCTGTACATCTTTGTGGCTAACCAGCTGAACATTACCATCTTCATAGTAATGCACCTAGGTTAAAATAAGACCCATGTAGGTATGAGGACTCAGCTGTTAGGTACTACTGTATAGTTAAAATGGTGAAACTCCCTTATCTCATTGCCTTTACTGGTTGATTTTCAGGAAATGAAGAGCTATTAAAGTTTGGAATGGAAAGCAGCCCTGAGTAAGATACAAAATGAACCTGTGGCTTCTAGATGCCAAAAAAGCTTTGACTTGGAACTGGGGATCCATGTTTGGCTCTTGCTCACCACTGCAGCAGGGTTTCCAGGAGCATTCCACTAAAGAGGTTAGAATTTACTTCACTTACAATTAAGATGCCTTATCATACTGAAGTATGGATTACACTATGGCCCAGCACCTTTCGTACTGGCTATGCAAGTCCAGTTCCAATGTCAAACATGCTGAATGAAAACCAAAAGAAGTCCTATATAGAATAGACACATTCAAGTGAATGGGACTTCAGTTACAAGTCTCTTCTGAGCAGGACTTAAGTTGGAGTTTACTTATTAGTTTTGAGGGTTTAAATCTGAGAGGGTGTTAGCCAAGACAGCTCTCATTTCATTGACTAAGCTTCAGGGGCAGGCATGCAGAAACTGTCAAGGGAAGTTTGGTTGATTTTATTGATATTCTGTCTAGTTTAACCAACCTGGATCTTGAGCACTGCAACCACCTGAGCGGTTGGTGGTGTGATGGTAAACTTCCATTCTGATCTCCAGCGCCCATTCCTACAGAAAGGACAATGACCAAACAGCTCATTATAATAATAAAGGAAAGAGCCAATAACAACTCCCCTTAAACAGGATTATTGAACCAAGCTAATGATGTTGGTTCATCACCAGATTCACCTAGAATTCAGAGATGATAAATCTTATACAGATGAATAATTCACTGTTGAAATGTATTATAACAGAAGATGACAGCTATGCTATACTGATGTTATCAATTTGTGCTTTTAGCTCAATATTCAATGGCTCAGCTGCAGAGGTTTTTTTAAAAAAATATCTGCAGAATCAGGCAGCTAGTTCTCACATTTTTTTTTACAAGCAGCTGCAACTAAATTGGGAGCCAGTGTGGTATGGTGATTAGACTGTTGGACTGGGGATCCTGGTTCTAGTGTTCACTCAGTCATGAAACTTACTGGGTAACTCTGGGCCAGTCACTCATTATATGAAGATAAAAAAGAACTATGTAAGCTGCCTTGGGTTCTTTACAAGAAGAAAAAAGACTGGATACAATTGCAGTGTGATGATGATGACATTCACATTCCTCTTTTTTAACATGAAAAGTTTCTTTTTAAATTACTCTGCAAATTCTAGGTTTAGAGAAAGGAATAATAAACTCCCTCTCTCTGGCTGGTTGAAATCCTGATAACTATCAACTCCAGTTGGACATATCTGTGCATATAAACCTGCATATTAAATGCAAATACACATTTTAACATTACCGCTTGGCCAAAGAGCAGATGTTCATCTGTGGAATTTACTTGGAGCTTCCAGGGAAGGTAACCAATTAACAATGGTAAATAGTACTTCCCTTCCGGAAGAGAGGAACAAATAAGAATAAATTTGTGCTGAGTATAAATTAAAGCAAAGTGACATGGCCATGCTTACCAGAAGTTTTTGGGCTGAAACTGGTGACTTTCAATGCAAGCAATGACTGTTGGCTGGCCATCTATATTCTTACTGTAAACCTGTTTTCAGAGGAAAAGTTGACATAAGAGAACAAATATATGCACTTAAAACTGTGTTATTTTTTGATATTACAGCAGTGAAGCAGGAGGTGCATCTTAATGTGTTCATTCCATCTACATGGAGAGGCCCACGAGCACATGAGGCCCAGATAAATCTTTACCACCTGATCATCATCTGAGTCTCACCATGTATGTGCAAGCTGGCTAAGGAAGGATGCACTTGGCATATGGTTATGGAGCTTTAGCAGCAATGTGACACCCTCCAGATGCTTTGGACTACAACTACCATAATTGCTGATAATAAACGCATCTGGCTGTGGTTTATAGGACTTGTAGCCCAAAGCATGAAAATAACATGAAGTGGGGAAGGCTGCACAACAGCAATGCCATGTGATGAATCCATGGAAAAGCAGCTCCTATCAGCCTCAACCAGCATAGAAAATGGTTAGGAATGTTGGAAGTTCTATCCAAAACATCTAGAGGGTGCCATGCTGAGAAAAGGCCCTCCAATTCTTTGGGACACCTGATTTCATAGAACAGCGGGCTGAAACTCCATAGTTGCCTTTCCTGAGAATGGATATCCATATGTATTCTTTGTGTGCATATTTCCCCCGTACTCTTTTTGCTTGCATGCACAAGACTATTTCTTCTTCAATATATTAATTTAAGCATATAGTATATACACGGTTTACCCTTTTCCTTCTATAAGTGGATTCATTTAGAGAAGACAATGGATATAGTGCACAGGATATGTTTCAAAGTTCTCCAATTCAGTTTTTGTATTTTTAGACAATTTTCCTGGGTTGTGGGCAAATTTGAGAAAACCACAAAATGGCTGCCATGAGAGCCATGGCAAAGTACAAATGAACTGCCCCAAAAGTTTGAGTACAAGGCAGAGCTGGGGCTGAGCACCAACACACTAAGCAACTCCTGTGAACCCTAAGCTTTCAGTACCAATACAATTCTAAGCAGCAATCCCAGGTGCATATAAATGTGTACACGTAAATTAAAAATCAGAACATCAGGCAGCAAAATGTTCATGGGGGCACAGGTGCCTGACAGTACCATGTTGCCTACTTCTGCTTTAGCTGGTCAAGCAGAAACACACACACACACACACACACACACTTTTCAAGTGTTCCATTACAGCATGGCAAAGACAAGACAAATACCAAGGCTCTTTACATTAACCACAATAAGAACACTGGATCATTGGAAAATGAGGCTGGATACTTAACAGTACAAAAGCCATGAGGATAGTGATCTTTCACATATGCTCTTAATGCAATGTCACAGGCATCCCTCCAGGACTTTAGAGCGGCATCTGTGTCCTCTGGCTGAGGGTCGCTTGCTTCTTTCCTTAAGTGATCAAACTTAAAGGAAAGCTTGTTCCTTGGGTCTAAAAATCGTCCATTACCAAGATCACCATGTTCTGTGATTAAGACCTTAAAAAAGAAAGACAAGCCCTTGTGAGCAAACCTTCTTAGGACAGATTTCTTGGCTCTTTTCTCAGATTTTAAAAAAAGATAATTCTCTGTTTTGTAAGGACGTTAATAGCTACAATGATCAGGGATAATGAACCTTGATATTCTGGGCTACAACTCCCATCAGGCCCAGCCAGCATGGCCAATGGTCAAGGATTATGGGAACAAATCCTCTGGAGGGTACTGGGTCATGTACCCCTGCCATAAATTATTCCAAAGGGACAGAATACACTGTGACACCATAGGCAAAAAGTGTTCCAAACATTGTGTATATTCTGCATTTATTGTTTCCTTTCTCTATCAGGCTACCCTGAAGTTCCTTTAGCTCCAGCCAGCATGGCCAACAGGAAAACTGGGAGCTGTAGTGGAAAACATTTGAAGGACATTAAGTCCAAGAGCTTAGTTACAGCAAAACTTTTATTAAAAATTGTACAAATACTGCTTTATTTAAACATGCAAGAAATTGGTGTCTGTCTCCTAGATAAGAACATCTGTTCTGGATAGCTCAATATATATCAATTTACTGGTCTAGGTGACTCTTTGGAACTCAGTAGGGAATCTACTGGAAACATTATGCTACCCAGTTCCCAAAGAGCTTTAGGATATATTAGCTCTTTTCTGATTTTAAAAGGAAAAGGCTGGATGAGATTAGCAGCTCTTCACTTTCTAACCTAGTAAAACCAGCAGCTTCTTGAAAAGCTAACCCTTCTCTTGATCTAAGCATCTGAAAGGATGCCTCAGAAAAGGAACTACTAAAGCACTCAACAATTTAAGATTAGCTTTGAACAGGAAGCCTTATATTGAGTATGAAAGGGGATAACCAAACATATTATCCATAAAAGCCCTCCTCTTTGCTATAATGGTGACTACTAGCAACTTCTAACCACTAGCAACTTCTTACTTCTAACTTCTCTCTTGGCTCCAAACGCCTTACAGTTTCTGCTGCTTCATTTTACTGTTAGGCCTGAAGCACCTTAGAGCAGTTTATTCAAGAGGCTGCTGCTCATTAACACAAGCATGTTAGGGTTCTAAAACCATTCTAATTACTCCATCTGATAGTAATATGATGGTAAAGAAAAAATATAAGTATATTTATGCTGGGTTTGTACATATGGTAAAGCAAATTCTTGTTCCAACATGTACAGAGATTACTCATTGCAGTTCCATTTTAAAAAGGGAAGGGAATTTGGACATGGTTCTTTAAAATGAAGACAAAAGGTCCAGTGTAGACATATGTAATATGAATGACATATTGAGCTCAACATCATGTGAGCTGGCCTTCAAAAATTCCCACAAGCGTAGGTATAGTCTGTGCACAGCAAAGAAAAAAGGAAACTGATCATGAGTTATTTACACATTTTGCAGGAAGGACTCTTAATGCGTAGTCATTTAAAAAGTTCAATACACAAACACCAGGAGGATGGAAAGGAGGATTTTAATTTACCTGATCATCATACCCTTCTATCTTCACAGGGGTAAACTGATCCATGTTATACTGGGCAAATGCACTGTAAGAGATAGGTAAGAAATAAGTGAATATTAGATTCCGATCGTATAAAAAGTCTCTCAAAGTTTTATTTTCCCAAAAGTTGGACTTAAATTGATGTTTCCTCACAGCAGAAAGAATGTATATGACTTCCTTATCCTGTAGCTCATGGGCAAATCATGTAGCTAAAGATAAAACAAACTCTAACATGCATTGTCATAACTAACCTTGAAGTGTTGCTAACATAACTGAGCAATCAAGTGATATACTATGCAACTCTTTTTTAATTTTAAAAACTTAGCAAAAAAAAGGTACAAAGTTTATTCTTCCTGAGAGTATGATGTCTAAATTTTATGTTTGCACTGAAACATATTTTGGTGAGAATAAAAAAGAGCTGCTTTAGGCATGCTTTTTCAATGTATTCTTCTTTGAATAGCAGATCTTTTATAACACATCATAAAACTCCTTTGAGTTTCAAAAAATTTATTATGTAGCATGGGAAATGTTAAGCAATATAAATTCCACTGCCTATGCAAACTGTTGATACAGATCTTTCAATTCTGATCTTTACATTTATGCTTTTTGAAAGAAATACAGCCTGTATTTCTGATTATTTTGTATGCATGAAAAAATCAATTGCTCACCATTCTGTTAATCAAGCCAAAAGGAATGCCATGATCTAATTCCTGCTGTTGCCCACACTGTGAGTTGAATCAGAAGCCTGAACAGGTAGTGTAGTACAAAACATACTTGAACTGGCATTAGCTTTTTGCTAGATGTATTACCACCAAGACAATGCAAGACTTACAGGGGTTCCAGTAGAAACTATGCCATTTTAAACAGGAGATATATTCCATGTCATTATAATGGAAAGATTTCCTTAAAATAATCCCTCCCTGCTCCCCCCACCACACATACACAGAATGAGAGAGACAACCAGACAAGCATGCAACAGTACTTACTGAGCTGCCCCTTCTCTAAGAAGATTGTCATTGCTAAGCAGCAACCGAACATCTAAGAAAAACAAAATAGTAACATAATTTCCAACCTTTCTCATGCTTTGATGTACGTGATGTTTATGAGACCTAGATATATGTTTGAGAAATAATCTGTTCCGTGTTCATGGCAAATAGTCTGTTAACTGTTGGTTTTCTTCTCTAGGAATACAAGAGTTTCTATAAGAAGCTTATAAAAAGTGAACACAGAAATACACAATGGATACTCTAAAAAGAAATGTACAGTGCTCTAGGCAATACATTTGAAAGTTGTTTCCACCACTCACATATTCCTTCAGGGGCTGAAATTTTGTTAGTAAATACTGTATGTCTGAAGCTTACTTTTTAAAAAGTAGAAAGTTAATCTTTCAAATTGGAATGGAGTTATGGAAATCAATAATGTATTTACTTTTAAAAAACACTAAAGCAAAAATAGCTGACAGACTGTAAAATCAGTGTACTGTTAGCACTTCATTATTTATTTGACAGAAACCAAGCTACGATTCTTTAAAGCTTACAATGACTACTATTGACTGAAAACTGAAACTAAAAAAGGAACACAGTAAGAGACAGATAAGCTTAGTGAGTTTTTGACCAGCTCTAGAGAGCCCTAATAAATCCTGAAATATGAGGAGGAAGGTGACAATGGAAGCGTGATATAGACAGTTCATGTGTACTTCCTGAACAAATATACTCTTCTCTGCTGCTGAAAGGTAAAAGAAGTGTCCAGTGTACATGTGTACGTGTATCACTTAAGTGTTTGACCAGCTACAAGCTACAGTTGCATCTTCCTTCTCCCAGGCACTGAATTAGAGCAGTTCCAGCAAGTGTCTACTTGCACAGTCACCTTTCCCTGCCAGAAAGAATAGATTGTTCTGGGGACAGGCTAGTAAATATGAGAAGGCCAGCAAGCACCATTGTGGTGCAGTGGTTAGTCCATCTAACTAGGATTAAAATTCCCTCACAGCCATGAAGTGCATTGGATGACATAAACCAGTTGCTGTCTTTCAGTCTAACAGCTCTCAGGAGCCACTGAAAGGATAAAATGGGGAAGGGTGTGTATGCCTCCTTGAGTTCCCCAAAGGAGAGACAGGCAATAAATGAAATAAGAAACTTGGATAGTAAGATCAATGAGGGGCCAGATACAGAAAAGTATGAAAGGCTGGGGTATACTGGGTCAGAATGGATGCAACCTGCTTACTTCAGCCAGACTGTTGATGCAAAAGACTTGGAACATCAACTAGGATGTGCAGCTTTGACCCAGGCAATGCATGTACAGAACAGAAGATGTGCCTTCTGGCTCTTCAAAAGGAAGCTTCAACCTCTTCCACTGTAGAATATTTTCTATATGTAATAAGCATTTGAAAGGTACATAATACAGTTGTTAAGCAGGAGACAAGATGTCCTCCACTAGTAATTCCATGATTTTAGGTACCAATGACGTATTGAACACAGCAACAAGAACTTTTCAAAGTATTTATTTTTCTATTTATTTTTTCAAAGTAAATAGATTACAGCCTATAATTAGAAAGTAAAATTAAACAAACAATGTTGAATTTGCTACTAATACAATGCAGAAGCAGCATTTTTAAAAACTTACCATTAAACACTTCATTGAATTCCCCAGGAGGTGCATGGGTGATGAATTTTGCAGCTATACGCACCTGCAGAAACACAGGAAGGCTTAAATGAGTCAATTGATTCAGTGATTCTTAAATTGGTCTTTAGCCATGGCTGCAGCTGAAGCCATGAACATATGTGGTGGCAACAGATGCAGCCACAGCAGAATCACATAGTAAGCAAGCCTACAGAGCAAAGTGGTGGGGTCTATTGCCTATATTAAGTCCCTAACTCCTTATTTAGAAAAAGAATGAACTAATTCATTGTATATGTTTATTTTGGCACCATTACTAAATGGATTACTGTAAGGCTCAAGGCACTGGGTGACATCCTAAGTTAAGGTTCTTGAATCTTTAACAATCAAGTACATGAACTTCAGCTTTTGCCATGACAAAATGCGGTACACAACTGAACCACAAGTATAGATTCAGGTTCTTTCCAGTATTAAACAGCAGAACATGATCTACTTTCTTTATTAAATGCTTAAAATGTTGATGAATATCTCTATTAGTTGTGTCCCATTACCTAATAGCCACATCAAATTAAGGAAATCTGGTCACATATCAGCTCTGCCATACTATCCACACAAAAATGGGTCATAACATTCAGTATAAAATATAGTAACAAGTCTTTTATTATTTGTACTGGATAAAAGACTTATGACAGAACTGATGAAGTGGCCTATTGCTACCCTTGTATACAATTATCTGGAGTTAAGGCTAGAACTAGGTTATAAAAAGTAGGAACTTGGGCATATATCAGCTTTTCAGAACCAGGCCAATGTAGTAGTACCGTGACATAGAGTTGTTGGGATCATATTGGTTATTAGATTTCCTCACACTACAACACATGCATGTGAAGAATGGAAAAGAGAATATAGTACTAACTGATTTTTTGTGTGAGATTACTAAAAAGCAGTTACTAGAAAGACTGCTATTCTGTTGCTTCTCTACAGACTCCCCAGAGCACTGCCCTAGATGGCTGAAAGTCTCCTTCAAACTACAGTATGTGCTTTTATTAGAAAGTGCATCCGTAAGCAGTAAGCATGACACTCTGCATTAAACTACAGCTACAAATACAGAGCATAGAGAAGATGTTACTTTGTTTAATGAGTACCAAGACCCATTTCAACAGAGAAAGGAATGGTGCAGGATCCATCTGTCCTTCACTGCTTTCCCATCCTCAGCTATGGTCTGCTCTACGGTTGCCCAAAAGTGACAAAGAAGCAAAGCAAGTAGATGAATGGCTGAAAAAAGCCCTATTTCAGATTAACGCTGTTTTATGTAATTAAGCTAACAGCAACTTATCAAACATAAAATAATAGTGCACACACTGTCCTGCACATAGGTAAAGAAATAAAACTGAATGTTGCCTCAGATTTCACAATTCAAAATCAAGAAAATTTAAATGTATATATTGCTTATTTCAATCTCCATTTTAATTTTCATTCCCTCTAGTAAAAAGCTATGGAAAAAGACTCAGAATAGCTATATCCTTCCAAAGGGAAAACTATATGAAGAGGTCATTATGCCAATGGAGGGTAGACTACAGATTTCTGGGATTTACTTTTTTTAAAACTAGAACACTGAGATCTACCAAACACAGCATGATACAAAAGAAAGAAATAGTATCAAAGAATTTTTAGCCCAGGAATGTGTCCTGAGTATCATAAATGAACAGCACATAAAGTCCTTCATCACAAAATTCCATTACTAGTTATTCCAAGGTTGTTGAGCAACTAGGAGTCAAAAAATCTTGCCAATCAGCCAGGAATCTATCAAAAGATTCCAATTTTCCTCCTGCATATCCTAGGAAGAGAAATAGTGACACAAATTTATTTTCTTAGAATTTGGGCATGGCTATGAGATAAGGTGGTAGGTGGAATCCAACACTGTCCTTTTATCCTGTGCTGCAGCCATCAAAACTTGTTCTTAGAGGGTCCAGAGGGAAAGAAGACTGCAAGGGATGGAGGAGATCTGATCCCACCCCACCAGCAGATGGCCACAACTGGATTTTATTCACATGCCTTTTTAAATTGAGCTATCCCAGTGTGTCTTTTAAGGTAATCAGTATTTTTAAGCTTCCCAGCTGCCTGTAAGTTTGAAAGTTTTGTTCTTAAGCAACTAGTGCTAATTGGTCCTGGAAAGTTAGAAGAAATTGACTTTCTTTCTTTCGATGGGAAAATGCTCCAGAATAACTTGTGGTTGGGTTGTCATGGGTACATGCATCTCTCAGATTCTAGGGCTACTCAATGCAATTTTAAAAAAGTCTAAATCTACTCTTCCATTAAAATGACTTACTGAACTTCAGTAATTATAGGATGATGGCTGTGGGAGAATTCTATTTACCTAAGTGTTGGTGAAAAAGCCCATGCAAATCGGTGCTTTTCCCATTTCTTGCCTGATTGCATGATACTCAATGATGAAATTTAACAACCCTGGCTAGTGAATAATAGATTTCTGTTTATTCCATTTATTATATTTATAACCCCCCCCTTTCCTTTCTCCAGCAGTTCACACCATTCTCCTCTTCTCAATCTTATCCTAACAACAACCCTGTGAGGTAGGTCTGAGGGTCTATGACTGGTCTAAATTCACCCAGTGGGCTCCATAACTGAATAGGGACTAGAACCTAGATCTTCCAAGTCCCAGTTCCACATACTTATCTAGGCTTACAACCAAGATAATTTTCCAGAGTCATCTGGACCTACTGGTCCAGTTAATCTTGCCTGTTCTATCCTTATGGCAGAGGATGATGATGATGCTTGGTTTTTCTGTACTTCCCATTAAAAGTTTTCTTGGTAGTTTACAAGCCTAAAACTGTAAATATGCTAACAGAATGAAACATGACATGAAAACTTAAGTTTTTTTGAAGAATAAAACCAAAGCCAAGGTTGGAAATATGGATGCTAAATTACAAAAAAAAAAATAAAAAAAATATGGATAATTTCTTTTTAGAGGTGAATGGACTTCATCCTTTTTATCCTGCAGTTGAATTGGGAAGTAAAACTAAGTTTCCTACTTAGTTTCCTTAGCTCAGGTCTAAAAGTTTTTTAAGCAAGTCATTTGCCTCAGCTTAAGCTTTAGAACAGAACTATTTTGAGGATAAGACAAAATAACTCCATATAGGTTGTCCTGGCCTCGTTACAGGGAAAAACCTCAGGTATACAAATGTGAGAAAACAAACAGATATGAATCAATCTGATGTTTCTCCAGCATCAGGATCAGTATTCTACTAACTTCTATTAACAAAACTTGTGACCTCTGACTAAGTCATGATAATTTTGCCTCTTTCTTATAAAGCTACCTTAAGGTTCCCAGTCCTCTCAGTTCTGTGTAGTACATGGATATATCAATATAGTAACAATAAGCTTCTAGGCTAGAATGTACTTTCAGGCCATGGGCCATGTTAGGCAGACTTGAATTCAGAAAGAAGGACCTAGTAACCTGGGTTAGCAGTGTGAGATAAGAATGGAATTCTCCAGGAAAGGTCAAACATTTCCACTGAAAAGGATTGGGAAAAACACCCTGCAAGGAAGATGACCCATTGTCCTGAGACACCTAGAAATTACCCCACTGCCTCACAAACACAGAGAACTCACCTTTTTATCCATAGAAACAATAGTTAATACCATCATGACGCAAGCACCCATCCAACTATTAGACTTAAGTCTGGGAAACCCATTCTTCTTCCCATAGTAGAAGTACAAAGATAAATAATATAAGGGTCAGGGACTCAGGAAAGTCAGACGCAACCTCTGAGCGTAGTGGGAAGAAGGACAAGTTCTGAACAGAGCACAAGAGAAGACCCACTCTGAACACAGGCCTTTAGCCCACACAACAGATGGTTGCTGAGCATGCATTCCGCAGGACAGGTAATAGTCCCCCCTCCCCATCACACACCTCTCTCTGTCAGGCAGAAAGTTCTTTATCCCTTTAGAAATACAGTGATGCCTCAGCTCATGAACGCTCTGGTTCACAACCAAATCAGGTCACAAACAAAAATTTCATGAAAATTTTGACTTGGGTCACAACCAATTTGGGTCACAACCAGAGTCATGGAATGGATTAAGTTCGTGAGCCAAGGTACCACTGTACAAGATAAACGTGGAATGCAACAGGAATAATTATAGTCTAGGTTAAAAGCTGGTGTATACTCTGTATTTTCTGTTGAATAAACTTTCCTTTCTTTTCTAAATGTTGTGTGTTTGTGTGAATGCAAAATCAGGGTTTCCTCTCTCTAATAGTGAGCATTAAACCCCAGCAAAAGATCCCAAACATTTTCATGCAATCTGGTTGTCGTGTGCCTCCTTTTCGGGTGTACCACACCCCAAGATTACTTAGCATAACATCTGCTTCAAATCAGATCTCTATTTTCATTTTGGTAGTATACTAATTCTATAATGTCTGCTGAATAAGGAACTAGACTAGGAAGATGCCACTAATTTTCATGCCTTACAGCAATCTTACTAAATTCTAAAAAAAAATCATATTGGACATAGACAACTATGAGCAATCTTGAAGATTTTTATCTATGCAAATATATATCATGCACATGATGAATAAGAGCTGCCTTATCACTACAGTACATCTTACACCAATACTTCAGTTTTCAGATTACAGGATTACTTTCGGCTAGTTCATCTACCAAGCTTTGTGCATCAATATTTCTTTGGTAGGTTCAGCTTTATGATTTTTATTTCATATGCTGGTGCCCTTCAGATGTAATTCATTATTGTGATAGAAGTTGGACATAAGTCCATAAGTCAGCAGTATTCCATATTAGCTATCAAATACAAATCTGGGGCACATACTATATAAATAAAGGTAATAAGAGGTGGAAACTTATTTGCTGAAGTTTGTAGTAGTATTGCCTGCCTCATTAAGCAAAGGAAACTAACAGCAATCACTAATGGGGAAGAGTGGTTGTTTCTCTGCCTTCCTGAAGCAGGTTAAGATGCATATCCATGGCTAGAAAAGGGTTAAAATGATGTGAACTTGTTGTGCATATGCAGTCCACTATTGGATATGCCATCAACTCTCAGAAATGTCTTTCTGCATAGGACAAGCCAGTCTCTATGAAAAGTAAAACAGAAAGGAAACTAGCGTCAAAAATAGAGCTTAACAGAGACATCAAACATCTTGACTATTTTGGAGCAAAGGAACCTCACCAACATCAAAGAATTGTAATTCAGCAAAATTCAGAGGTTCAATTCTGTCTTCTGTAACTTGAACCACATGAAGGCTTGTTGCTTTCTTTCTCTGCACGTTAAGATATCTGTGTTATCAACTTCAACTGTGTTGTGAATGGCCACCATTAATAGTATAGCTATCTTTGTTTTTGATGTGTATTGGAAAAATATCATATCTAGCCATTCAGGATGGAATTTACCAATTGAGAAAGATGATTTTGCATTCCACAGGTTCTGTTCCCTCCAACAACTCAAAGACTAAGACAGTCATGTTTACCTTCTGCTCTTTTCCTACCCAGGAACCTGTGTGTTTTGTCCACAGCAAGAGACAATTATAGCCAATCTTATGTTTTGTGAAATGGTGGAATGCAAGTCTTTGTCCCAGAATGCCAGACTTACTCTTACACCAGTGAGTAATTCATTCAGTCTGCAATTTCTGTTCTTTGACTCTTTGAAACAGTAGACTCACAGCTATAACACATTTTTGTCCCCCACCACATCATCCCCTGCTTTTTACCATCTTGTCTGATGAAGAGTTCTGAAAAAAATCAAAAGCTTGCACAATCTCTGGTGGCATTTTGGTTGAAGCTAATATAGTTATAGCCAAACCGTGGATTATGAACTAGCATGGCTATCTTTTAAAAAATATTTGTACTAACTCCCTTTGATTTCCTTCTGACCTCACTCTTTACTTCCTCCCATTCCTATGTGCACATTTACCTGCACCTCACAGTAACACATCATGTATTGAATGAAGTGGTCTCCATGAACATTTATGCAAGAATACATTTGCTATGTTTTCAAAGTACCAAAATACTTGTTTTTGCAATGCCTAGTTGCCATACCCTATCTCTGAATAGTGTTTGTATTTCCTCTTAATTTACATATTTTGCAAACTTCCACTGTCAAAAATTCCATAATGACAGAGGTTTTATACTCCTCAAATCTAACCACAAAGAACAAGGCTTCAGTAGTAGAGTCAATCAAATGTGACTAGTGGAATGAGTATGCTGCATTAACTCTTATGCAGAGTTTAAAAGTACTGGAAAAATGGAAAATTATATATATGCACCATCATATTACCATAGGATACTATATACACATAACAAGAAAGTCATTTTTTATGGTAAAGCTCTGAACCTTTTACCACTTATGCCTTAAATATTTACTTCCAAGTCCCTCGTCAAGTATGTTTCAATGACAATCAAGCAAGCTTATATTTAATACTGGAAGATGTGATGGCAATCATTCTTTAGATAATGCCTTTGAGAAGAGAGAAGCAATTACACCTACACTATAGTTTGTACAATAAGAAAACAGTCCTTATTAGGAAAACTTGACTTCTTTCCATCCTACTGTTTCCAGTAGCTCCTTCATTAATTACTAGGAGGCTGCTATTTCCTTTATGCTTTGACAATTCCTGTATGGCACAGCCTACCATTAACTGATCAAACAACATCCAATAGCCTGGATAGAGCACCAGGAATAAAACTGTTCCCATTCTCTTTATATGAGAGATGCAGAGGATAAAGGGAAATGCATAATAAGAAACCTACCACCTTTTCTGGAAGAAAAACATGTTTCTTAGAAGTTGGGAGACATGTTTGTAGGTTGCAGACAGACAACAGAAAAATGCTTTGAGAAAAATATAGCTTCTCAGAAACGACAAATTTTTGTTCCACTACTGAAATAAATCCCAATGCAAAATCCAATTCACTGAGGTCAGCAGTGAAAACATAAAGATAATATGAATAGGAAACCTCCTTTCAAACTGCTTTCAGCTCTCTTAAATTGTTACTACAGCTCAAATTTAATAATTTAAAAGTTTGTATACAGCTTTTTAAGGAGAAGCTGCCTCATGGCAGTTAACAAGATACAAATTTAAAATAACACACACACACACAATTAACATAAACAGTGGTTCTCAACATTTAAAGTAACACCAACAGTAAGTCATCCCATTTGTAAAATAAAGATGAGCATCCATTTATTTAAAAGGAGACTGGAACATCCAAATCTTTAAGACCATTTAATAATAGTCAGGAAAAGAACTACATATATATGGAAGAATATGGTCTTTCACTAGAAAGGCCACACTGAAAAGGCCCTATGTTCTGTGCCTTGAAAAGGATCTTAACAAGCAGGCACATGGCAGGACCTCTGCAGCCAAGCTTAAGAACCTGGGCAGGTTTATATATGTTCAAATGGCCTTTCAAGTAACTTTGTCCCAAACCAGATTATTCTCTTGTCCCTTGAGTAGAATAAAGAGCATAAAGCATGCTGTGGGTTCAAGACTATTTTATCAGCTGAAAACGATCAATTATTTGCAACAGGATAGTAATGCAGGGGTTTATCCTACTGAGGAATTGCTTCAAGAGTAAAGGTACAGTTCACTCAGTAAAGAAAACAAAGAACTAGCATCCAGTAATAGGATCTGTTACTCCACAAGGAAAAAAAAAAGGAGATTTTGCAAGACTTTTGAGAAGTCAGAATGGAAGAGGATAATCATGCATACAACTATTATATCCTTGGAGTAAAAACAAGATAAAAGTGCAATAAGAATAGGAAAACAAATTAACAGAGGCAGAGCGGTGTGGTAAGTGAACTGTTGGGCTAAAAGTGACAGGAAAGGGGTGACTGGGTTAAAAGCCATCAGGAAATAGCATTTTCTAGAAAACAGAATGAGACGTTAGAATCTGTCTTAGTCAGATATAGTCTCTCAAACAGTTTACTTCCTTATTAAAGAGTCATTGGGAAATAATCTCCACTAACGATATGAAGAAAGTAACCGGGAGTGAAAGTAAAGCAAACAAGGAACTCAGGAAATCCGAGAAAACACGACCTTTAAGTTTACGAAGCTTCGCGGCTACAGAACTCATACCCAAGAAAAAGAATAGTAAAGGAAAACACCTTGCCATATGTATGGAACACCTTTTAGCTTTCTTTTGTTCCAAAATACCCAGAAACAACCTAACAACTTCCTACCTTCTCTTCATCTGATACCCGATCCTCAAAGTCCGCCATTTTGGCTTCTCGGAGCTTGGCCCAGCCCCACCTGTCATCCCCGCGCAAAGTGTACTGGGAAGGAGGAGTTGTTAGAGGTATGACAAGCAGTCATCCCTCCGTAGTCAGTAGTGAGTGCTGAGCGTGTTTGCCGTCCAAGATGCTCCTTGACGCCTTCAGGCGCCATATTGGATACGGGCAAGCATGTTCTTTAAGGGAGTGGCTTAGCTGTAGGGGCCGCTTTGATTCTGTAGAGCCGGTTGAAACTATTGTAGGCGCCATTTTAAATAAGGGCAGAATGGCTGAATCGTGGATGAATTAGCTACACCCTAAATATTTCTTTTGCTGAGATAGCACTGGATGTAGTCTCACACCAGCCCAGTAAACCACCTTTGCTTAGATTACAAAAATATACTAATCTCGGAAGAAAAACCAAAACTTATAGGCCCCCACTGATTACCATTTTCTGCAAAATAAAAGAAAAAAAAATCCTTCCGCCCAACAACAGATCACTCCTGAGTTCTGAAAGACTTGTAGATTTCCTTAAGAAAATCTTTTTTTTTTTTTTTTGGTCTCTCAAGGTACAATGGCCTCTTTCCGGCACGATGCACTTTAGGTAATGCTATTTCCAAGGAACGGTTGCACGATCAGCCTTCTCCAGCCGGGCACCCTGCAAGAATACAGGACTACCACACCCATCCTTCTCAACCAGTATATCCATAGGTCTGTGGAAGATGATGAGAGCTGTAGCCTATCTGCAGATCGCCTGGTTCGGGAAGGTTGCTGCGAATAGGAATAAAGGTTTAAGCGTCGAAGGAACATATATCTTCCGCCATCCCTTTTAAAGCTGGACTGTAAGTCGACAGGAAAAGGAAGGCGAAGATAACCTCCGAAAATAAAATAGATTGTCTACGCCTCTCCCGCCAGCTGCTGGGGAGCAGCGAGCGAACAGCGCAGGAGGAGGCGGAAATGCGCGCTCCCTGTTCCTTCCGAGTGGTTCGAATGGTGGCGGCGGGGGCGCGCCCAAGTAGTCCCTCCTCCTCCCTACCCGAGCCAGCCAGGCCTTCGCAAGCGAAGGGCGGGAGCCATGGCGGAGAGTGGTCTTGTGGAGGGGGATGCGGTGTCGACTCCCTCGCAGTCCGCCGGCTTCTGCCCTCGCCGGTGGGACCGGCTGAGGCTGGCGGCGGGACCCTGGGCACGGACGCTGGGCTTGGTGGCGTCGCTCGGCCTTCTTTATTTTCTGCGGGGCCCCCTCCGGTTGCGAGACAACTTAGCGGCAGGTGAGGGGCGGGGAGTAGTTTTGAGAACGTAAGAGGGGCTCGTGGCAGGAGAGCGAAGGCCCATTCAGGTGTGTAGGTAGGAAATCGATGGGGGGACGTTTTCGAGAGGTTCCGAAGCCAGGTTCATTCATTCCGGGGGTGATAGATGAAAGCATCTATCGCTTTGCTGACCCCTGATTCACGTGGTATACAGACACATGGGTGAGGATGAAGGATAAGATAGGAAAGGGTTGTGTTTTGCTTTCACCCTAGCGTTTCTGTGTATTTTAAGTGCTTCCACGCCCTAGAGGTGTCCTTATTTCATCTTTAGCCAATTAAGTTTTTAAGCTCCCCCTAGAATCCCCCACTTCTGCTGCACCTCTGTATTCCTATTTTATTCTTTGTAGTCCTTGCTGTCATCTTCATTTTTTTAAAAAAATAAATACATTCTCTGGTCTGTGCTCATTTGTTGCTGTCTGCAAGCACTGAATAATGACAGTGTCAGTGGTAAGAGCTGTTGCTTGCTGGAAATAGATGTCAAGTTCTTGTTTGAGGGCTGCAAGACATATGTGGCTTAAATGCCATCCGTCTTTTACTGTGCTTTTAAAAAAAGGAGAGGGAGATTCCTACATGTTTTAATCAAATCTACAAATACTGTATTCTAGTACCAGTTCAAAATTAATGGTAGGTTGATTTTTTTTTTTTTTAGGTTGAAATTTTTTATTTAAATAAAAACATACTACAAAGTTAATGGTAGGGATGATAAAAGCATAGTGTGAATTTGCATTAACATGTGGTGTGATTTGAAGCTTAATCTCCATGTTATTCAGAATTAAGTCTTAAGTTTGCAGTATCACATATTGCAATAAAACATCCCAAAGATGTTTAAGCAGCTATGTTAGAATAATGTGTTCATTGCTTACTGTTGCCATGCGATCCCACCAAGTTCCACCAAAGTCCAAGGGGCTCATTATATTCATGCAAGTTAAATGTACTATTGATTTCTGCTTTGGGATTCCCAAGAAATAGTGATGTCTGTTCTGTGCCTTATTTATAACATTTGTCTTATTGTCTCTTGCAAGTCATGATTTCAAAAACCTTAGGAGGATAAACTTACTCTGACAAAATGAGCTATACGGCTTGAATGGTGATGCTGTAATGGCTACAAGAACTGTCAAATTATTTATTTATTTAAAACATTTTTATGCTGCCCCCATCGCAACAAAGACTCAGGACGGCTCACAACAAGAACAAAATTACACAGTAAAAATATTAAAACCCGGTGCATCTCGGCTTAAAAAATTTAAAATCCTACAAATACCCAATAAATTAACACTTAAAATAAGTTTTAAATAAAAAGGTCTTAGCCTGGCGCCAAAAAACAAATAACGATGGCTCCAGGCAGACCCCTCTGAGGAGCGCATTCCATAGGTGAGGTGCCACCACAGAGAAAGCCCTCCTCCGGGTACTCACCCTCCTAATATCATTCACAGAGGGTTCCCGGAGAAGGGCATCTGTTGCTGATCTCAAGGGGTGGGAGGGCATATATGGACGCAAGCGTTCCTTTAGATAGCCAGGACCCAAGCCGTTTAGGGCTTTATAGGTCATAACCAACACTTTGAATTGGGCCCAGACTTCAATCGGGAGCCAGGGGAGCTGACGGAGAACTGGGGTTATATGAGAACAACGGCTAGTCCCCGTCAGCAACCTGGCAGCTCTATTCTGCACCAATTGAAGTATCCAAATGTTCATCATCAACAAACCATTTAGTCTTTTCATTTAATGATCTGCTGTTTCTAATAGTCAATATGCCAAACTCCAAAACAAAACTGTTGTAATATGGTTAGTAATGCTTCAGGGAAATTTTGTCTAGGCTAGCTAATTTTTATGATTCAAACTTGAGAGTGTTGCTCAGAACTAAATATTATAAGCTGCAGTGGAATTTACTTCCCAAGAATTAATTTTAGTTTAATATATTGCAACCTTAATTTACCTTTGAGCTACATTGATATTAAATTGATCCTATGTGTTCCTGCTGGTTCTGGAGATTTTATTCAAAGTTTTTTACAATGAACCCTTAGATGCTGACATTTTTAAAGTATTGACTTAATATTACTTTTAAAAAAGAGGAAAAACTGTGCCTGATGCATAGACCAGTATAAATAATCATTGAATAAATATCCAGAATTTTCTGTACTTTGCATAATTCTGGTTTCTCCATCAATTTAGGCTATATCTAACATGCATTCTCCCTTACGCCTCAGAGATGGATTCTGTGTGTCTCTTTTCATGCCCAGCTCCAAGGTTGAACCTTTCTTTCAACTTCATATCTAGGAATTTGAACAATCCTGTAGCTTTCTAGGTGTTGTCATGGTCCCTATGACCATGCCTGTTAGTACCCTATTGGTTAGCCCTGCCTGTTAGTGTAAAACAGAAACAACCTCCCCCCTCCCCCTTGCATTGTGTGGTACAAGCTTATTTTTAACAGTTGCAGTCTGCTCTTTTCTACAACATTAAGGAGAGTAATAATCTGTCATTTACACAAAGTTAAAAATAGAAAAGACAACTAATGGATACTAAAATTTATTTACACTCATGATGTAACAACCTCTTTTTGTGTTGTTACTGTTAAACTTGATACACTCATGATAATAAACACACCTTTAGCTTCAGGATAGTGAAGGAGAAAGACTGAATCAGTGTTCACACTGTTTAGGGTTCTATAAGGTAAAATCAGCTCTTTGACTCTGATGGTTTCTTCGCCACAAATGGTATGTTAATGTAATTGCTTATGGTGGCCTTTTTCTTCTAAACTTGCAGTTTCCTTTAAACTTTCTGAAAGGACATGTTTATGGAAAATACATCCTCCTAGTAAAACCTAGGCTATATATCTAACATGCTTTCTTCTAACTGGAGTGCAGCATGGAATTGTGTCTTAGGTAGCTGAACAATGGACAATGTTGAACAAAATCCTACATCTTTTTCCAGTGTTTTCAATGCTGGTCCAGACAAACTTTGGCTGAAAAAATGAAATGTTCTATATGACTATATGTTCTGTATAACTAATGGGAGTTAGTACTTGTATAATGATACTTTTATATCCCCTATTCCTAGGCTGATTGTTACTTTAAAGCAAAATTACAAGAAAATCATATTAAAATCTAATTCAAAAGGAAAACTGTTTAGGAAGCAGGATGAACAAAACTGCCCTGTGGCACAGAAGATATGCAGGAAGAATATCTACTAAACAGTCATGAACTGGTTGCAAAGAATACATGGAAGTCCAACTGGCTGAGGCCCAGGTTGTACTTCTCATTTTGAAATTGCAGTATAACCAAAATGAGGCCCCAGTTCTTCCTTGATCACTACCAAAGAACATAAGACCCAACCACAGGGCTGTGTAGTCTGGTTGTCTTAGCTGCACATGGGCCAACTAGATGCCCACAAGCAGGACTTGAATACAATGTCCCCCTTTCCAGCAGTTAGCTTATAAAGGCATGCTGACCCTGATGCATTAGTTACAGTACAGCCATCATGAGTAATAGCCTTTGATAGCTCTATGCAGAAATTGTGAGAAAACTCTTTCATGTACAGTGTGCTATCCTTTGCACATCTGCTGGAAAGTACACTCCATAGAGATTGATATGGCTTACTGTGTATAGGATTGCAGACTCAGCCATATATTCAGAGTGTCACTTAAGTATTGTGTCATTTAAACTGTAGTATTTCTGTCAGATTTAAAATGTTAAGTGAGGATCTGCCTTGATATACAGAAAAACTCCAGTATGGTAAAGTTATATCTATTTTGTTTATTGAGTTTTCAAAGTAGAATCCTCCCCATCCCTGTATACACTTCTTATTATTTTCTTTTTCTGCTTGGAGGTAATTCTAGCTAAACTAGGGATTTATTCAGTAAGCTGGGACACAGTCATTCCGTCACATTGTTTCTTTGAAAATATGGAATATGAATGAAAGCTGTCCACAACTTGCAGGTTGGAAGTGCTATGCTAATGAAATATTTTTAAGAATCACATTCCAGTAGTACTTTCATTAACTCTTTAAGGATGTCATCATATACAAATTTAGACTGAGAAAACACCTTTAGCTTCTAATATTTCCCAGCCAAGTAAGTGTGCATAAGATTGCAGCATTAGTATATTAGGATCTGTAAGATGTTTTTCTGTTTAAACATGAATAGTATTGTGCCATGAGGAGCAGCAAAATAAATCTCTTGATATATATAGTATGCAGTTTTGGAACACTGCACTTTTTGACTAAAGTTGATTCCATAACAAAATTCCTTGTTATGGAAAATCAGAACTGAAGGTTTGATCTGAAACAGAATGTAGATTTGTATTTTTTTAGTTCTATGTTATTCACACCTGCAAGACTGTTCTTTATTTCTTGCAATTATAGACTGTGGCTGAATTCAAACAACATGATAACCCACATGCAAGTGTGGATTGTGGGCGGTTGCTGAAATGTGGATTATGATATTGTCTGAATCCAGCTGTACTAGCCATAGCTTCTTCAGTATGAACAACCCACAGTTCACAACCCAGCAACAAATCACAGGTTCTCTTCATGGCTTGTTCATGGTTAACAAACTCTGGACTAGATTCAAACAACATATTTGAGCAATGACCTATGGTGTAATGATAAATCATGTTCAGCCCATTCTTGACTCTTGACTATGGGTTATTGTAGACATTGATCAGGCAAGGCTTCAGGTAGCTGAGCTTGCATATTAGCTCAACTCCAAACTAGTGACAAAAAAAGAAAAATATTTTTTAAATTAACAAAGATGTTTGTACACCTTTATGGCATAGAACAAAGGTGGTGAAGCAGTAATAGCTGTTCCAATGTGTCACTAAGATGCTTTGGACGGGTTGTCCCTTTGAAGTAAAAATTGATCTAAAAAATAAATAAAAATTGGCAACTGTAAAAGGGATGATGACAGGATTGAGAGGAGACAAGATCATTTGTGTCATGCCAGTCACCTGAGGGAGGACTAAGGGAGAAGGGGAGAAGTGACAATCAACAGTGATTCCAGTCATTTGTTAGGCACACCATGGATTGTCCCATGAACAGCCCATACCAGGGTGGGTTGCCATGTCATGTAAACTCATCCATTGTTTGAGTTAAACTACCTTGCATTAAGATGTGTTTCTCCGTCAGGGATCCTTGCATTTAACCTTACCTAAATTAGCTAAAGCTAAAATTTTAACTAAGATTGTCATTGCCATCTTCCTCAACTTGGTACCCTCCATATGTTTTGGATGACAACTCCCAGCATTTTTGACGAATGATAAGACTTCCTGAGCTGAAGGGTCAGGCATTTAAAATATATGAAGGGCACCAGCTAGGGAAAGACATTTAAGACTACTGTTAGTGTTTTTCATTGAAGTTCTCAATTTCTTGAAGTATGGCAGCTTATTATATTTACTTTTGGCACTGATTTGTAGGTTTGGTAGCTTTCCTAGTAACGTTCAACTTTTCCTATAAGTGCTTAGGACCATTTACTTTAAGCCCAACGTGGGCTTAAAAAGTGATTCTAGTCAAGTACCCTGTTTTGCCATTATGCTTTCGTGATGCATTTTGTAATAGTCCATGCAGGGCTTTTGAAGTCCATATGTAACCACACCTATAGTCAAGCCCAAGTTCTCATTCAAACTTTTCAAGATGTGCCAGTAGCCAAAAGTAGACCTAACTGTGTATCTGAAAGTGCTTCGTATGTAATATTAGCAGACATTCTTGGGGAAGCAAATGTATTGATAATGCTGTCCTATTTTATTGGCAGTGACTGTTTTCTTGAGCACACTGACTCCAAAATTCTATGTTGCACTTACGGGAACTTCATCTTTGATATCCGGTCTGATATTTGTAAGTATTTGTTCTCTGTTTTCTCTTTTACTGGAATTTGTGTCGGTCCTACAGAACAAAAACTATAGAGGAAATGAGACTATGCTAATAGTTGGACTAATTGGCTTTTATAATGTTAAAAACCAGTACAGTATACTAATTTTCAGCCTTTATAGACAATCAGAGAACAAGAAAAACTCAGTTTTACTTCTGATTAGATAAATCCGATTTATCTAGTCACTTTTGTTGCCTTCCAGGAAAAGAAGTATGTTGATGCAGGTTTGACAGATATCGGATTGCAAATTAGCTTCAAGTTCTGTTCTCTCATTTAGGGTTTTATTGCTGTTTTGTTAAACCTCCTTTGAGAGGCATATTTTTCTTTTACTGTGTCAGTCAAGAAATACGGTTTTGTCATTTTAAGTTAATTGTATCTTGTCTATGTTTCTTGTGTATGCTCATGTTTATTTTTTAAACTTTAAAACTTTAATTTTTTTAAAAAACCCTCAATAGCCTTGGTTATTGGGTGGTATAAAAATGGTTTTAATGAAGTTTCTTTCATTTCGGTGGGTCTACTGCATGTAGGACTAACATTCAATACTAATCAAGGTTTAGCATCCAAATTTGCAACATTGTTTAGGAAATGTATAAAACTTTCTGTGGGAAACTTTATTTTAATCAACCTTTTTCTTTATTTGAATCAAACCACACTGATTTTTCCTAAGCTAAAAGGCCTCCTCTCCAGGGTTTTACTAAGTGGTCATTTTGGTTGCTCTCTTCTGTATCTTTTTCCAATGTGATAGTATTGTTTTTGAGAAGTAGTGACCAGAACTATACACAATTTTGCAAGTGTGTTTGCACCACAGAATTCTGTAATGCCATTATGATTATGATGTTGGCAGTTTTAGTTTTGGTTCTTTTCCTAATGGTCCCAAAATTTTCCCTTTTCCCATGGCTGCATATTGAGTGGGCATTTTCATTGAGTTACCTACCACAGCTCTAAGATCTCTTTCCTGAATCAGTAACTGCAGTTTCAGACCTCTTCAATATTTGAAGCTCGAGTTTATTGTCCCAATGTGCTTTTCTTACACTTGCGTAAACTGAACCGTATTTATCATTTTAATGCCCATTCCCCCAACTTTTTGCATTTTGGATATATTTTATTCCTTTTTTATTTCATTATCTTAAAAAAACTTTATAGGCAAATCTGGACACCTCACTTCTTTTCTAATTTCATATGACCAATGAACAAGTTTTAAAAAGTCACAGTACAGGAGAACCCCACTGTTTATACCCCTCTGTTATAAGAAATTTGAGAGGTCTTTGTGTTAGGCACATCTATGGCTTTGCTATCTTGAGGATGAAAAGCATTGTTGATTTACCAACTGAACTCTAGGTGGAGCTCTTATACAAAAAAAGAAACCACAGCCTTAGCATTTTTTTAAAAATACAAGTTAGTGATTTGCAACATTATTCTTATTGATAATTTTTTATATTTTACAGCAATATTATGGAAGCACAGATTATAAACTGGAATGGTTTTGTGGTACTTCTACAGGAAAGGCTTATGTGCAATTGCAAATGGGCTTATTTCTTCAGTTGCCTTAGGTCTATGCAGTGTTAAATTAACTCAAAAAAGGTGAAAATGTTTTTCATCTATGCAGGGTTGTTCAGCTGAATAACTCATTTTACTCCATGTTTCTGCATTTTTGTCCAGAAGAGTTTGTGTTTTGTTTGGCTCTATGGGCAAACTGCCTTTTTATTTGATGGAAATAATGTTTGGTTTTGTATAGGTGTATTACTTTTTGGTTTCTTATTGCAGATATTTGAATGGTGGTACTTCAGAAAATATGGCACATCTTTCATTGAACAGGTATCCGTGAGCCATTTGCGGCCACTTATTGGAGGAACAGAGAACACTAGTTCTCAACAGGCAACTTTCTCTGCTACTAATGGAGAAAATGAGATGAACAGGCAGAGTCTATCAGGTGATTGCTTCTAATGTCTGACTTTCCGTGAATGTAATTTATAATAGCTGGTCTTAGCCAAGGTTGGTAAATGCAAACTATTTACTTTGGTAAATGCTTTCACTTTTCTATCTGATAATCTTTTGTCTGTCTTAAAATAATCAGAGTAAGAGAAATGGTGAAGTATATTGGATTGGTGCTAGGAATTGTCTGGGTAAGAGATGTTTTAGTTACTGTTTGTGGAACTCTTGCAAATCCCCAAACAATATAATTTTATTTGTAATATGATGCAAGATCTACCTCCAATTATATGCATCTGAGGGTGCAATCATGTGGCCACTAGACACTGTCTAGAAAGCCATAGGATAGATTGGAGTCCCAGTTCTGACTTCGGTAATGTATAGAGCTCTGCCCATGGAGCAGCCTATCTTCCCCTTCAAAGTTAGTGATGTTCTTTTTTTACTCACTGTGGCTCCAAGTCCCAAATGCAACTTTTGAGGTGTTGTAGGCTGGTCATGGAGGAGAAGAATGAGGCCCTCCTGAGATACAAGGAATCACAGCAGTTCCTCAGTCCATTCACCTTACAAGCAAAGTCAAAATACATAGATGTCTAAAATCTGTTGCCTTCTGCAGGGTGACATTGTTTGGAAGCCCATAATCCTGTTTTCAGTTGAATGCCCATAATCCTTCAGGTTTGGAGGGTTATGGACAGCGGTATTGGATGGCACCCTAAGTGAAAGCATTTTGAGAATATCTGGCTTTTCACATTTCCTGTAATAATAAAATACTGCTTTCTTGAAGTGCTGGCTTCATTCAAGCAAGCAATGAAGCCACAGTTGGAAGGACCTATGTGCTTCCCCATCTCTTATCACTGATTTATTTTCTTCTGTTTTTTCTTTAGTACTCATATCCTTGCTATGACTTCTAAATATTCATACTGTGGCTAGTGCTTGTATTCCAGGATTTCAAGCCTGCTTCACAGCATGGTTTATGATTTTGATTAGTTTGCAGATGTGGATGTCATTGTAAAATATGAAGAACACTAAACAAGGAAATTAAAATGGAATGCCAAGCCTCAAGTGTGAAAAGGGGAAATTTATGAGCCCTTTGTACATTTTTGATTGTTCAAACTATGGTTATTTTGGAAGAAACTTTTATATACTTAAATCCTGTGCAAACATAATTATATTCAATTTATTGGACCAAGATTATTATGCATGAACTGGGGCTCAGCATGCAGAAACAAATCTATCAAGGGCCTGTATTTCTGGTAGAATATTAAAATTAAAATCTGTTTCATTTCATAGAGTGCAAGGTATGGAGAAATCCCCTGAATCTTTTTAGAGGAGCAGAATATAGCAGGTATTGTGTTTGTTTGCTTGCTTGCTTGCTTGTTTGTTTGTTTTTGTAGCAATTGGAGTAAGATTTTTTGGTTTGTCACAAGTTCACAATCTTGTGCCTTCTGAAGGATTCCATAGACCAAGACATAGTGGGGACCTGCTTGGATAGATGACTAATTCTTTCTTTTGTAAGGGCAGGACAGTTACATTTAAGGTTAGGGTCAGTTTTTCAGACATTCATATTCTCAGGCATAGTGAATTTATCATTTCTTATGTGCAAATAGAACAATAACCATCATGCGACTGAATGCACATTTCCAGCAAGCACTGGAACATGTAGTGAATAAAAATATCCACACCAAGATTGATACTCTTTACTGGAGAAAGAATCTCCTCCTGTCTTTCATGTACAACTTGCCTTTATTCAGTTTCATCATACAATGCATACAAAAAGTTTAATCTGCTCAGAATAATATACTTCTTAGTCTTTTGTGTGTGTGTGTGTGTGTGTGTGTCATTTAGGCTACAATCCTGTACACACTTGCTTGGGAGTAAGCCTCATTTACTTCAGTGAGGCTTAAGTTTGGCTAGACGAGCATTGGATTCTACTTTTAATGAAACTTCTTTTTCTCTTTTGGAGATACACGTGGGTGACTGGAAAGGAGCCACTTACATACTACGATATGAACTTGTCTGCTCAGGATCATCAGACTTTTTTCACATGTGAAACAGACTTGTTTCGACCTTCAGATGCTGGTATCAATATATATACTTTTTACTTTGTGAAAGATAAAAATGCAAATGGGATGTGCTTTTGTTGTTGGAAACTGTTGTTCTAATTTAATGGTGGGGAACTGTTTTCCTGTTGAGACCCATATTATCTCTCTTCATACTTGTTGGGCGTACATTTCTATCATGGGTATGGCCTGAGACAAAAGTGGGTAGAGTTGCATATGTAATACTTATCTTTGCTCAGTATGCAATAGGGAAATAAAGACATTTGCATCCAGGCATTCTTCTTCTTCAGCATGTGCAAAGTTCTGCTTTGTGGTTGTAGGACAGAACACAACTGTGTAAATGATAGCAGTTAGTTAGAGGGAGCTTCATGAGAGGGAGCATGACCTGAGGGCCTGTAAGTCCAGTCTGAGATTCAGGTTTGGCACATGGACTGGAGATTCCCCACCTTTCTAAAAAGCCCAGAAAATGAAATCAATGTATGGATATGAAATGTCCTTAAAAATGCTGACTCTTTCTACTGAGCATTGTCGGGCCTTTTTGTTCTTGTTTTTACTTTCCCTTGACAGCTGTCAAAAGGTGAGCTGGCATAGGGAAAGTAATGCTTCGACTAATCTTTGCTCATAAAGAGTGGGTGGCCCATTTTACACCCCTTCATAGTGAGAGGGTTCTCATTCTCTTTCTCTCTTTGATCCAACTGCCCTCAGGGTCCTGTGGATTTTGTACTTTCCTCAAGTCTCTAGCTGCTTGGAAAAATGCAAGTGCATGGGGCATTGTTTGTTTCAATGCTTTCTGTGCTGTCAGCCTGCAGATAAAATAACTAACATCATGTTAGGTCTGGTCTCAGAACCTCATTGGCAGGCTGTCTTTTTCCAGGCTTGCAAACAGTATCTTTACATGGTGAAGGATTCAGAAATGTGATCTTGCAGTTATGTTCTGAAGTGGTAAGGTTTGAAGAAGTACTGTATGTATCATCCAGTTTTCCAAATGTATAGATCAGCCCAGAGGCTTATTAATTAATTGCCTGGTTGATTAAATTTCTGTACTGTCCCATAGCAAAAGCACTCAAGGTGATGACAACAATCCATAAAAACAAGATAATAAAATACAATAAAATAGCATAAAATAGAGAAATGTTAAAGTTTAAAAAGCTAAACACAAACAGCAACAAAGAATGACTGCAGAAACACATGGGATGGGTAATCCCCTCAAGTTCCTGGGTGTTGAAGTTTTTAAAGGTCTAGTCATAAAGGGACATCTTAATCTGGCTGCTAAAGGAAGACAAGTTTGGTGCCAGGTAGGCCACAGTGGGGAGATTGTTCCAGAGATGCAGGGCCACCACAGAGAAAGTCCCACTCCGCCTTTGCTGCTGCTCTCCATCCCTTTCCCAGAGTTCACGCTTTTTGGAGGTCTTAGTAGATCGTAGTTGGGAGAGACATTCTAAAAAGGATTGTGGTCCCAAGCTATTTAAGGCTTTAAAGGTTAAAACGAACACCTTGAATTGCTCCTGAAAGCATACAGGCAGTCAATGCAAATGTGCCAGAATTGATTTTATATGTTTGGACCTACAGGTCCCAGTTATTAATATGGCTGCTGCATTCTGCATGTGGGCAGCCCCACATAAAGTGGATTGCAGTAATCTAATTTAGAGATTACCAGAGTGTAGATTACTGAAATCTGCCTACCCCTGTCCAAATAGGAGTGTAGCTGGTCCACCTGAACCTCAAGTGGCAAAAATGGATCAAGGAGAACCCTTAAGGCCCAAACCTGCTCCTTCAGAGGGAGAGCAACCCCATCTAGAACAGGTTGAATCCATCTATCTGGTCAAAGAATCCACCCACTAACAGCATCAGTCTTCTCTGGGTTAAGGTTCAGTTTGTTAGCCTCCATCCAGTCCATTGTCACAGCCACACAGTTTAGCACATTCACAGCTTCACCTGCTGATGATGAAAAAGAGAATTGGAGCTGTGTATCCTTAACATAGTAATGGCAATGCACTCCAAAATGCTGGATGACCCAAGTCAGTGGTTTCATGTAGATGCTAAACAGCATGGGGGACAGAACAGACTCCTGAATAATGTTATACTGGATAATCCAAAGGGTTGAACAATATTATCCATGTACCACCTTCTGGAGATAGCACTCTGTAAGAGCAGAACCACTGCAATGCATGTCTCCTACGTTCAACTCAGTCACCCCAGAAAGATGCCATGTTTGATGGTGTCCAAAGCTTTAGTGGCTTCCCTCACAGCTTAGAAATTGCTGTTCCATGGAAACTCACCAAAGCTTGATGTTGAACATGTTATTGATGTATGGCAAGCCCTTTGGAGGGACTGACTTCTACTGGCCTGATGCTTAGATCCCTTTTTGTAGCATGCTAACCTGCCTAGTCTCCTGGAACAGTAGGAATATCACCCTAAAATTAAAAGCTATTGCTTCACTTATGTCTATCTGTCAGGTTGTCTGGACTTTGTCATTTAAAAACAGTAAAGTTGGAAAATCTGTGTATTTGTGAATGTTAAAAAAATCTGATATTACGGGATTTTTGGAGCTTCTGATTGCACAAAATTGCCTTGGGGGTTGCATATTAGCTACCCCCATCTTGAAAGCAAAGGCATATCTGGCTTTTGTTAGATGATTTGTTAATGCTTACTAGTTCTTCTAAATCAGCAAGAGCTAGCTGTCTGGGAGTTGATCTGATGATATGTTTAATGATATGAGAACTGTGTTTTTGTTGTATGAATGTAGTATATTGTCTCATCATCTAAGCCAAAACTAACATTATGTTTCCAGAAAAATGTTCCAACATTTTCCACATTACTCTTGCTGGACCAGTTGCAGGTTTAGTTCCAAAAGAAACATATATAGTGTCTCCAGTTTTTTTTTTTATGAAAATTGAGAAAGATCAGATAGTCAGGCTTCAATCCTACACTTGCTTACTTGGGAGTAAAGCCCTCTTATTTAAATTGAATTTTCTTCAGAATAAACTGTTAGAGAATTGTGCTATCACTTCAAGAGTACTTAGTTAATAGCCTTTTCAGAATTAGGAAAGGTTTGGTTTCCAAAAACTGAGATTACCCCCCACCCCATGTATCATTGATGAGGGCCTTCATGAGTCCTCATATTGCCAGCACCTACTGGAAGGTAATAAAGAAACAGCAAGGCCAATTCCATCAGTCTTCCGGCATTGAACAAGCATCTATCAGTGGTACATCCTGTTGTGCAGCCAGCAGAGAAAACAGAGCTAGGTACGTTTCATTATGCTCCTGGGATCAGATATTGCTTGACTTCTATTCTTATTTTTTGTTAGCCATCTTTACTTTTTTTCTTTTAAAAACAAAATATGGGATATAATATGAAAAATAAAAAATGCAGGTGCCAACAATCAGTTTAGCAGTGTCATGTAAAGGCAGATAGTGGAGTTTCTTTTAAAATATCTTTAAATTTTCTTGAATGTATTTTTACATTAGCATTTGTTTGAGGTCTGCTTTTTAATGACTTGCTTCTATTCTTTCCAACAGTTATGCAGAAGGCTTGGCGGGAGAGAAATCCTCAGGCCCGAATCAAAGCAGCATATCAAGCTTTGGAATTAAATAATGAGTATGTTTGGTCTCAAGTCAGAGTCTAATTTCTAAATTAAAATTAAAGCTCATAGCATTGTTAAATAGTTTCTTAGAGCTTGCCAAATGATTCTCTGACTCAGGTGATGTATGTTCTGTTGGGGTGGAGCACTTCAGATTGCATTTTGTAGACCGAATGTCTGAATAGTCTCCCATAATCCTTAAGTCAAGGGTTAACCATGGGTTAGTGTTATGTGCATATCAGGTCACTGTGTTGGATAAACATAGTTTATCAGAGTTTGATATCGTTGATCACAATTTATATGCTATTGTGCTAGCTAACTTTAATCATTATGTCCTTCCTTCCTTCCTTCCTTCCTTCCTTCCTTCCTTCCTTCCTTCCTTCCTTCTCAGTTGTGCAACAGCATATGTTCTTCTGGCTGAGGAGGAAGCAGTTACTATCATAGATGCTGAAAAATATTTCAAGCAGGCTCTAAGAGCAGGGGAAACAGTTTATAGAAAATCTCAGCACTGCAGTTCTCAAAGTCCACAGCATGAAGCACAACTTCGTAAGTCTCCTTTCCTAAATTGTTTAAGATAAGCATTGAATTTGAGTGGTTCTAACTGAAATCTCTAGCAGAAGCAGCAGCAAGCTTTAATGATAAAGAATTAAAACCTACAGAAAAGTGTATAGATTAGAAATATAGTCAAAAGTATTCAATGACATTTTAATAGCATTTAAGCAGAAAGTGCTCAGTGTTTTACAACATGATCCTACAGGCCAGGTTCAATTCATTTCAGAAGTTTAAACCAAGGTAGGTGTGTGGGATTACAGTCTTAGACCTATTAGCTTGTTTTGATCGTGCAAACCTAGTCAGTAACTCTTAATGACTTATCTAGCAATTCTTTGGTAAGGAATCAATAGCTCAAGTTTACAATATGCTCCTCTTTTCTGTACGCCTTTTCTCCCTTTACTTCTTTTACCATGGAATGTGACATCTTAATTTTGAGGCTACAGGCAAGTTCTCAACCTTCAGTTTATGATTATGACGGAGAAGCAAATATGTGCTGAGGCTATGGATTTATTGTTTGGATGAGAGGGTGTTACAAGGTTTCTGGTTTCACAATTCCTGATAGGAAGATTTGAGAAATGCTTTGATTTGCTATGTTTATTAGGTCAGTATTTGGCACATCTTACTTTCTGTGCATTTTCTTTTCTTTTTCATAGAATCTAATCACTCAGCTTTACAAATTAAAAAGTACACATGTTTACTCACTTTGCCTATTTTCCATAAATGCTTATTTTGTGTAAAACCAGTACTAAGCCTATTGAAAATTGACAACAAGTCCTTTACATCTTAGGGACAGGGAAGGTAATTTTCTCCATAGTGTGCTTCTGAATTCCAAAAACAATTCAACAAAGCCTATATTGTGCACCTATTATGAAAATGTTGAAGCATTCATTTTTACAACAGGTCAAACCACTGATATTTTCATATCTGTATTTGAGAAGGAAAAATAAGCTATACCTGTGGAAATAAACACCTAAGTTGGTTGAAGTGTAACATTCCAGATTTGATATAACTGAATATATTTGATGCAATTTTTTTGTTCTAGGAAGAGACACCAATGTTCTGGTTTATGTGAAAAGAAGACTAGCTATGTGTGCAAGGAAACTTGGAAGAATTAAAGAAGCAGTAAAAATGATGAGAGATGTAAGTAATTTAGAAATAGAAACACAGTTTCTTTTGAGGCGATATTTTTCTTTTCGCAAGTAGTGACTTATCAGAGATGGTCACTGAATTGGAAGGGGAGCTTGCAGAAGGGAGCTCCACTGACCTGTTGTGTTACAGAAACAAGTATTTCTGCTAGTTTCTGTGAAACATGAAAGCCCTGCTGCAGACTTGATTACTTATGCAAGTGCATTGGATCCAGCAGAAACAGAGAAGCCACATTGGATACTATCTAAAGTCTGCAACAGCACCTGTACCTGCATGTAAACCTCATTGAATTCAGTGGGCTACTGTGCACTTTCTGTTTAGTTACCCATAAAGCTGGATTTAAGCATTGGTACTCACAAGAGTAAACAAGCACATGATCAACTGTAAGACAATACTTGTGTAACCTATTTATTCTCCCTCCGCCTCCACCAACCTTTTTACAGTTAATGAAAGAATTTCCTCTCCTAAGTGTGTTGAATATTCATGAAAACCTTCTAGAAGCACTTCTGGAGCTGCAGGCGTATGCTGATGTTCAGGCAGTTCTGGCAAAGTATGATGGTAAGAATGTATAAATTTAAGTGTGGATTAGATGCTGATTGCTTTGCTACTTTAATGAGACATTCATAAATAACTGGACTGCTTATGTTGTAAACATAGACTGCCCATGCTGTTGGACCATCAACAGTAGTGTCATAGATCATGATAGATCGTGCCTACAACCCAAGCTGATATTTTCACTCTCCCTGTGCTTTGTATCTTACCTTGGATGGGTCAAGATTGTTTGTCGTGTTCCATATTGCTAGCCAATATGAATTAGTTAAAATAACTGAATTTTCTGTTATTACATGCATATATGACCAAAAAAGTGGTCATATATCTTTTCCACTCTTCTGGATGCTGTTTAACATGTGACCTTTATGTATAACAAATTAAAAGCTTGCCCTGTGAGTAGCATGTTAGACTGATCTGCAGCAATTATTGATCCATTAACAACTTTTTTAAATTTACCATTTTTGAAGTTATATTTTTTCCACACAAAATCTCTGTGAAATATTTCAGATTAAAGAGCCATAATGCTCGTTAAGTTTAGTGCAAAATTTACTTAAATTCTGTATGTGAATTGAACAAAATAAGTTCTTGTAGCAAATCTTTTTCTGTTTTCCTCCATCAAGTTGTACACTTAATAGCATCTGATTAGCATACCATGGAATATAAAGGAAAACTAAAGTTTGTTACTGGAATACATGGACATATTCTGAGGATCTGGAATACAAGACATCATCAGATGCTGCCTGTGCTTTTCAACCCCCCCCCCCCCTTTTTCATTCACAGAAAGTTATTTCTGCTGTACATGCTAGAACTTGTGTTTTTATAGTAATTGTAAAATAAACACATAATCTTCCCTACACTTAATTTTGTCAGTAATTTAGGATAGTAAAAAGGGTTTATTGGTGCAGTATGTATGTGTACATGCATGTGTTCATTCTCATGCTAAAGAAAAGAGATCCTGAACTGACTTCAGAAAATATAAAAGGGAACTTCAATTCCTAATGCATCTGGAATAGTCTGCACAAAGATTAGCTCTTTAGGCTAGGAGAAAGAGTTGAGACATCCATCTTGGCTTGTTTTATTACATGGTAGGCAAGTCCAGGAGAAACATTTTTTTTTTTTGGTTATTTATACAACATGGAGTTTAGACATTGTGCTGGCTTGGAGGTAATGTTAAACTATTATTTAGTTTTATCTGAATGAACCTTGAGTTCATCAACTCCCATGTCTCTCTCCATGTATGTCAACTGTGAAGAGAAGCTGGAAAAATAGTGCTTCTGTTTTCAGTCAACTGCAGCTTGGCATTATATAGAACCCCGAACTGTGATTAGTTGTAACAATTGTGTATTGAAACAAGCCAACTTTATAAACATAGTTTGAAGTTGGCATATTTCAGTAAAAAAAACAGTTAAGACAATCCAGAGATTCAGACAGAATTGTGGCTAATAAAAAATGGAAGCAAAAGCTTCCTGTATCTTTCTGTCAGCCATATCACAGGAGAGGAAGCCAGGAGGAGAAGCTAATGAGACCAAGATTCATTTGCATAATATTATGCCATAGTCTAGTGCTGCACCTAACTGCAGCCACTGAAAAGTTTATTGTTGCACTATATTTAATGAAGAATTGGAAATGTTTAATCCTAAAGGCATAATTGGCCTGTTGTTTATAATTGCTTTTAAGGAAACAAAACAGACAATTTAACATTTAAAAAAGCTTCCTTTGACTCTTAAGTAGTTTTCCAGGAAAACTAATTGCCATGCTTCTGATTAAATTTAGGCAGAGGGCAAAGTCAGTGGCATAGTTTGAACAATGTATAAAGATTCAAATTAATTCCTTCACACTTCCAGCAGAGGGATGAGCAAGACTCAAGACCCTGAAAAGTTGCTCTGGTTCAAATGGACAGTCTGGATCCGAGTTTGTTGGAGTCACTAGTTTAATCCAACATGTATCATAGCTGCTTATGATTTTTATTTAAGTAAACAAAATTTAGACATGCATCCAGTGCTTTTTTTGTAAAAAAAAAAAAAAAAGTGCTGGAACTCATGTTGCCGTCAGCAGTAAGCACTCAGTGCACGACCACACACACCAATCCCAAGCCGAGCAGCGTCCCAAGCCGGGCGGCGCGGACACAAAAGCAGCCCGCAGGCACTATGTTAATGATGTTTGCTGCTGACCTGCTACGCCGACAGGCGATTCAAAATAACTTTGTAAAATCCATTGGAAAAAAAAGTGCCGGAATGCTGTTCCAGTGCGTTCTATGACAAAAAAAGCCCTGCATGCATCAATGCCAAGGACTGGTGTATGAAGTGATTCCAATGGTTCTCAGTTTTCTTGCCAGTCTTGCCAGTCTTGCCACGGCAAATGTACTGGCAAGTTTGATAAGAAACAGTCTTTAACTCAGGAATATGAATTTTAGGAGTAATTTTTGCCATCCTTCCCAGTGAGCTATGCTGTTGTTGCATTCCTCTGTCTACTGCACTCCAAATTTGCCAGTGGGAAAAATACACAATTTGCTTCCGAATTTCAGTGGCAAACCATTATGGAATGCTCAGACAGCAAAATTTAGTATACTTTAAAGCTAAATTTTACTATTGCAGCATTCTGTATTGTTTTGCTACTGAAATTTGGTTTCAAGTGTTTTTTTTTCTGCAATTGCTGTACATTTCAGTTGCAGAAGTTGCACTGGGGAATGGCAAGGGCTACATATTATCTTCCACTTTAACTGAACTATAGAACTGGAAAGATGAGAGAATGAAGATCATTCCTGTGACTGTGTTACATTTCACAGGCCCTTGATACTTAGAGCTGTTGCAGAGATGGTCCCTGAAAGGAATGCATATTCTTTGTTTAATTATACATTGCTTTTATGCATTTTAAAATGTGAAGTTATTTTACATAAAATTGTTGTAATCTGCTTAGAGAGTTTTCAGACTAGGTATAGCAGAATATAAGTTGAATAAATGCATAAATAATGTTGGAAATTGATTTTGATGTTGAGTCCCCCAAAGAACACCCTTCTTCTCTTGCTTGGACCTGGAGAGGGAAGCAGGTCTTGTCCCTGTGACTTTGCTGGGCTTCTGAGGCCCTCCAAAGCACAATGCAACTGGTCAGGGGAGAGGACAATGAGAGAGATTATGAATGTTTTGGATTCTGATTTCTTCTTGATGAATTTATTATATTGTAGAAATGCTGAGCAAAGCATATAGGCTGAAATGTTCCCTTTAAACTTCATTTCCAGATAAAACTACTGTATAAATATCACCCAGTATAAATGGGGAATTATTTTTGAAATGTTTCTCACATTAGGATCTAAAGACAACCATTTATTGTTCTATAGATATCAGCCTTCCGAAATCAGCAGCAATATGTTATACCGCAGCACTCTTAAAGGCCAGAGCAGTTTCAGATAGGTAAGTGAAATATTTGAACCAGGCACTAGTGCAGTAGAAAAGATCTGGCTTTAACACTTCTGGATTAAAAGAGCATAGTAACAGGGTTCTGAAAACTCTCAGAACAAGATTTTCGAATATATGCAAAGTGTTCATGTGACTCATTGTATACTCAAATCTTGTACAGTGCACAGTGAGTTATATGATAGGTGATACATACTTCATAACACACTTGCAAGGGCTCTTGATGTGGAATTAAGTAGTCATGTAGCTGCTTTATTGTTATGTGCATTAAAAGCTCACAATAGACTTGCTTCCTGGTTGATACCAAAGCAAAGCGAGTCATCATTTGACTTGTGTCATGAATCTGCTGCTCTTGAACAGCAAAATGTTAAATACCTGCAATGGTAAACTGTTTCTCGTGATGATTTCCATGCTGTTACAAAATGGCAATTGGACTTTGTTGTGGCACTGAACCAACTGGCAATTCGGAGGGAGCATGTGGCTGTGCTGAACCGGTGCCTGGCCGAGGTAATGGGCTGGTTGAGGGCCAATAAACTGAAGCTCAATCCAGACAAGATGGCAGTCCTGTTGGTTGGCGGATCGGGCTTCGATGAGGGTGAATTGAACCTAGTCCTGAATGGGGTTGCACTCCCTCTTAGGGACAAGGTCTGCAGCTTGGGAGTGCTCCTTGACCCAGAGCTTTCACTGGAAGCTCAGGTGACAGTGGTGGCGAGGAGCGCTTTCTTTCAGCTTCAGCTGATCCATCAGCTGCGCCCCTACCTGGAGTACGTCTGCCAGGCGACAGTGACACACGCGTTGGTGACTTCCCGCCTTGACTTCTGTAACGCGCTCTACATGGGGCTACCCTTGAAGACAGTCCGAATACTTCAATTGGTTCAACATAGAGCTGCCAGGCTGCTGACGGGGACTGGGCGTTATGTTCACATGACTCCAGTCCTCCGTCAGCTTCACTGGCTTCCCATTGAAGTCCGGGCCCAATTCAAGGTGTTGGTGATGACCTGTAAAGCCCTAAACGGCTTGGGTCCTGGTTACCTGAAGGAGCGCTTATGCCCGCCCGCCCCCTGAGATCAGCGGGAGAGGCCCTTCTCCGGGAACCCTCAGTGAAGGAAATTAGGAGGGTAAGTACTCGGAGGAGGGCTTTCTCTGTGGTGGCACCCAGTCTATGGAATGCGCTCCCCAGAGAGGTTCCCCTGGCGCCGTCGTTATTTGTTTTTCGGCGCCAGGCGAAGATCTTTTTATTCAAATGTCATTTTAACTGTTAATACTATTTATTTTATTTTTTGGCCAGGGTGACTTATTTTATATTGTTAATTTATAGTATTTTAATTGATTTATTTGTAAGCCGCCCCGAGGCTTCGGCGAATGGGGCGGCATAGAAATTTTCTAAATAAATAAATAAAATGTATGTGGGAAGCTGCTGCTTGTGATCAGCTCACCATATAAAAAAGAAACTGCATGGGTTCAGTTCCAAATAACCAACATTTGAGTACTTTTTTGTGTAAACTGAGCTTAATCAAGACAGAGGTGCTCCTGGTTAGTCAAAAGGCCAATAAGGGAATAGGATTCAACCTGTACTGAATGGGTTATGCTAAAGAAAAACTTCTTGGAGGCTACTCCTGGGCTATGAAGCTCCCTGCTAAGAAAGGGCAGGTTCACTCTTTCTTTGTTCCACTGTGGGACAAAGATCATTTAATTCAAGCAGATTTTTAGTACAAAGGTCTATTGAGCTGGATGCTGTTTTCTTCTTTATTGTCTCTGTGCATCACACATATGGGCTCTGTGCTTGAGTGGGCCCTGTTGTCAGGAAGATTTTCCTAGCTAAACTTGTTCCAAAGGAAGCCTCACCCCTCCCTACCTCATTCTAGTATATATACGAGGGGTTCTCACTCCAGTTCTTTTCCAACAGCCATTTTGGGTGCCTACAAATCAAATAAGTAAATTGCCCAACTAAGATCCAAGATGGACAGGAGCATTTGCTTTTACCTTTTAAAAAACTTTACATGTTACATTCTTATGAGTTTGCACTTTCTGTCCATTTAGCTACATAGTACTTGAAACATGGATTCCTACCTTGTTTCCAACACTTTATATACCTAATTGATAGCTCTGTTCAGTTTTGGATATAAAGAGATGACTATTCACCTTTTCTATAAATACAAAACTTTGTAGATGGCAGTTTTAGTACATTTCTTTATTTTGCTGTCTAATTTGAGATTTTTTAATCTAAGTTTTATTTTTGATTATTCTATCTGTTCCTTGCCTTGGTTTTAGTAACTTAACAAGCTTCTGAATGTCACTGCAGGTTCTCTCCAGAAACAGCCTCTAGAAGAGGGCTTAGCACAGCAGAAATTAATGCTGTAGAGGCAATACACAGAGCAGTTGAATTTAACCCTCATGTACCAAAGGTATGTGTGTGTTTATTTCTCCTGTAAGCATACTAAAATAATTGTACTCAATGCTGAGATACATCTTTTGAACTCTTCTTTTTATATACCATATTCAAATTAGAATTGCATATCTTAAGTACAAAAACACAGAATTCTTAACATGATGCTTTTCTTGTGAAACAAATGGGGTGATCAGCACTTTTGGGAGAGTAGTAATAGGGAGAAAAGGCAATTTACCCCCTAACAGTCTTTCCCACCCCCCTGTCCCAAATTCACACACAAACGAAAGTGAGTTCTGACTACAAGGAAAGCAACTAGGGGAAAACGCAAAAAGTTGTATAAATGTTTATGTATAAATGCAGTGTAAATACAGATTGCTAGAATCATGGAATAGTAGAGTTGGGAAGGACCTGTAAGGCCATCAAATCCAACCCTCTGTTCAGTGCAGAACTCCCAAGTTCAAGCATTCCCAACAGATGGCTGTTCAACTGCTTCTTGAATGCCTCCGATATGGGAGAGCCCACAGCCTCCCTTGGTAGTTGGTTCCACTGCCACGTTGTTCTAACACTCAGGATTTTTTCCTGATATCCCTCTGGAATCTGCCTTCCTATAACTTGATCCTACTATTCAGTGTGCTGGAGAAGACTCCTGCAAGTCCCTTGGACTGCTAGGTGATCAAACCGGTCAGTCCTAGAGGAGATCAACTCTGACTGCTCTTTAGAAGGCCAGATAGTGAAGATAAAACTCAAATACTTTGGCCACCTAATGAGAAGGAAGGAGTCACTGGAGAAGAGCCTAATGCTGGGAACAATAGATGGCAAAAGAAGAAGGGGACAGCAGAGATGAGGTGGCTAGATGGAGTCACTGAAGCAGTCAGCATGAGCTTAAGTGGACTCCGGGGGATGGTGGACGACAGGAAGGCCTGGAGGAATGTTGTCCATGGGGTCGCGATGGGTTGGACACAACTTCGCGACTAACAACAACAAAATTATTCAGTGTCTGTATTCTGGCATGATTGAAAAGTGACCTGGTTCTCCTTTGTGTCACAACCTTTCAGCTATCTGAAAAGTGCTGTCATATGTCCCCTCAGCCTTTTCGTCAGGCTAAACATGTCCAATTTCTTCAATCTTTCCTCACAGGGCTTTGTTTCCAGCCCCTCTTAGTTGTCCTACTTAGTACCTTTTCCAATTTGCCTTCAGCTTTCCTGAAGCGTGATGCCCAAAACTGGACCTAGTACTTAAGATTGGGCCCATCTACAGCCAGATAGAGGGAAAACAGTATCTCACATAATTTGGAAGCTATACTTATGTTAATGCAGTCCGAAGTAACATTTTCTGCATCCCATTGTTGATTCATATTCCGCTTGAGACCTACAGCAATTCCAAGAACCTTCCTACATGTAGGATTGTTGAACCAAGTATCTTCCGGCTTGTACCTGTGTATTTGGTTCTCTTGTCCTAGGTATAGAACTTTGCATTAGTTCCTGTTAAATTTAATTCTATCTTACAAAGTATTAGCTAACCCATCCAATGTTGTATCATCTGCAAATCTAATCAGTAGTCCCGGCTTTTCCTCATCCAAGTCACTAATAAAAATGTTGAAAAACACTAGGTCCAGGACTTTGCCCTGTCATTTCCTGCTTGTTACCACTCCCCAATTCAAGAAGGTGCCATTGATGAGCACTCCAACTCTGATTTTGTAGCCAGCTGTGGATCCACCTAATAGCGGTTCCATCTAGCCTGCTTTTAGCTAGTTTACTAATCAGAATGTCATGGGACGCTTTGTCAAAAGCTTTAGTGAAGTTAAGATATATTATGCCCAAAGCATTTCCACCATCCACCAAGGAAATTACACAAGCAAAATGGTAACAGATAAGTTTAGTGAGATTTGTTCTTGATAAATCTTTGCTGATTTTCTACTGATTACTGCATTGCCTTCAAGGTGCTTAAGACCAACTTCTTTATGATCTCTTCCAAAATTTCCCAGGGAATGATGTCAGACTAATTGGTCTGTAGTTCCCAGGATCCTCCTTTTTGCCTTTTTTGAAGAAAGGGACAACATTAGCCCTCTTCCAGTCATCTGGCACTCCTCCCATCCTCCTTGATTTCTCAAATATAATAAACAGTGTTTCTGAGAATTTGCCTTTGCAGTAATGTTCCTTTACAAATACCTTACCTAGTCCATGTATTCCCTTTATTTATTTATATATATTTTGTGCTGCCCAATAGCCAAAGCTCTTTGGGCAGTTCATATTGTTTCAGATAAATGTGGATTTGGAAATGGACATTTTTTCAAAATGTCATCTTAGGGCAGAACTACTATGTGTTGCAAACCCCATACTTATGTATTAACTGTCAGGTTTATCTTTTATACCGGCCCACAAAGAACAGTTTTCAAACTCAAATTGCATTGGGTAATAAATGTTTCAAAAGCATCTCTTCTCTGTTTTGCTTTGTTTGTTCGACCTGTGGTGCTTTAAATGGCCAGGGACCAAAATGCCACTACTTTCATATATGGATTTCCCTAGGAAGAAAGCTTTGCTGGCAAATTCATTGCTCTAGGTTACTACCACTGTTTCAGTCCTCAGGAACAGGGCAGTATCATTGATAGTCCGGTACTGTGGATCATCATTTTGATTGTGTGTTTGTTTTTGAGAGACTAGAGAGCTCATTTTCCCAAGAGGAAGCCATGTTTGTTTCATCAAAAACAATAACTTCTCATGGCACCTTAAAGTACCACTGATTATGAGAAAAGCTTTTGTGAACTGGACAACTCATTCTCCTTTATTTCTGAGTTGCTTCTGTTACTCATTTCAGTTCGTATTTATGTTAAAGCTGTAATGAGAATGCCATGTGGCTTGAATACTCTGTGAACCACCATGAGTCTTCCCTTTGGTAGAAAAGTGTCATATAAATCTACATAGAAATATATAAACCATTTCTTCTTCAAAATATTGAGCACATATCCCTTTGTCTCTGCTGGCTGCACTTGAGTTCTTAAGGTGAAGGGCCTCTGATGCTAACTTCAGAGACTGGACAGTTTTATGCAGAGAGAGGCAGGCCTTAATGTATTGGAGTCCTCTGTATGCAACCTGTGCCCCACTACTTTTATTTCCAAATGAATGTGAAGGAAATTGATCTTATGTACATGAGTAGGGATAAGATACATAATTTGGGGGGTGGGGAGATTTGGAGGGGTACAGCACACCTAGCGATTGCTCATTGCCTTAGGGAGAGCTACCTGCCACTTCGAGAACTACAAGAACAGAACAACTTGCCAGGAAAAATGATTCTATTGCATTATTTTAAACAACTTCATCAATAGTCAGAGCATATTGTACATAGAAATAAGTTAAAATAACTTCTCTAGAGAAAAACTTTTATAAGCTTTTTTCCCCAAAGATTGTGATTGTTAATGGATCCATTTCTTTGCCTAATAGGAAATGAAAGCTTTTTCTAAATGGCTGAAATGTAGGATTTCATCCAGTTGGAAACCAGATGCATCAGATAAATCAGACAATAAGAAACAGATGGGTTCTCAGAAGGACATTAGAGCTAGAGTTTTAGTCCCATCCTTTTTTTGTAATGAAGTGTAGTTCCAAATGAACCTGTAAATCATTCTACATACAGTGGGTTTGAGCCTTTCCTCTGTAGGCACAGAGCCTCTGCATGGAAGAATCCCAGGGCAAACAGCCTGGTTCTTTCTTTGAAGAAAGATGACATCCTGGAAATCCTCTTGTCAAGTAAGGACACTGAAACTTTAAAACTTTTCTTCTGGGAGTGATTCATCTAGTTTTGTCCTATCTCCTTTGGGCATGTAGGACTATTTACTGTCCTTCTTAACAGTAAGGCTTCACGTTTCTAAGTAAGAATTACTCCATTTTTAAATACTGTATGAAGTGATGGGGAGGTGGACTAGTAATACTGAGGAAATTCTAGCCTTGTATAACTATCTGATTAGCCAAGGAACTCTGGCAGGACACTAGCTGCAGGATTTAAACAACTATGTAGAAAGAGGGTCAAGAAAGATTAAGGAAGAAGCAGCTTAAACAGCAGTGCCTGTTTGCACCAAACAGTGGGTACAGATGTTCCTTTTAAAGATAAGGTTTATTTTTAATGTATTAATTATTTTGGCTGTAAAGTGTTCTTTTACAACCAAGATCAAGTCTTGGACATGTCCAAGAGGTAGACTCGCATACCTCCAGAGTATGAACCTGCCCTGCTACCATCATACAAGGCATTTCCTGTACCTTGAATTCTATCACTGGGTCCAGCTGGTGGTGGCCTGCGAGCCTCAGTGCTTAAACTAAGAGAGGCATTGCTGCTTCAGCCTAATTCAGTCTAACCCAGTCTTCCTCTAAATTAAGAGGCAGGGCCTTTCAATAACAGCATAAGTAATTTTAGGTCTGCAAGAAACCAGTTTCTAGAGGTAATTCTAAGAGTTCTTCTCAAACCCCAACTTCACTATCCACTTTCTTCTCAATAAGCAAAGGGGCATATAAGTACAGCTATAGCATAAGAAGGCAGCTCCTGAACTTTCTTCTTCCCCACAAAAACCTAGAATTTCATTCTTCTTACTTGTACAAAGATGATTAAGAATAGAACCAGCAGGTATGAATTCTCTGCCCCAACTCCCAGAAAGCTCTGGTGCCTGTCTAACTCAAGAAAGAGGGGGAAATTTCCTAGGCAGACAGTTCTTGCATGGGTCAAAAAAGGCTACCCCCATTAATTGGATGATGGTGATAGTAGAGAAAGCTGTGAGTTATGTTGCATTCAACATGTTAATTTTGTCCTAGAAAAAACAGATCCTTAGAGCCCTGGATTACATCCTTCACATTCAGACGACAGAGAAAACACAATTTTTGTAAGCCGCCCCGAGGCTCTTTGCGAATGGGGCGGCATAGAAATGTTTTAAATAAATAAATAATAAATAAATTTTAATACACATTATGATATTTTCTTTCTTTTAAAAGTTCTCTAAAAGACTGAGAACTAAAGACCAGTCCTCATTCTCAAGGA